TGTAATTTAAATTTAAAATTGACGAGCTATAATTTATTTTGACGTACACTGGATCCGCTACTGATGTCAACGCTGTAACACATCGTATGTGTGTCTAACCACACCCCTTATCTTCATACCAGAATCTTGGAGCACTTGCGAATTTCACCCCTGACAGGAAAACAGTCATCGTGCCCTACTACATCCAGCATGTTATCTCACATCAACACATCAGGTCACACAAATTCCTTTAATGACTTTACTATCATTTCTTTTTCACCTTACATTCCTCACTTAATGATCCACAAAAGCCTCCTGATCTCTAAATCAACACTTTCTTTGAATGTCCAAGGCAGTTCCATCCCACTCGAACTTTTATAAATATCCCACTAAGTTTTATCTTCATTTCACACTCCATATTTGTATCTTCACTCATACTTTATGTATTTTTTTCTTATACATACGTATAGTATACATATTTTTTTATTCATGTTCATCACATCTAACTCACTGTAATCTAAAATTCATAATTACACTCCAAATATGTAAATATCTGTATATATATAAACGCACACTTTGATTATTTTAATCACTAGCCTGATGATGCCTTGTGTACATACCAATAAAATATTATTTCTTTAAAAAATACTTAGTCATGTAAGTGAAGTGCATTTTCAAATCTTGAAATAGGTTGACGTAAATAATATTAAATAAGTAAGTTTATTTTACTCTATGTTGATTAAATCTACTTTATTCAGTAGCTATATACTTGCAGCCTACCAACATCTACGAATTTCGTACCAATTTTTTTAAATGTATTCCATTGTATTTAATAAACGCAGTGTTTTGGGAGATGTACCCAAAGGCCAAGAAATGAAAAAGAAACGCCAATATTCATAACTACAATTAATAATGTTATGACAATTGACATCACTCGGCCCCAAATGTGGACACTGTTTTTTTTCCAAAACAAAACGAAATGGGAGGGAAAACCGGTGGATTCGGTAAAAAACCCTCCAATAAAAGAAAAGGTCGTGAACTTAAAAAATTTCCTCAAATTTTTGTAGTTTTAAGATATTTTATATTTTTTTTTGTTTTCAATGATCCCGATGATCTACTTTAACAGGCAGCGTAGGCAGATCGTACGTCGTTCGTATAAAAAATTTAAATTTAATAAGCGACAAAAAATGGGCTGACGGCTGCATTGACACAGCAAATATGTTTGTTGGAACAAAAGAAACGCAAACTTTGGTAGAGAAAATAATTAAAGAGTGCAGAGAGTTTACGGAAATTAGAAAAAATAGACGAAAAACGAAAAGGACTAGCAGCCATATATAAATTATATGAAATATTATTCAGTACGTAGGGACCTGATCATTCACCTGCCAATAGCAACGAAAAATGAAATGACCAAAGTGACGTCATGACTTGCTTAAATATCAATTTTGATGTCTACTAAACTTCATTCGATTCAAAATTTCCATGTTGCTTCATTACGACTTTCATTAATAGCTGGCTTTCACTCGTGCGTTTTGTCAGAATATTTAACAATTGCGAAAACTTAGTTTTACGGAAATTTTTAACGATTGAATTTGAAAATATGCTATAATGGTGAACATTATGCATAACAATATAAATTCGCAAATGTGAATCTTTCAATAAGGACGCTTGTTTCTAGTGCTTCTGTCCGACTTGGTCGTTCATTCATTGTCCAGTTAGAAGGCCTACAGACATAGCTACTCTATAAAAAACATGTTATAAATGTCAGCAAAATTAATGATCAAAAACAAGATTTAAATATATTGAAAAGAACAGAACTTTATTACCCGATTTCCCAGCGTTGTCCTGGTCAGTCTGATTCAGGCGACTTAGTCGGTCTCTTCTTTTTTTCACCGCGCAAGAGCGCAAAAGCATGTTGCAATCAAAAATGTTACACGCAAAAGCGTGTACGTAATTGAAATTGATTGTAGCATTTTTATCTTAGAAATTGAAGCAACTCCCTACTTGCAGCATTGCAATTTTCTTTATAAACGTTAAACAAATTAGCAAAAAATAGCGAGTGAAAGCCAACTATTTTCTCACAGCAAGTGACATCTTTTACTGACATCTTTTTAATTTGAGTGTTTTTCATGGTTAAGGTTGAAATTATAAAAATAGACCATCAGGATCCTTTATTAACTATCTCATGCAATTACTCATGTAAGTTAATTTTAACACTTATCTACTCAGCTAACAAACCACAAGACATGGATCGTATCTTTCCACTCGCTTGTTCCCCATCTTCGTAGAATATAGTCTGTTTTTATTGCCATTTCGATATATTACAATTTAGAATGCAAATTTCGGGTAACTTTAAACGAAGGAAAGGGACCACTTCAATACCCCAGTTATATCATCACTCAAAGAATGCTTAGTGCAGAGTTGATCTTCTGTGAGCATCAGCTGACCACCTTTAGGTGGGTTCATATAACAATGGGGCCCATCATCATTATATGAACGAACAACTGACATCCACAGAGAATCCAAACTACAAATGAACATTCTTGGCCATGAATCACCATAACACATGAGTAATGACAAACTAGTAAGAGTAATTGAAGTGAATGACACAGGTGGTAAAGGGACTTTCACAACTCCACCCATGTGGGATCTACAATATAAGAAAATATGAAACACATGTTACGAGATTTCATGATGAATAACTCTGCATATGACGTTAGTTTGCGTTTTTATATTCTTTATCAGGTATATTGAAAATGAGCTAGTTGTAATATGTTTTCTGTTTGACTATTTAAATGGTCATTCACCTACATTGCACGAATAGCTTTAGTCAGTTGAGTTAGAACGATGTAACAAGTTTCACACGATCGAAGGCTTAACATCGTGGTCAAAGCCTCTTACACTAAACGCTTTCATATTTCGAGAGCTACACTAAGACTAGTTTATTATTCCACGTAACTCATACTTACTTCCTCAGTAAAAAGACAAAATTTAGCTACCTTTCTTACTAATACAACGCTAAAGTGACTAATTTTCCGTCGTTAACATTTCTTTAATTGACGTCATGACTAAAATTTTTTATATGATTGGCTCCTGGGGAGCATGTCACCTTTTACAAAGACAATAATTAATCCTTCAATGCTTTTAAATAAAAATTAATTGGAATTTTTAGATGTTTTTTTTCGTTTTAATGACGTTATGCAAAGTAACGAGACATGATGTTGTAGGGTAAGATTACTGACACGATAATGAATTTAGAAAGTAGACTTTATTTCATTGAATCTTTCAGTCATATTTCTTGCTAGGTTAAGCTTAGGGAGGGTTTAAGGGCATTCTGTTTGCCACGAGGTTTCTCGACTACTAAAAATATCGCAGGGATTTGTAGAAATTCGAGCTAAAGACAATTACCGCTCTCGTTTATTGCAAGTCTACACCACAATCTATGAAAACTGCACCTCTATGCCCTCAACCACATAGTGTGTAGGAAACAGGTGGAAAATTTAGTGCATTTGTATTCATTGCATGTATTCAGTAATGACTAATGTGACATTGAAGAAACAAACCAAAAATCAGTAGCATCAACAAAAACCATTGAGATTTTTACAAGAATCTCAACAGAGACAAATCTTTTGAGCAAATAATCATTTCTCGTCAGTGTAGTCACTTACATTTGTAGTTTCCAAGCGTGGAATCTATTTTCATTCAATCACAAATCTTTATACTTGTCGCCTAAGTGTATAGTGTTGTTCCATCTCATATAAAAAACATCTGCTTTCCATGATGCCTCGTGGTTTATGTTGCAATACATGGAATGAATTGTGTCTTTATACATGGTGTTAAGCATGTCATTATATGTATTTCTTCCACATGATTGTTTAACATTCATTGTTCGTACTTGAACAAATTACCCAATATCTAGCAAATCTAATTTTTAAAAACAAAACGTATTGTTACCAAACAAAAGAACTATGCTCTCCCAGTCTCTTTTCATTAGCGTACATAAAATTCAAATGACTATTGACCATTGTTCTGTGATATTACGCAAATCACAAACTAATTAAATTTATTCAGTATATTAACTGACGCAAATATTATGATTTTGAGCATAAAGATGTCGGTGACGTCAACCAAAACGCCCTTAAACCCTCGTCTTACCTTAATTTTAGCAAAATATGACTGCAAGATTTACTGAATATTTAAACAAAATTAAAGTCTAGTTTCTAATTTCAATATCGTCTTATGAATCCTAACCTATACAACATCATGCATCGTTACTTTTCATAACGCTAAAAAATCTAAATATTCTAATGAATATTTTATATTTAAACGCATAGAAGGATTACTTATTGCCTTTGTGAAAGGTGACAAGCTTCAAAGGAGCCATGCAATCACAATGAAAAATTTTAGTCATGACGTAAATTAAAGAAATGTTAACATGTTTAAATTCGTGTGTTTTCATTTCAACGAAAACTTAGTCACTAAGGGTCTAAGGGGCTGATTACATCAGCCCGGTAGCCGCGATTTAGCGAAGCGTTAAATCATTTGGGCAAATGGAAAAGATTAAATACTTCACACACAACAAAAAACTTATTTGAGAAATTTCTCTATGCTCTGACTTTAAAATGAAAACAAATAATTTAGCCTGATTTGAAAATTACAGATAAAATGACTTATGACGCTTAAGAAAAGGTTGTAAGTCTTGCGCTTGAAGTTTTTTCAACTTTCCCTGACTCAAAATCATTTCACCCCTCGCTAAGGGATCCTTTTCCTTCGTTTGAAATTACCATAAGAGTGCATTGTAAATTATTATCTATCAAAACGGAGATTCATGAAAACAGTAGCCCCTTTATTGGTTGATGATGCCGGTCTTCGTGTTTAGAATGGTATAAACATATTGAATGGACATCGCACAACGGCTTATGAATGTATGAACATGTTATTAAAATATTTATCATCCACATGATCGCATTTTCCGATCCGGAAACATTTATGTAAACGAAGCAAATATTGGTTCTCAAACAACATAATAGATGCTTATCAAATATGCACTTCACCCACGAAAGCAGCAACGAACGAACGAAAAAGTGAAAGAAAAAGTCAACCATGAAGGCTGTGACAATGATCATGTTAACATGTTCTGTCTCTACTTTTGCAGTGAGGTAGGAGTTTTTGTCGTGGTTTTTTTTCCAGCTTTTAAGATCAGAAGACAAACAGTTTGTAGAAGGATTTACAAAATGTCAGTACGCGTTTGGAATGTGCAATAAGTGTACTTGAGTAGACAAGCATTATATGAGAAGTCAACAAGAGCATCCAAAATAGAAACAAAAGTTTTGATTTTAAATCAACCAAGCAATCACAAAGCATTAGCTTTTGATAGGAGGATTGATAAACACGAACAATCACCATTGTTCACTTTCATAACATCACGTTCAATTTAGATTACAGTGGCAAAGAGAAAGAAAGCCAGCCGTCAAACGAAGTCTGGGTGAGTGAACTCACTGAATTTACAGTGAGATCATAAACAATCCTCATGTTGGATCAATGATATCTTGGCACAAATGTTTACAATGAAAAATCAAACGATTAACGATTAATCATATTCAAATATTAGCATAAACTGTAAAAACCTCTCACTTTTATATTCAGGTCCTTTGCAGGTTAACCGTGGTCAGGTGACCTTTGATTCAGAAGGTAATGATAATCCAAACAGCATTTATTTCAGTCGTAAACCTCACGTTCCCAGCTCAGCATCAGGTATAACTATTGGTCGTGGTTATGATCTCAAATTGCGTAAACAATCTGAGGTATATAATGACTTAACAAACAGCGACATGTCGTCCTCGATTGCTCAGAAATTCTCTTATGGTATTGGATTGAAGGGAGATTGTGCCAAAAATTACCTCAAGGTAAGTATATAGCTTGCAACGAGGCATTTAGGGTGTAAAAATATCTTCGGCGTCAAACACGAACCATCAATAATTTTTACCCATTTACTTTCTATAAAAAGATGAAATACCAAACGTTTATGACTTCCATGTTTTTCTTGGTATCAGCATTGATTTATCGACTTCATAGAGCTATCATACGATTACCATACATCATACAACTACCATACATCATACAACTACCATACATCATAAAATTACCATACATCATACAACTACCATACATCATACAACTACCATACATCATACAACTACCTTACATCATACAACTACCATACATCATACAACTACCATACATCATACAACTACCATACATCATACAACTACCATACATCATACCATACATCATACAACTACCATACATCATACCATACATCATACAACTACCATACATCATACAATTACCATACATCATACAACTACCATACATCATACAACTACCCTACATCATACAACTACCATACATCATACAACTACCCTACATCATACAACTACCATACATCATACAACTACCATACATCATACAACTACCATACATCATACAACTACCCTACATCATACAACTACCATACATCATACAATTACCATACATCATACAACTACCTTACATCATACAACTACCATACATCATACAACTACCATACATCATACAACTACCATACATCATACAACTACCATACATCATACAACTACCATACATCATACAACTACCCTACATCATCCAACTACCATACATCATACAACTACCATACATCATACAACTACCATACATCATACAACTACCATACATCATACAATTACCATACATCATCCAACTACCATACATCATACAACTACCATACATCACTACCCTACATCATCCAACTACCATACATCATACAACTACCATACATCATACAACTACCCTACATCATACAACTACCATACATCATACAACTACCCTACATCATACAACTACCATACATCATACTTACCATACATCATACAACTACCATACATCATACAACTACCCTACATCATACAACTACCATACATCATACAATTACCATACATCATACAACTACCTTCATCATACCATACATCATACAACTACCATACATCATACAACTACCATACATCATACAACTACCATACATCATACAACTACCATACATCATACAACTACCATACATACATACATCATACAACTACCATACATCATACAACTACCATACATCATACAACTACCATACATCATACAACTACCATACATCATACAACTACCATACATCATACAACTACCATACATCATACAACTACCATACATCATACAACCCATACATCATACAACTACCATACATCATACAACTACCATACATCATACAACTACCTACATCATACAACTACCATACATCATACAACTACCTACATCATCCAACTACATCATACAACTACCATACATCATCCAACTACCATACATCATACAACTACCATACATCATACAACTACCATACATCATCAACTACCATACATCATACAACTACCATACATCATACAACTACCATACATCATACAACTACCATACATCATCCAACTACCATACATCATACAACTACCATACATCATACAACTACCATACATCATACAACTACCATACATCATCAACTACCATACATCATACAACTACCATACATCATACACCATACATCATACAACTACCATACATCATACAACTACCATACATCATACAACTACCATACATCATACAACTACCATACATCATACAACTACCATACATCATACAACTACCATACATCATACAACTACCATACATCATACAACTACCATACATCATACAACTACCATACATCATACTACCATACATCATACAACTACCATACATCATACAACTACCATACATCATACAACTACCATACATCATACAACTACCACTACATCATACAACTACCATACATCATACAACTACCATACATCATACAACTACCATACATCATACAACTACCATACATCATACAACTACCATACATCATACATCATACAACTACCATACATCATACAACTACCATACATCATACAACTCACCATACATCATACAACTACCATACATCATACAACTACCATACATCATACAACTACCATACATCATACAACTACCATACATCATACAACTACCATACATCATACAACTACCATACATCATACAACTACCATACATCATACAACTACCATACATCATACAACTACCATACATCATACAACTACCATACATCATACAACTACCATACATCATACAACTACCATACATCATACAACTACCATACATCATACAACTACCATACATCATACAACTACCATACATCATACAACTACCATACATCATACAACTACCATACATCATACAACTACCATACATCATACAACTACCATACATCATACAACTACCATACATCATACAACTACCATACATCATACAACTACCATACATCATACAACTACCATACATCATACAACTACCATACATCATACAACTACCATACATCATACAACTACCATACATCATACAACTACCTACATCATACAACACCATACATCATACAACTACCATACATCATACAACTACCATACATCATACAACTACCATACATCATACAACTACTCATCCAACTACCATACATCATACAACTACCATACATCATACAATTACCATACATCATCCAACTACCATACATCATACAACTACCATACATCATACAACTACCATACATCATACAACTACCTTACATCATACAACTACCATACATCATACAATTACCATACATCATCCAACTACCATACATCATACAACTACCATACATCATACAACTACCATACATCATACAACTACCATACATCATACAACTACCATACATCATACAACTACCCTACATCATACAACTACCATACATCATACAACTACCATACATCATACAACTACCATACATCATACAACTACCATACATCATCCAACTACCATACATCATACAACTACCCTACATCACTGTCCAACAATACACCATAAGTAAGCCTACAAACATACATATATAAAGTAGGGACTATATATACATGTACATACATAAGGACTACCATAAATACGTCATAGGACATAACATCATGCATTACCATATATTACTCATACTACTTTGCCACATGGTCGCAAGTCTTGTAAACTAAAGAAGACTGTTACTGTCTTTTATGTATTATTTAAAGAGGTGTCAGTTGCACAGTGAAATCTTACTATTTTGTAAATTAACACAGGCACACAATCTAGAGAATCACATAATCAGTCATGAAGAACAAAAAAAACTTTTCTACATTGCATATGACGAAATAGCTGCTGATGCAAAACGACTAGCAACAAAATCAGATGTCCAACGGGCTTACGGTGTCACAAACTGGGCACAACTAAATCCATCAATCAAAGAGATTGTCGTGGATCTAAGATATCGCGGCGACTATACACCGACTACGAGAAGAAAAATCCAACGGGCAGTTGCTGCAAACAATCTTCCACTTTTTACACAACTCATGAGCGACTCAACATATTGGTTAACTACGATAGGAGTGCCTCGAGATCGCTTTCAACGTCGTGTTGATGCTTTGAAAAAAGCTGGGTAAAAAGAAGACGAGGTCGAACTTTTTTTTTGGTTGTTTTGTACCTTTTCAATAGCAAGTAATTATTATGTAATTAAACAAAACCAAACAAAATACATTAAAGAATTTTCCACCAAGTCTTACTCTAATAAATTTTTATTCTTCACCTTACCTCAACCATTAGGATTTAAAAATCGAATTTAAGTCACAGAAATAGTGAAATCCCAGTGCTATATTAATAAAATATGCAGTAAAGATACGTACAGACCATATTACACTATAAGCTTGTTTTTTGTTGTAATGTTCCCGTGTCAGCCCAGTAATCTTGAGTGGAACTCTGGCGTCTTAAAGCATATTTTCTCTTGCTTAACTTTCTTGCTCTCAGTATAATCAAACTAGCAACAACCAACGCAAGGAGAACAACAAGCGCACAAATGATGTAATGAATTGTAAGATCGCCTTCTTTACGTTCATTGGAGGAAATTGTTAACACTTCAACGCTTTTCTGCAACATCACGCCCTTTGTATTACGTTTAACAGTTGAAAGGAAAATGTTTATATTTTGATCGTTTATTCCCGAACTTGGACTAGATTCATAAAACATGTAGGCCAAGACAGGGATTGGTTTACTTGTTGATGCCAAGATTGTTTGTAACTGGTCAATAGCATCTGCGTGATAATCCGAGCTTTCCAAGGGAACATCAGTTATTGACGTCACATGTGTCCTAACCAATGGTGACGTCACTGAAAGCAACTTCGAAGCTAAAAGTGTTTCATTGGTCACAATTGTTGGTGAAAAGGTTTTTGTGATGAATGGAGTGTTACGCAAGAAGAGTCTTGTGTCATTGGTTGAAGCTTTTTTTGGAAATGGACATGATTTTAAAAACTTTCCTCTGGCTGATATTCCATCAGAACTCTTGTTGTAATTAAGTATTACATGATAACCATTGAAGACAAATTCCTGTAAACAACCTTCAAAATTATTAAAATTTTTCCTACCGCCAAGAGTGAAAGATGTTTTTTCAGATGGTAGATGAAATTTGTCAAAAGAACCTTCGGTTTTCCCACTCGCCCTATCAGAATCATCGACAGTGAGATTAACCATTCGCCTGGCACGTTCCAATCTCACGTTATGCCATTGGTTGTCGTTATAAAAGTTCTTATTGGTTACAATTGTTACACTACCGGAACCTAAGTTCACTGTTACAGCAATTCTACCGTTGTAAAATTCGAGACGTAGATAGTCTCCTTTATGAGCCGTAGAAAATATCTCACCGTTACGTTGGCTCGAACGAACACGAATGAAAAAGTCTGTTCTTTCTAAAGCAGTCTTAATATTTGACGACAATATGTCAAAGATAACACCTTGCTCCGGAGTGAGTCCAACAACAGGTAATTCTATAACATATAAGGACAATGAGAACAAACTTGAGCAATGATGAGATGAAGTCAGCCCACAGTTGGTCATATTATGGAATGTAAACTGCGCATTAAGATTTTTACTTCCACACGAAGACAACATTTTTATATGTAATAAGTGACCATTTTTGCCGGATGCAAACACCACTTACATTTGTTATAAATTCAAGCTTCAAAATTACGAGATAAATGTTTGCACTAAAAGGATGCTCAAGCAACATCCACAAAATAAAAAAATAAAAAGTACATCCCCTACCATACCTTTTTGTAACAAACAATGAAAAAATAATAATCGATAGCCATTTCATTTATTACATTTCCACCAACCTTTTTCACAGAACTTTCCATAGTAACCAGTAGATTCACAGAGACAATCAGACATGGCAAACCTGTTCACACAAACACCGTTATTTTGACATGAATTGTTCAGCTTACATGCGTCTTTGCATTCGTTATCCATCGCAGACGAGCTTAACACCTTGGGAGAACTGATGTCTGTGGAGTTTCTACCAACATCATATAGATACAAGTCCTCAATGCATCCCAAGAATCGAGCCTTAAACTTTATTTCATCGTGAGATAATGAAAATAAACCAACATGATTTGAAATGCCACCAAAATAGGTAGCGCTTTTCAATTTCATTGAGTTTGTAATGTTAAAAACTGCTTGCACTTCATTATTGAGTTTGAACATTACATGTTGCTTACTTATTTTTAAATCAATTTTATGCCAGCGTAAATCGTTGACATCATATGTCGATGTAATTTTCAATGTTTTGCCAGTTTTCTCCCGCATTTCAAAAACAAGAAGCTTTCGATTGATGTAAAATGTAAGATAGTTTCCTTCTCCCATATCATCAACATAAAACAAGAGACCAGCATTGACATACGTTTTAAAACGAAAACCAACTAAGATCACACCATCTGCGTTTGCGTGTAAAGGCTCAAATTCCACAAACGATGTTTGCAAGTTAAACAGAGAAAAACCTGAAGCGGTAGTGATGCACAAAAACAAGACGAGATGAGGCATTCTTTGCGCAGCAAAATGCACAAATTGCTTCGTTGCTAGAAAAATCTCCTGTGACGTAGCTCAAGAAGATTTATAACCTTCAAGATATCCAGCCGAATAAACTTATATGATGTTCAAATGTTTATGTTTTCCAGTAAGGTATTCGTGATTTAAAAAACAATAATCAAAACCTACACATCAATATGAAAAAGTTTCAACACTAAACATCAAATGACAAGTGTGTACACTAAAACTTGTACAATAATCTAATTCAGACAATTCATTGTCAGCAGTGAACAGGTGTCGATCAAAGTCTGAGAACATAAAATGTCCACGCTAACGGGGGGTAAATTGCATTATTTGTCAACGCAAATCTCAAAAAACTTCAATGTTTTTATGTGAAAATAATCTAAAATACCTAAAAGCAATTCTTTTTCAGAATTTCATTTGTAGAAGGCCGGTGAGTTTTAATTCAGTTTATCGTTCCCAAATTAACACATGTTTTTTAAATATTTGACAAAAATCCCGCAGTGATTGACTGAAAGTTTTTCTGTTTCTCTAAGTCGTACAACCATCGCAAGTAATTCATGGACTTTTTCAATAAGAATGAAAGAAAATAAATTATTTGTAAAAATTTTCAAATATATAAAATAATACTGTCCAAAAACTTGTCTTTTCCCCCCACATAAATGACACAATATCGCTTGTCACTTTGAAGCAAAGAATGCAGACACAATAAAACAACTCAGCAGATTTGCAACGAAGGATGCAAATACTTCACGGGAAATTGAAAATTCGTGAGCGCCAATTTGATATATAAGAATACGAGTATAATCAAGTGTCCAGCGGCTATACACCATAAAACGTTGGAACGATGTCCTACATTTCTTTAACTCGTCTCTAGCAACAGCTTCGACGCAACATTTGGACATAGTAACAAAGGAGATGAAAGAAGAGCTGGTATGTAGTTGATGGTCGATATTGCGAAGAAGATCGTTCGTTTTAAAAATAAGTAACAGTTGACGAGGAATGCGGTTTAAAACGGTTGAAATATGATTTAGATTCGTCGCTATAGATTCTCGCAATTCTTGGAGCTATAGGAACAAAGCACAAAAGATTTATCTCCGGGAAGGATAACAGACGAGTTCCGCTCCGCATTAGCTGATATTTCGGCGCGTACGATACTTTGAAGTAATCACTAATCCACCAACTCGGATAATCTTAAATAATCACTAATCCACCAACTCGAATAATCTTAAAATAATCACTAATCCACCAACTCGGATAATCTTAAAAAATCACTAATCCACCAACTTGGATGATTTTAAATAATCACTAAGCCACCTACCTCATCTCTTGACAGTGCTGTATTATTTCTAATACCGCCTACGACTGTGTTCCATGTTCTTGCAGACAGCATACACGCAAATATCCCATAGTATTCCTCAACATCCATTCTCCTACTATACTCTTTTATCCCTTCCAAGTCAGCTGACATAATTGCTTGCCAAAGTTTACAATAGTTTATTCTTAAGTCGTCCGTTAGTACCTAAAAAACATTGAAAACTTTTATCAGTAACACATAAAGAAAAAGAAATTGAATTTCTAAAGGTCTTACTTGATATAGACCGTGATCTAGCAAGACAATTTCCACATCCTTCCTGCTGTTCTTTCGAATCAATATATTTCCAGGGTGGGGATCACAATGTATATAACCTTGTACAAATATCATCTCGCTGTATATCTTGCCAACTTTACTTGAAACCTTCAATAAAGAAAAGCAAATCTAACAAAAGAAATTGAAGACAAATGAATACAAGACGATTACTTAACCTCTTTGGAAGAAATGTTATGATACTTCATGTAGTCGAAATCGTTAACGTGACCACCTTCACAAAATTCCATCGTCAGAATTCTTTTGCTGGAATAGTTCCAATAAACTTTAGGAATCTACAGAAATATTTAAAATTTGAGCTAACAGTCAGAGTAAAAATGTGCGCTAATGAAAATGTCATTAAAAGATACAGTTGCTACCTTTAAAAAGTCTAATTTTGAAAACCTTTCTTGCAGTTTTTCTGAGTTCTTTCCCTCATGAAGAAAGTCAAGTTCCAATGGCAAATTTTTCTTTGTCTCCTCGACAATCCACATAAATTGAAATTCTGGAAACAGTCTTGCCACAAGGTTTACTAAAAACTGAATACAAAAGACAAAAAATGTATTCTACTAAGGGCACAATTCAATAGCTCTTACAAATCAACCTTGTATGGTGGGGTATAGTTTTTATCTTGAATGTCGATTTAATTGTTTATGAAAACTCATAAGCTCCTAATTTTATGACATCATTTGTAGTAAAATTCAAAAAAGAAATGACATACTTCCATTGTCTTCACATCACTTGTTGAATGATCATGAATATCCTTATGTTGCACCTTGACAGCAACTGAACAACCATCCTTTAAAATGGCCTTATGAACTTGAGCTAGGGACGCTGACCCTAAACATGTTTTTGAAATAAACATGATTATTTTAATGAAATATACCCAAATTTTGTTTAAAGGATGAAGATTGCATCCAAATTTTACCTCATACCAATTGGCTCGGTATCAAAATATTCAAATATTTCTTCAGGAAAACTTCCAAGTTCTTTTTGAAAAACGGAATTAATATCTGCCATTGAGCTTTTTGGTGCAGAATGATGAAAAACTTTAAGAACTTTTGTATATTCACAAGGAAGCAAATAATCAAGAGAGCCTAGATGTTGTCCAATTTTTATGTACAGTCCAGCATTAATGCAGCATAAATTACGAAGTCTTTCAGCTGACCTGGAATGCACCTATATATATATGTATGTGGTGATAAAATAAAAGATATAAACAGTAGAAATAGCACATATACACACCATCAAATGTTAATTTAAAGTAAAACCTGAGATTTGAGTTTATCCCATAGTTCAGATGATCCATCTAATCCCCAAAGTGTCTTCTTATAATCATAACTTATTTGAGCAACCTATAACACAATAACATCGTTTATAAGTTTGCGTTGACATACTCTTTTTCCACATTGTTGATGGTATTCAAACATTTGCTTAATTTCAACAAACAGTATGCCCACATTGTTTGCTTGATTAGCTTCATATAGGATATGTTAAGCTGGATTAAAAAGTTGGAAAAATACCCAAACAATAAATATAAATATACAGATAGCTAAACGTTCAAAATGCACACGGAGAAATTCTTGGCACGAGATAAAGAGATGACCAGTTTGGTTGCCCTGGACTCTGCAGGACAGTTGAAATAATATGATAGTGCATATTCTTGGATTTAAACGTTGCATAAAACATACCGTGAAGGCAGTTCTTGTAAACCTCACAACAGCTTGACCTGTAACTGCCGGACTACCTTCAGACATTCCACCAACTGCACCCAGAACACAAATAGCTGTACCGGTTACCATTGACCCAACGTAAAGTAACTTTCTTTTCATTTTTGAACAAGTACATATAGTGCAATGCATAGAATTTCAAACGTTTTATCAATAATTCACAATAAACTTTTAGTTTTATTACATAAGAGGGATTTTCTTACATAATCTTTTTTTCTTGATATAGAAATTTCGGCCATAGTTAATTATATTGCTTAGTGGTCAGCGGTGTCAACAGTCGTTTTTTACTGCATTTTGAAAAATACTTTCAACGAACATTTTAACTTATGAACTTAACGAGCGCCTATTATTATCTGTTTGTAAGTTCTAAATAGGGCTTTTGTCTTGCTCAGTTAGGTAAACCGAAAAGATAAAGCAGATCTAGAACCTGTAAAGACATTCTTAGTTGCTACAGTACCCATCTGGTCGTTGTTAAGGCCTAAACCTTTTGATACAATAATCACAACCACAAGAATGGGACCAACCTGTAAGAATTCAATGAAGTACTATTAGTTTTGTCCTTGCCCATTTTTTTTAAGACATTGCTCCGTTATAAACATTTTAGCCAGAAGTTCCTCAACATCTACACTCAATAGTCTAAAAAGAAGGAATGTTTTTTTGTATAAGAAAATTTGATGGTGTGTGCCATACCCCATCTCTATTATCAGCTGACACAAATTTAGATTTAGTTGCGAGAACGCGACAAATCGGGAATTTCAGGAAATATCACTGATATTTTCTTTAAAAATCATATTGAGAATTCTCTTCTATCCACTTTTTTTTATAAAATGTTCTCAATTATCCAACTGAGAGCTACGTCAAATGACAAAAACCTGAAAAACTCAGCGTATGCTGGTAATAAAGCTGCTATTTCCTTATACAATATAATACGTATAATTTTTCTTTCAAAACAACTCATCAGCCAAATTCTTTAAATGGGATGTTTGTCATATCAATCATATGTATCAATGTTCAAGGCCAAGGCTAAGTAGTCCAATGAGCAAATGATAGGATGTCTCTGACTTGAAAAATCTTTGATAGGATATCATTGACCTGAGAAATCTTTGACCCAGGAAGGTCATCGTCGTCATTGCAGGAAATTTGATGCATCATCGATAGAGCATCGCCGCGGGTTAGTTTGTATAAAACCTGCGTCTAGGATCACATACCATTATGGCTCAGTTTGTCAAAATTGTTAAAACTCTTTACGGAAAAACCGACGATGAACAAGAGGTGTATAAATTCACAATCGAAAGTAAAAATGGTCTCGTTCTGGAGTTAATCAATTATGGTGCTATTGTCGTAGCAATCAAGTGTCCAGACAAGTACAGTTAACATAATTAAAGAACACTGTCTTGAAAATAGTTAACAATGTTCATAATTTCCTTTTTTTCCCCTTTGCATTTTATGTTTTGGTTTAGTAAACTTTTGCTTGCGTTTTGCTTAGATATGGTAAAATTGATGACATCACGTTGGGATTTGATGATTTGAAAGGTATTGAAGGATAAATCTCCAACATGACAAGAATTCATTTGTAACATTATGTGTACTATATTCACCTCATTCCAATGATAAACAGAACAGGATTTGCTTTTCTCCATCATTTCAATGGTACCTATAAATCTTTTTAATTAATATCAGGCTACCTTCATCAAAATAACCATTATTTTGGTGTAACTGTTGGTCGAGTTGCCAATAGAATATTGAATGGTCAGTTTGAGATTGATGGCTTGACTTATAAAGTACCAGTAAATCATCCACCTTATTGTAATCATGGTGGTTGGAAAGGATTTGATAAGGTTTGTTCATACTTCATACTATTTAACTTTATATTTCTTAATCAATTCAATAAAATCGTTACTATTTTAGTATATATGGGACTATCAAATGAACGAGAATTCGGTAACTTTCAGTCGAATCAGTGAAGATGGTGAGGAAGGATTTCCCGGAAACTTGAAGATTGAAGTAACCTATGGACTAAAAGAAAACCACGAAATTCACTTTGATATCACTGCAAGTACTGATAAGCCAACATTAATCAATATCCTAAATCATTCATACTTCAACTTAGCTGGACAGGTAAAATATTTTTCATCATAAAATACGTACGCACTAAGGACCATCAAAACCGAACCCGGTTAATTATATTGCGCATGCGTAGTATTTCGTAGGACTTGATAAATGCTAACGATGTAGGCTTTTAGATGAGAAATGACCAGTGAATTTTTTCATTTCGCCAATGGATACTTGTGGTTAGGAGGGGATAAGACGATTTTAAAACTTCTTGTTGTAGACGGATAAAGATATTTTAGACCACGTAGCGCAAATCACAGCGAAGAAATATCTCCAATCAAACATACATAATGGCCCTACAGGTACAGGACAAAAACAAGAGTGATACTATACTTGGGTTATAATGGTGTTTGTACATATGAATATGGAACATATTGACGTTATTCTCGTGAATACTTCTTTTACTTTGCATGTTTTAGGAGAAATAATTGAGGTTAAAGACAACATCCCATTTGATTTCACAACTCCAAAAACAATTGGCTGTGATATAAAGAAATGCCCTAACGAAGGTTATGATCACAACTATTGCGTTAACAGTCCAGGTGACATTAATCAACTACAGGTCAGGTACTATGCCTTTAATACAGATTAACGGTTACGTTAAATGATCTATTTTGAAACATGGATGTTCGTTACAAAATATTTTCTCTTGCAGAGTAGTTGATCCAAAATCTGGACGTGGAATAGAAGTGTACACCACCCAACCAGGGGTACAGCTTTATACAGCGAACGGTTTTGATGGCAAACTTGCAGGAAAACTTGGGATAGCTTATCCTAAATACGGGGTTTTGCTTAGAGACACAAAACTGGCCTGATGCTATACATCACGTACGTGTGATTCCTTGGAATAGCATTTATTGCTATATATGGAAATAAACCTTGAAACTACTTTTTTTTCAGGAAAATTTCCCCAATTCGATTCTACGACCTGGAGAGACCTACCATCACAAAACTATATACAAGTTGATCGTTATCTAACAAAATGCTTTCTCATTTAAACTCGTATTAAGAGCAACTTTTCGAACAAGAGGAGTATCGTTGTTGATTTTATTGATTTGAATAAAATAATACGTCGTTAAAGAGTTAATAAAAGGATTTAAGGAATGTAAATTTAAAAGTAAAGCAAAATAGTATTCTCTTTTTCATTTATATGTGTGTATTGTCGCAATGTTGTCAAGCTCTCCAGTACCTATAGAGATTCTTTTAAGACCTCTGAAGCGTATTTTTCAGTCAGAAAAGCATCAAAATCAAGAATAACTTATTGGGTGTGTCTAACGTGACAGTCTTCAAGAGATTATGTCTAAAATACAACTAACGTGTTTTTCGCACATGCTATTGTTTTATCAAAACTGTTGGAAAAATACTGGCCTGTACACAGAAATGTATCAGAAACAGGATTCTTAAACAATCACCATAGTAACAACCCAAAGAAATATATATATATATATATATATAATATGAAGTATACGGTATATGTATGGGCTCTTGAAACACACATATTATGTGCTCAACAACTATAGAATGCCTTTACTTCATGTAGCATATTGTTTGAATTCTTACTCGTTTATTGCGTTTTGACGCACGTACAGAAATTGTCTCCAGCAATTGAGTAATGTCGTCAGTTATCAAGTATAGTTCGCAATTGATTGTTTTTCAACACTAACCAGTGAAAATGAAATTGTAAAAAGTTTTCGAACGAATTCTGCCATAACACTTTAAGATGACATTAAATATTCCCTAACAACCTAAATTCATCTTCATTAACGCAAATTGTTTTGCCTGAATTTGATGATATTATTGGATATGACGTCGTGCTCACCATAGCAACAGTACTCGTTGACGGTGCTACCACTGATCTGAATCCAAGACCAGAACCAGAGCCCGACTCTGACACAGTGGCATTTTGTGAATCCACTCCTGATCCACTTCCAGATAAGCCTGATCCCTGGCTTTTCAAACTCTTTGCTGCCTCTTTATGAACAAGAAAATAGCCATCTGCACATGCGCAACTACGCCCACCTGGATTTGGCAAACACAAGTTGGAACAGCCTCCGTTATCTTCTTTACATTTGTGGGAAACTGAATAAAGACAAAGGGCAAAATGTGTAATTGCTAAGGATAACTTTTGTTACAAGAATACTTGGAGGACAAAACTATAACAAAAGCTACTGACACTTGCATTAAAATCCAGCATACGAATACATGAGCATGTTTGGTGTACTCAAACCATTCGAAATTATTCATTATTTTTGTGAATGCAAGTGTACTATAAATCTATATTTCGTTTTATAATTGAGTGATTTCACATTGAGCAAGAAGATTTCACTCTCATATTGTGTTGTTTTGCAAACTGCATTTGCAAAAAATAGTTTGTTCACTCACCAATGTCTGGTTCTTTGACAACTTTAATACCATAGAGGGAACCAGTTGTACCAGGAAAACTCTTGATCGCTGGCTCCAATCTAAAATTCCCTGTATCGTAGTATTGTATTGTTCGTGTAGTCCAATCCGTCCATATTAAATATTGACCAAATGATGAAATACCAAATGGATAGCTAAATGAGCAGTCATGAAACGACTTGTATATGGTTTTTTATTTTCTCATTTTAATTAGAAATGGCTTCAAATCGAACATGCAATGAACAGGGCAATTTCCAGGTCAAAATTTGTATGAAATTTCGCGCACATTTAGAGACGCTGTCTGTGATAGTAACCTAGCCATACAGTCAGTCACTCGGTTAGTGATAGTAACCTAGCCATACAGTCAGTCACTCGGTCAGTGATACTAACCTAGCCATACAGTCAGTCACTCGGTCAGTGATAGTAACCTGGACATACAGTCAGTCACTCAGTCAGTGATAGTAACCTAGCCATACAGTCAGTCACTCGGTCAGTGATACTAACCTAGCCATACAGTCAGTCACTCGGTCAGTGATAGTAACCTAGCCATACAGTCAGTCACTCAGTCAGTGACAGTAACCTAGCCATACAGTCAGTCACTCGGTTAGTGATAGTAACCTGGACATACAGTCAGTCACTCGGTCAGTGATACTAACCTAGCAGCGGGGAACACAACCTTAGATTTTCCATCGTCAAGATTTGCACAAGAAATTGAACCAAATAAAGCATTGGTCCAACAAAGCATCTTCTGTTTTTTATCTAGTGTAAGACCATTTGGCAGACCAATTTCTTGCTGAATAAATATACGTCGACTCCCCCCGTCCATATTGGCAATCTCGATCTTTGGAGCCGCTCGATTCCAATCTGCCCAATACATCGTTCTATACAAGATAAAGTGTAATAATTTAAAAAAGCTTCATAATTTTAGAAAGTTTGAGATCTTAAGAAATATGCATACCCTTTCTCTGGATGTACCACTATGGATCTTGGATTGATAAGACGCGAGGAAAAAAGAATTTTTTTGTCATTACCGTCAAGTTTTGATACTGCGATTAAATCAAAGGCGGAGTCGGTCCAGTAGAGATTTCCACCAATATAATCGACAGCAATACCTGATTACGAATAAGTCTTAAACATTAAACTACTTAAATAAAATGCTACCTATCGCCATAAAATTGAAGACAGGTTTTCAACTAGTCCCAATCGTTTAACGCAGGGTAGTAAGTTAAAATGCAGGACTTTTGCAGGCGTCTGGTAGTAGTATTTCGTTTCATGCAAGTATAGAAAATGTTTTTCAATTCGCAAATATACATTTTACATTCCCGGAGCTGGTTGTGCACGAAGCCTAGATAGCGTTATCCATTGGATAGCAAGTTTTTTTAAAATTTTACAAAACCTTTTAAAAACCAAAGGTTTCCAAGGTTCGAACTAAGCAATCACTGAAATAAAATATTGTTTCGAAGATTACAAAACTTCTTTGTCTTAAGAAAAATGTAAACACCTTTTTGCAAGTTTGAAAATTTTTCCTATCCAATGGATAAGGTGCAACCGTCTCCTGTAATACCTTCGTTTAAATGGTCAGGGACAAATTCAAGTTGCATTTATTAGATTTACTTTAACGTCAGAAATATTTTGTCCAAAAGAATGGCATTCCATTGTTAAAAAGATCAGGAGCAAAAATAACATCCTTATCGCTATTATTTTTTGCAACACACACCTTCAGGACTAGAAAGACCTTCAGAGATTATCTTCTCGGTACCAGTACCATTAAAAAAGACGCGCCATATGGCTTTGCGTGCAACGTCAGTAAAATAAATCATCTTGTTGACGTAATGAAAATCCATGGCAACCAGTAAACCAAGTGACGTCTGTAATAAAACACCAACACTTTGTTGCGTTGGTGGCAAAGACAACCGTTGCATTGTACTGCCTCGCGTAAAAACAATGAATTCATTGTCAACTATGAAAAAATAAAACGAGAAGGAAAGAAAAATTCAAAAATACACATTATGGTGTACACAAAAAAAATTTTTGGTTTCGTTTTGCACACAAAAAAAATTTCAATATTGTCAAAACATTATTTTTCCAAGATAAAACAACTCAATTTCTCACCCCATTGACAGCGATCTCCTGAATAACCCTTGCGACATGAACATAGCGAGCCCACACATTTTCCACCATTTAAACAATGAGCACAAACGGCTAAAACGAAAATAAGTTCACGTCGATATTTTCTATTGTTATATTTAGTGTGTACACTGTTTTGACACTGAAGTATTTTGAGTCTGAACTGAACTACTTTGTGTCTAAATTGTTTTTTAATTGAGCCATTTCTTGTCTAAACCATATTGAGATGTGGGCTCATGATAAAGTGGTAGAGCCCCCCCCCCCTTCATGCATCTCAATAAAATAGAAACAAACTTACGCTCACAGTCGACACCATTCCATCGGTAAGTTCTTGCACATGCGCAGAGATAACTTCCCGGTGTATTGACACATCGCTGATTGGATGAACAATTAACCAATGAAACGTTTTCGCATTCGTTCACATCTATAAAAAAAGTTCACAAACATCAAAAAAAGCAACACTAAAACAGTGGACAAATTAAAACATAATATTACTATACGTTAGATTTATAATACAGTATTGAATAAAATATTTTTAGGAAGTAAAACTATCAATCATACCCACGCAAATATATCCATTTCCAAGGAATCCCTGTAAACATTCACATTGTTTATTGTCATCCACATCAGCTTTACATACTCCATTCCTATGACATTTTCGACCACCGCAACTTCCGTCGCCTGAATAAAATATAAAAGGTTTTTTTCAATGTCACACCATGTTTTCCTATTTCATATAAGGGCGAAAGAACGATTAAAAAACTGCCTAACTAGTAGCTTTTATGAAACATGAAGAATTAATACTCATAAAGAAAAGTCACAGTTATATACGCACTAGCTTGGTTACAAACACATGCAGCTTATAAAAAACAACAACACAACTTTGTACAAGACAATGTTGCGTACTTCTACAGGTAAATCCATCGCCAATATATCCAGCTAAACAATAACAAACATATGATCCTTTTGTATTCACACATCTTGCGTTCTTGCTACAATTATGTCTTCCAGTCTTGCATTCGTTGTAGTCTATAAGAGTAGTGATCACTTTGTTCATTATAAACGACCAATACATCATTGGATAGCAAAAGGTTTAACTAATGACTAACCTACCTTGACACTCTTGCTCATCACCATAGTAACCTGAGTTACACTCACACATTGGTGATCCGCCAATGACAACACACTTAGAATTTAAGTTACATGAAACACCTTCACAGGGATCAATATCTACATGGGATTACAATGAGAGATCAATATCTACATGTGAGTACAATGAGAGATCAATATCTACATGGGAGTACAATGAGAGATCAATATCTACATGGGAGTACAATGAGAGATCAATATCTACATGGGATTACAATGAGAGATCAATATCTACATGGGAGTACAATGAGAGATCAATATCTACATGTGAGTACAATGAGAGATCAATATCTACATGGGAGTACAATGAGAGATCAATATCTACATGTGAGTACAATTTGAGATCAATATCTACATGTGAGTACAATGAGAGATCAATATCTACATGGGAGTACAATGAGAGATCAATATCTACATGTGAGTACAATGAGAGATCAATATCTACATGTGAGTACAATGAGAGATCAATATCTACATGGGAGTACAATGAGAGATCAATATCTACATGGGAGTACAATGAGAGGAACAAATCTCTAAGTAATCTTTTTAAAGACTAGAGGATAAAATAATGTCAAGATTTTCACCAAAAATATCAATAATAAATAGCATTTATCAATGGTCTCTTAATGAGAGGGATGGACTATATATTAAAAGGAAAATACGATAAAAAACATCTTATTATGAATGAGGTGCTAGTAGAATCATAAATATATATTTCGATGGATAAAGTAGAATAAAACATGATCTATATATCTTTTGATAAGAGAAGGGGGAGTATGACAAAGAAATTTTTTTTCAAACATTGCCACAGAAATCAAACTAACATTCACATTGACGACCATTGCCAATGTAACCCTGTTCGCAGGTACATATAAACGAACCAATCGTGTTATCACATGTTGCCAAAGAAGAACAATTAGCTGAGCCTTCACTACATTCATCTTTGTCTGAAATTGAGTAAAAATATTTTAACGCACACTGTTCACATCATAACACACAACAATAAAGTGTTAGTGTTAATGGTTAGTGTTAATTACGACAACCAACGATTATTGACGACAACTAACGACATTGACAACAACCAACGATTATTGACGACAACCAACGATTATTGACGACAACCAACGATTATTAACGACAACCAACGACTGCTGACTAAAGTAAACGATTATTGACGACAACCAACGACTGCTGATTAAAGTAAACGATTATTGACGACAACCAACGACTGCTGATTAAAGTAAACGATTATTGACGACAACCAACGACTGCTGATTAAAGTAAACGATTATTGACGACAACCAACGACTGCTGATTAAAGTAAACGATTATTGACGACAACCAACGACTGCTGATTAAAGTAAACGATTATTGACGACAACCAACGACTGCTGATTAAAGTAAACGATTATTGACGACAACCAACGACTGCTGATTAAAGTAAACGATTATTGACGACAACCAACGACTGCTGACTAAAGTAAACGATTACTTATTGATGAACAAAATTTTTCTGTCACTCACCTTGGCAAGATAACCCGTTTCCTTCGTAACCATTTTGCAACGACATGTGGGAATTACACCACTTCTATCACAATATGCGTTGGTGTCACAATTATTACCATAGCAGCCGGGTGACGGAGTAGTAGCTACTACGGCTAAGAAAGCAACATAAATGTTACAGCCTTATACGAAAGAATGTACCGATAGTTATAATTGCAAGGTTAATTATCCTTTTAAATCAAAAGAAAATTAAGATTCGTTTATGATTTTCAATATTGCTAATGATAAATTATTGAAACAAAGATGGATATTTTACCTGTGCAATTATTGCCATTGAAACGATAACCATTACGGCACTGACATACTCCATCAATGCATTCTTGTGTAAAATCACACTGTCCACTATCTTTAGTGCAAATAACGCCCGACCCAGAAATTGCTAAATACACAACACATCAAAAACGTTGAGCGCTCAAACGAGTTCACGTGATAGCAGTTAGAAGTCTGATTGGACAATAAAACTTACAATCTAGTATACACGTTGTACCATTTCCTGTATAACCATCACTACAAATGCAAACGTATGAGCCAACAGTGTTAACGCAGTTAGCGTTAACTGAACACTGGTCAATATCAAGTACACATTCGTTTGCATCTAGTAAAAATCATTTCTACAATAAGCAGGATAACACAACTGGAGTATTTTAAACTCTGAAGTGAGAAGATGATACATGAACTCAACCTTCGCAACTTTCTCCATCGCCAATATAACCAACATTACAATCGCAAACATCGACATTATCTTTAGTGACGCACTGAGCAAAAGAATGACATTTTCTTGCTTCATCACCGCATCTTTCATGATCTGAGAGAAGAAAAGAAAGACATACGTACATTAAATGCAAAGAAATTTTTGATGAAAAAATTCTGACACCTTTAAGACACTCATTGCCATGTTTAGTGAAGCCATTGCTACATTCACAAATGTAAGATCCAAGAGTGTTTATGCAGATAGAATTAGATGGACATTCGGTGATGTTTAATACACATTCTTCAACATCTAAAAGGAAAAACAAAGAAATATGTGTGAATGAGGAAATAGTATCCGTGTTGAGAACTGACATGAAGTGTGTGAGATTAAATATAATATGACCAATTAGATTACAGAACTACTGCAATCTGACCAATTAGATTACAGAACTACAAGTATGGAGATTGCTCAGTTTCAAACACAGAGCTAAAAAACAAGAAGTGATTTTTGATCATAATATCCGAGAGTCATGATGAATAGGTGCACAAGAATAAAAACACGTCTATTTTTTAGACGCCTAGAGACTTTGTGAAATATTTGAAATACTGAACTGGAATACAATCATTTTCCAAGATTTGACCTCAGTCATGGCGAAGCCTGTTCAAAGATAGAGGGGCAGGTAGGGGGTCAGAATAGCACAAGAACATACTCTAGGTGTGACACCAAGCTATACCTAATGAACTGCTCGTCTGTGGAAAAAGTGGGGGTTGGAGGGCATAGATTTTCGCTTTAAAAGTTCAGTGAAGTGTAATAACTTACCACGACATGAGTAGCCATCACCAAGGTAACCAATGTTACATTGACAAAATTCCACCTCATTTTTAACAATACATCTTGCATCAGGATGACACATTCGCCTTTCATCACCACAAGTATCTGAGAAAAAAAACTCAATTCACATGCGATAAAGTATATAAAACAAGACACTTTAAAAATCTACCCAACATTTTTCATTTACCATTTTCCTCCATCTTGGCTTTTATGGCGAAATTTACCAACAACTTTCGACGATCGTAGAATACCCTAGCATCGCTAACTATCATTTTAGAACTTTTAATATTCTCGCAACCTTGTACCTCGTCGAATTGCAAAACTTCCCCAACGTCCATTTTGAATTTCTTTGTACCAACGTTAAATGAAGTATCATAATAACCACGTATTACACCAAGTTTATCATATCTGTACGTATGAACATAGTCTTTTAACTTTATAAATTTCTCTGAACCTAAGACAGGCATCTTTCCTTCCAAATATACTTCAAACATTAAAACACTCTCGTTATTCTTTCCACGCATCGTCTCACGAACACTCACAGATTCGCCTGGAAAATAAACAAAAGTTAAACAAAAAAAAACCCAATAAAAAGTACCATGCTTTAAATGGCCAGCAAGCTTCATATGAATCATAACAATTCATTACAATTGTCGGTTTAAAAATCGCTTACAAAAACAAGTTTTTAATCAACTCCGTTGAACGTGTGTGGCTACAAATTCGTTTTTCAGACAGATTAAGTCTAAACACAGATTAGACTTAATCTGTCTGAAAAGATTCCATAGTTCACACTCTACAAACGCAAGCAATTTTTCACACCTGTGCTGAATGAAACTTGCGATCGTCGTACGTAGCTCCATCCAAGGAAACTGAAGGCATGTTTTCTAGTGAGTGAAGGTTGCGCAAACAAGAAAAGAAATGTTGAAACGGAGGGGGTGAACACTCGAAGATACTTGCTCAGGGTTGGTGGGACTGGGTCGAGTGCAATGTACGTGGTTTCAGTCACAACATCACTGAATACGTTTATGGTGATTCCGTCTAAAGAAATTCCATTTATCATTCCAGTTAAGTTGCCGATCATAAAAACACTTATTCCTGAAACAAAAGAAAAAAGAAAAAATTCAAACTTACTTTGTCAATAATAGAGATGCTATTATGATTAATAATTGCTATAAACAAACACGTGATTTTATATCACATCATTAAAGTTTCAATATGATATCACTTTAGGTGAAGAAACTAGACTGGAGTATATAAGACCTCAAGTTTCAACGTCAGATCACTCTGATGAAGACACTAGACTTCAGTATATAAGAACTCAAGATTCAACATCAGATCACTTCTGATGAAGACACTAGACTGGAGTATATAAGAACTAAAGATTCAACGTCAGATCACTCCTGATGAAGACACTAAACTGGAGTATATAAGAACTAATGATTCAACATTAGATCACTTCTGATGAAGACACTAGACTGGAGTAGATAAAGACTCAAGATTCAACATCAGATCACTTCTGATGAAGACACTAGATTGGAGTAGATAAAGACTAAAGATTCAACAACAGATCACTTCTGATGAAGACACTAGACTTCAGTATATAAGAACTCAAGATTCAACATCAGATCACTTCTGATGAAGACACTAGACTGGAGTAGATAAAGACTCAAGATTCAACATCAGATCACTTCTGATGAAGACACTAGACTGGAGTAGATAAAAACTTAAGATTCAACATCAGATCACTTCTGATGAAGACACTAGACTGGAGTAGATAAAGACTCAACATTCAAAGTCAGATCACTCCTGATGAAGACACTAGACTTCAGTATATAAGAACTCAAGATTCAACGTCAGATCACTCCTGATGAAGACACTAGACTGGAGTAGATAAAAACTTAAGATTCAACATCAGATCACTTCTGATAAAGACACTAGACTGGAGTAGATAAAAACTTAAGATTCAACATCAGATCACTTCTGATAAAGACACTAGACTGGAGTAGATAAAGACTCAAGATTCAACATCAGATCACTCCTGATGAAGACACTAGACTTCAGTATATAAGAACTCAAGATTCAACGTCAGATCACTCCTGATGAAGACACTAGACTGGAGTATATAAAAACTCAAGTTTCAACGTCACATCACTCCTGATGAAGACACTAGACTTCAGTACATAAGAACTCAAGATTCAACGTCAGATCACTCCTGATGAAGACACTAGACTGGAGTATATAAGAACTCAAGATTCAACGTCAGATCACTCCTGATGAAGACACTAGACTTCAGTACATAAGAACTCAAGATTCAACGTCACATCACTCCTGATGAAGACACTAGACAGGAGTATATAAAGACTGAAGTTTCAACATCGCACCATTCATGTTGAAGACACTACACTGATGTATATAAGAACTCGTGTCTCAAGGTTGATCATTCCACTCTTTGTAAACTAACTATCATTACAGATGAGAAACACAATACATACCAGCTTTTAAACATGCCTGGCCATTTCCTTGGTAACCTGATTTGCATACACAACATTCCTTTGTAGTGTTCTTGCATTGAGCATGCTCGTCACAATGCGTGTCCCCACATGTCTCTGTAAAAAACGAAATGTTTAAAGACATAATTTAAGTCATGAATTGGTAAAAATTTTCTCACTGACTTTGTAAATTTCTTTTCTCTCGATGTTTTACAAGACTATCATGATGGATCTGAAAAAAGCAACACAATATTCAAAATATAATATGATAAGACGATCTTAGTTCCATAAAAGTCATTTTGACTGATTCCGTTGCCTCGTTGAAATAATGTACGAACACAAACAGTGGCGTAGCCAGCCGGCTAATTTGGTCGTGCTATGTAAATTTAAGACCATTATTATTATTCATTTCTTTAGAAATCTATTGTTTTTACAGTAAGTGAACACAGAAAAATTTACATAGCACGACCAAACTTGCGGGCTGGCTACGCTCCTGAACACAAATCATTTACTATTCAAAGAATTTGAGTAGGTAGCTAAAAGAATCTTCATTCATAGTGGGTATAATTCGAGGTTAAAGTAAATAATGTCAAGGTAAACTATAGCTCAGCAAATGGAATTTTGCAATAAATTTCGGTATTTGAACATCGTCACAATAGATCGTAACGTCATTCATGAACATCTGACCATCACAGAGCAAGAAATTTAAGTTATGTTTTTAACAAAACTTTAGGTTTTAGTACTTTAGGTTTAGTTCATTATAGGTAGATTTATGATTTTTAAAGGAGAATTATTGGTCCGTTCACATCCATTTAAATATTATATCAATATTTTCCTTTATCTACAGATAATTTTTTTGAACTGCAGTTTTATAAAAATTGGCCACGAAACAAATGTCGTTCAAGCAATACATACAACTACTCCGTACAGTAAAACGTTGTAAATTACTCATATAAAAAGCATTCCATTACAGTGATAAACAAGCCGCACACGCATGATTTATTTTCACGCAAATCAAACTTAAATTAAAAATTAAAACTCGTTAAAAAATATAACTGCCAGAAAAGGTCACACTAAAATGGAGACAAAGTCATGCTATTATTGATTAATGATTACGCAATGATCATTTGGCTCATGTCTCCAGACTAACGCACAACTAACAAACAATTACAAGTCATTACCCACAATCTATGCAATGAATTTATACAAATAAAATTATATGCCAGAAAGAGAAGCTTTTATAACTGTTAAGGTTAACACCGTCGTATTTAATTCCTTAAGTGCTTTGATTCATTGGAGATAATAGTTAAAGATAAACATCAACAGAGGTACTTGAGCACAAAGTTCATTCAAATCCCCATGGGGTCTAAAATCACTCAAGATGTATTATGAAAATTTTTTTCTAGATTGATGGAATGACAAACAGACATTCCAAAACTCTTTCGCTCGTAAACGACACAATAATAATTTAAGAAACATAAAAACATATTGGATAGCCTTAGTTGGAGATGAGCCAAGACAAATATTGTAGTAATTAGCCGCCATGATTAGCGTATTTTTGATTGAACTGAGTGAGACTGAGCAGACAAAAAACGCCAGTAAACTGATTTCACAAACTAACTATTTTTAGACTAACAGAAAATATAAACAAACAGAAAATATAAACGGAAAAATTGAAACGGAAACTATTACTTTACTCAATCAAATCACGAAACGTTTTTTTTACTTGAAAATAACTCACTCCAGTATTTCTTAACTTTGAATGCGAAGGTCAGACGCGCAAGGTCATCTAGCAATTCAAAGAAAAGTCCGTACGTGTTTTTTACTTTTGGTCTCTTGACTACGCAACAGGTCATCTCCAAAGAGTTATCAAATGCAGCTGCGCATGTTATGCTAATTATTTTCGCGCACTGCGCGTTTTGCGCCAAATTTATAGTTGGTGTAAAAATAACAATATGTTCACGGGTTATATTCCTATACAATATATAGCTTTCTTATCGATACAAACATAATTATCCATCACATTTTGATCTAAAGACAGCAAAAGACCACACATACATTTTATTTACCACAACACTTCCACACACAGAAGGTTTGAGTCATTATGTAGTCAAAGTATTTGAATTGTCAAAGGTGCCTTTTTTTCAGTTGGCATTTTCGACTGACATAAATTAACCAATAAAACCAGTAACGAGCTCCTATTTATTAGTAATCTCGATACTGCTACATCCGTAATCAAGAAGTGCATTTTCACAAGACTACCATGCGACAGCTTAAAAGGATAATCCTTAGGAAGGTTTAACTTTTTATAAAACTTTTTTTACTCATTGGGCGATGAACTCTTACTAATAATAAACCATTATTACTCATAATCATTCATTAAAGATAAATGAACGCAGCTTAAAGTAATTATTTATGCACAGCAGTGTTTGCATCGCAAATAATGATGCACACAATGTAGCATTCCTTGTAGTTTCGATCCCGAAGCGTGCCTACTATGAAACTTGCTACAATTGACCGTGAATTACACACACAAATCATTTGTGGTTTAAAACCAGTATTCATGTCATATTCATGTCTCAATCGACACTATGCATGGAAGTTCACTCAATGTCACGAGCTTCCATTGGCACGCGTGTTCGAAGGTCAAAATGACAACAAAAAAAAACAACGGTAATAAGAATTGGCACTAAAAATAAGAATACTTCTGAGGTGTTATAAGCTCATATTAACATTATTCATGAATTTTGTTTTGAAACACATCTATTCATTATACAAAATCAACGCAAGGGCTAACATATAAAAACATTAATACTTGAAGGTTTTTCCAGCAGCTATTACAAATGCTTAAAGTTATCACAAATATGACTTACTTTGATTATACCTAAACAGTGATGGTGCATTACCAGTTTTTGTGTCAATGTTGTCAAAAATTATACAAGTACTTCAAATATGTAATGCGCATCATCTTTGAACACAACACATATTATAAAGATTGTAAAAACTTACGTCTTTACGCAAAAGAGCCTCTTCTTCACTGAAGTCGACGGCAGTTGAGAGTTGAGAATGACTTCCAGGGAGCGATCTTCTTTTCCAAGATCTCTTGTTTAACTGGAGTCCATTGCTATCCAAAGCAATGAACGCACAGAGGACAAACAGCAAGAACATGGTCGTACACAGATGAACGCACAACACAATCGAGTTGACAATGTTATGAAAACGCGTGCCATTGCGTGGTATATCACATTAAAAATCACGCGCGTACACCATACAATAGCTCTCTTGTTTAACCAAGTTGTAGTAATGATTCCAATGATGATTGATCCACTGCAGACGATGTCAGAATCCAGAAGAAGATACCATTAGTTTATGGTTGAATTAGTAATCCTACAAAACTCTCGAAAAATACAAAGAATTAGTTAACAACTTGACAGTAATTTAATTTCACATTCTACGTAGTTGCTACAATATAGAGGAAATTTCATTTGGTATTGGTATTTTTTCTCGACGGTTCTCCACTTTTATGAAGATATTTTGTTGTGTCCTTTCATCATGTCAATAATGCCATGTAAATAGTAAATGTTCAATCTACAGGATGGGATGCATTCTGGGAGCAATACTTATTGTGAGCGTATAATTAAATCATGACACTTTCTACAGTTTACATAAAATCATTTGAAATTACTGAAATCCATTTTTAACTTAATTTTTGGTTGACTACTTGTTTGTTTCGTTACACTTGTACTCTTTGCAGTCAATTTAGCTTGATTTTCTTTCACTGCGTTTTCCAACCGTTGTTTCATCGCGAGTGAGCCCGCCATAATTGACCTGAAATGAACGGGATATTTTGGACCAATAGCGAGCAGTTTTTGGAACGCGAACTCGTGCTGCCGTCGAGAGAACGACGTTGCTGTGCTTAACGCTGATGATTCAAGTAAAAGCTCGAGAAGAAGAGGAAGACAAATAGACAATAATTGAAGACCTGCAATAGAAATTTAAATCATCTTTTAAACGCATCCAATTCTTATTCCATAAAGATAAAAAACAAAACCAAACTTCAAGTGACTCAAAGTGATTCATCATTACATGTAGAGCACAATAAAAACATATACTGCAATATATCCAGCAAAATAAAGCTTTTGCTTACAAAAGACGAGTAAAGCCTATTAAATCGTGAGTTAAATAATGAAATTACAAGACTAATATAACATGTACAGTATCGTTATTCGTCAACATCAATATCAATAGTCATTCACAGGACTCTACTAACCTGGATGATTTAACTCTACAAACATCTACTATATAACATATATGAAGTAAAAAAACTTACGATTATCTTCGTCGGTGAGACCAAGCAAAACATCCATTATTTCAATAGATTTTAGAACAACAGATAACTTTAATTCAGTGGAAGGTGGAATCGTTGCAGCTTCTTGTACTATTGTCAAAATATGTGGGGCAACCAAGTGAACGTAGCCAAGGATTCGTGTCAAGTCTCCTGAAGAGAACATTGAGTAACAGGTTTCCACAGCTTTCAATTGAACCTAAAGATGTAAAAAGATAGGATAGCAGAATGAAGGCACAAACTCACGCTTCAAAGATTCCCAGCAAATACAAAAGTATATATAAATGTACAGTTTTCCTCATGCTTCTAAAGCCTGATTTTCTACCAGCAAATGTTATGGTTTAATAATGTTTCACAAATAATGTTTCACAAATAATGTTAATAATGTTATGGTTTAATTAATGTTTCACAAAATTCATGTCATTCAAAAAACTGACTATCTACATAACCGCTTGTCCACCACTAACCTTCACCCTCCCCCTCCTCAATATCTATCATTTACCTTCATCCCCCCCCGAAAGTACTTACATTTGCATCGGTGGACTTGACAGCACGTATGAATATTTCAACGCAATCATTATGTAACTGGGTGACGGTCGTCACCGGAAGTGGAGCAGTAATAACAAACAACGCAATGGCAGCCATTACACTACATTCATCCACCTGTCGTGTTGATCGCTTTTCCTTAACTGGATTGATCATTGCGAACAAAGAACTAGACAAATAGATTTGTCATTGCCGTTACAAGCCCACTGAACGTAACACATTAGTGGAATGTTATCTCTAGCTAAGAATAATGACCTAAGTGTTTCCACGTAGAAACACAACATTACAAAGTAATGTGAAATTGTTAGTGTAACAAATAATACAGAAGATGCGAAATAAAATAAAGAAATGTCTCCTGGGCACCAAACATTTACTTTGACAAAAACGTTTCTTACCTTTGAAAATATCCGATGAAATCTTTTGAATTATCACATTGCATAAAACGTTGTGAGCTGAGAATATCTTTCAGCGCTTTTAATGACGACGTAACCACTAGCGGCATTTTGGGTGAAGAGACAGTTTGACTTGATTTAACCAGCGGTAATTCGCAAGAAGCGGCTTCCTCAAAAACACTCGTAATCAGCCGTAAAACAATCGGTAGAATGTCGGAAAGTGCTTGCGAAGTACAAAGATCTGGTACTTCTGCCAGTATACCGACTGTAGTTGAAATAACACGACTGATTTCTGTTAAAGATCCTGACAAAAGTAGATGATGATAATAGTGGGAAAAAAGTTGAAATGAAAAATTTTTTATTCATTCTTAAACTTAAAAAAGAAACAGCGTTGCAGTAAAATTCTAAAACATTCATACCTTTACTAGTCACAGATAATCTAGGATTTTGTTGCATCTTCCCAGAATCCTTAAAAATTGAAGGAAAATACCGCGCCAACAAACACATACATGTTTCCATGGCACCAAATACGACTGATTTGCCAGGTTCAATTGCCTCTTCGCCTACAAAAGCAGCACTGTCCTTCGTTCTCTTCTTTGTTAGAACTTCACGAGTACCGTGGACTACACGCGAGACAGAACTCATTATAATCTGGTGGCTCGCTAGACTGTCCAGCGTCAACAGCAATCGATGCATTACGTTAAGTAGTTCAACTGCAATAGTCTAAAATAGAAAGTAACATAAGATGAAATAAATGTCTTCCGGAAAAGAAAAACAGTACATTCATCTTGTGAAAAGTAAAGCATTACATACATACGGAAGGTCATGAATGGTTTTCAAATAAAAGTATCGTCAACCGTCCTGCTGTTCAAAACTCAAGTCTAGCAGTTTTCTACTTACGTCATTGTGACCAATGTATTCACGAGCCCACGGTGTGTCAAGCAAGCAGTTAACAGCGTTAATACAGGAAGTTATAGTCTCCGGAGTGTAAGTTAAACGCGTCGAACACAATGCTTTCACGGATAAACCAAGAACAAGATGAAAACGCTCAGAATTTAAATCCTCCGGTGATTTTTGAGCACGAGGTACACTTAGGATTGCGTTGGGAACATTGCCTGAAGATATAAATACGTACACATTAATACTATCAACACCTACGGACAGATAAAACTCTATTGTAGAATGAAAATAACACTCCCTTAACTACTTTTTGATCTTAGGCATTTTCCATTAAGAAATCTTTTTGAACAATTGATAATTATTGACGAGAAACAACTCAAACACAATGTTAGTTTAGTTATTTGCAACGAAGCAAACTGCAAGGAAGCTATGATCCAATAAAAATCAAATTTTCTATTTGTTCGAAGAGAGAAAAAATTCACCCCTACCCCTCTTCTCGTGATCAACTCCACTCCCTCTCTCAGAACATCTATATACCTGTGCTAATATCTTCCACTTCCTTTGCAACGTTTTCAAAGCCCTCGGCATGAAGCCATAAGGCAGAAGCGTGAATTATTGGTGGCCACGCTTTTTCAAAATAAACCTTAGATTCGTTCATTGATTCCTGTCTAAAAATCAACATTTTTGTGTCAAAATCAGTACACCAGGATAAAAATACCTTCACCGCCCCCCCGGAGCACTACAATATACAGTATGACGTATGTTACTCTTACCCATAAAACATTCCACCGCTGAGAGGTAATTGAGACATGTATTCGGGGGTAAAGAAAGATAACCATAATCTTTAACAGCTCCCAACCAATAATGATGTAGATCTCGTATATGTGAAACGACCAATGTAATAAGGGGTTCTTGCACTTCAGCATTTTCTTTAATAGGATGTTGAGGAGATCTTTCTAAACTTTTTTGTTTCATCGCAACAATATAAACCTGTGTATTCACGAATGTAGCAAAACAACTAAATCTGAGAAATGTGTGATGATTATTATGGTATACATCATAGTACATAGAGGGATAAATGAGAATACATGGAAATGCAGAGAAATGCGTGATGATTATTATGGTATACATCATAGTACAAAGAGGGATAAATGAGAATACATGGAAATACAGAGAAATGCGTGATGATTATTATGGTATACATCATAGTACGAAGAGGGATAAATGAGAATACATGGAAATACAGAGAAATGCGTGATGATTATTATGGTATACATCATAGTACGAAGAGGGATAAATGAGAATACATCGAAATACAGGTTGAAGAGGGAAGCAAATAGACAAAAAAGTAAATGTATGTGGAATAGATGAGAATACTGACGAATATTTAAGACAACAGTGGAAAACATGACAACACAGAGCATAGAACTTGTTAAACAGCACATTATCATAATATATGTTATACCTGAGCCCATGCCTTTAGAACAGCAAGTTTCTCCATGGTGTTTGCGCTTTCATTGTACAGTTGAGAAGATGAATCCTGCTCAGTTCCAAACTTCGACAATGACGTCACAAGAAGCTGTTGTATACGTCTGACGTCATTCAAATCGTATGAAACACCGCTGGCAATCCATGTACTGCAGACCTACACGAGATTTGAATCGTAATAAGGAAACCATTTTCTCAAAAGTCTTTGGCAATTGGATAGATATATAATTCTATTTAAACGCACAGTCATATACACAACACACTTTATTCCGAGTGCGTATACTTTCTATTTTGTCAAGTTACAAATTAAGTTAATTAAGAAGACATTTATCTCATACAACACATTGTAAATGGTGAAATAAAACTTTATGTCGTCACTATGTATGGCTATGAAATAAACAAAGCGATACTAATTGTTATTAAAAACCAAAACCCTGCCATTATTAATATGGTAACCACTAAACAACAAGATATGAACAATTTGCTGTACCTCACAAGCCATAGCTGTAACGTCAGCTGGAGTGTCTACGGCAAATGCAGGTCGCAAAGCAGCTCCAACCTTTATCAAACAACAAAGAAATCTGTATTCAAATAAACAATCCCACTCGCGCACACATCTATGATATGGGTACCTGTGCTTGAAACTGTTCAAGTATTACATGACCAGCATAATCTGGATCTTGTACTGATGAAAACTTCTTGACAATTTCCTGCAACCGTAAAAATAAACATTTAAAAACAAACAAGAATGTATAAAACTGTACATATGATAATAAAAGTAAACAAATACATTTTACCTGCAATGTTTCGAGTCCTTCGACCTTGAGTTGAACAGATGTGGCTGTAGCAGCAATAAAAGCCAAACGAACCAGTTCAGATAAATGCATTATAAGATAGTCACCTGCAACGAAAGAAAATGAGCAATTTTTTCATCAAAATAATCAAACAAGAGCAATGACGTACCTCTTCCACTGTTTCTTTTTAACTGTCGTGCCAAACTTAAATCAAAATGCGCTCGTTCTTGTTCGCATACGTTCATAATCTTCTGAACACATTTTGAAGCAAAGACACGCGTTGGCCATCTTGGTACAACAGTGGGATGTGTTTCTTCTACTTTATTAAAAGCCCCCATTCCACCACTTTCATCATCATCATCATCTCCACCTTAATAAAGAGGAAGTTTTTAAAACAAAAACGTTCAGAAAACTACAGTGTGTGTTTACAGTGTGCTCAACAACAACAAACTACGACTTCTATTTCTGTTCATATCATCCTTGCTTTAATACAATTCATTCGACAATACCATACGCATTAACTATTTGGCTCAGACTCCCAAATAGCAACGCCGAGAGACAAAATGACTTTTAATTTTTGTTTGTTTATGAATGAAGACTTAATTGTATTCTGCTTATTCTATTAAACATCAATGATAATTTAATGATAATATACATTTACCTTTATTTGCTTTGTCTTCTTTTTCAGATTTTGCAGCAGATAAAACACTTTTACATAGACCCAACCAATGAAGGAGTTTTTCCGGGGCTAGGGTTTGTAACATGCTGTTCAAACAGTCTTGAATGTTCGATCTTAATCCACGGTCTACCTCAGTATCTAACATCCCAAATAATGCTCCTAAAACATGCCACATAATGAACACAAATTTTGTTTCATAGACATAAATTCAAGATATTATTACAGTTAGGATGATTTTTGAAGCTGTGACTACGTAACAAAATAAATGCTTTAGATCTAACACTTCTTCACATTCAATTATAGTTCTTTCACATACCTTCCAAGCCATCATCACCAATGGTCACAACATATGTTGATTTTGATTGTTCTTTCTCGGTTTTGCATGCAAGCGCATGCTCACAAACATCTTTCGCTTCCCGTTGCGACAGTTGACGAAGACAAGCTACAGCTGCACGACGCAGGATTAAATGTGGACTCGAGAGGTTTATGCAAAGACTGGGAACCAATGTCGACAAGTTCACGTGCCTCGGTGCAAATATATGCAATTGTTGTAAACAGGATATGGCTTCTGACTGAACAATGGAGTCGGGGTGATGCTGCATTACTGAGGCAGCAACCAAACAAGAAGAACGTATGTCTTTAATGGATTTTGATGTATCTATAGATAAAATACATCTATCAATAAACGTTCAGAACGTAGGTCTTTAATGGATTTTGATGTATCTATAGATACAATACATCTATCAATAAAGGTTGCAACAACATAAATGTATATTAACCGTATTTTTCACTCATACACTTCAGTATCTGTTCTGTTATGAATTAAAATATATCTAGAACTCTGTTTTGTCTTATGGTAAAAAATAAAAATCATAACATGAATAGTACACAGACCTTGGAGTTCAGGACCAATGCTTGTTATTAATGCAGCCAGACATTTTCCAAGGCATTGATGAATTTCAGTGTTAGAAGGCGGAACGGATAATAGCAAAGACATGGTTTGCTCTAACGTTGACTCCGCGTAACCGCGAAACATTGGACCACCACAATCTGCTATCAATGCAAGCGCATGTAGTGCCCAAACCTTAAAGAAGAAAAGAAGCAGAGGTCATTTTTGATGTATATACATCAAAAAATCTAAGGATTAATCTTCAAATGATTAACAGAGCCCAAGTCTGTACAACAGAGCCCAAGTCTGTACAACAGAGCCCAAGTCTGTACAACAGAGCCCAAGTCTGTACAACAGAGCCCAAGTCTGTAAAACAGAACCCAAGTCTGTACAACAGAGCCAAAGTCTGTACAACAGAGCAAAGTCTGTACAATAAAGCCCAAGTCTGTACAACAGAGCCCAAGTCTGTGCAAAACTCAAAATGCAAAATTAGAAATTCACCCATTCCAAAATATCTGAAATTTAAATTTACTCTCAGGAAAATTTCATGTGGAACAGTGCATATACGCTATACACATTGCATAAATTAGGCTACAAAAAAGACTGGTGACAAGGCTCACCTGGCTAAGAAAAGGAATGGGAACAAGACTCACCTAGCTAAAAAACGACTGGTGACAAGGCTCACCTGGCTAAGAAAAGGACTGGTAACAAGACTCATCTAGCTAAAAAAATGAGTGGTGACAAGGCTCACCTGGCTACAAAAGGACTGGTGACTAGGCTCACCTGAACAGTTGATGAAGACATGTCTTGAGCCAACGCTAATAGTATACTGACACTGGTTTGTGTATGTTGACCAGCTCCCATTCCACCGACATAACGATGCAGACATCCTAACGCAATCGATTGTCCAGTTCGAGAAACTGCGTCACGAGATCCTTGAATCTTGGCAAAGATGCCTTGGGCTATCTGTGCCACGTATGCGGGCTCATCTACGACTTGTGCCATTCGTCCCAGTGCCTCGGCGGCTGCACATCTCAAAATGGCATCGGAGTTATTCAAAGCGCTCTAACAACAAAGATGAATTCGGAAATCATCTAGCTCTTGTTTACTTCGACATAGTTAGGCAATACAAGTCATATCTTTAGCATAGTCAAGAAAGTTTAAACATACACGAGAAACAGATTCAAAAGATTTATACTGTCAAAATCAAATACCAAAGAGTTATAACACAAACCATGACAAGGTTATCAGCAGTTGCAAGTACATCTCTATCACTAAAAGAAGACTTCGTCTCTCCCATAGCCTATAGAATAAATAAGAAATTAAGAAAAAAAATTTCCAAGTTTGATGAAATTAACGTTGCTAATTTTACCATCAATGCACCAAGAAATGCCGTAAAGATATTCATTGTAACTGCTTGAACCTTTCCAGCTTTTGTGTTCTTTATACAAGAGGCAAAATGAGTGAGTAATTGATTACGATTCTTCTGAGCAATATGAGGAAACATTTGACCAAAAAGTTTTATAGAAGCATCAATGACAGCAACACCAAGAGGAAGAGGACCAGGGTGCTCTGGTGACTTTATATAAAAAAGACTAAATTAGAACTAGAAAAAAAACTTCTTTGTATCAAGACATAGCTTAATCATATTTCATGATTGCTAAAAACTATAAAGCGATAAAGAATTTAATCCAGTGGTTGATGTAGAAACCCGAACCTTTTCATCATAACTAAACAAGCAAGAATAATCATGTTCGAGTGCACCAGATCCAGAAGCACTGTTTGGCTGCAGCTAAAGAATAATTAAAAAGAAGATGTTACAAAGATCTGACAATGAAAATTACAACATACAATTACCTGATCCTCAACTGATTTGTGATCAGTCTCCTGAAGCCATGTCCCTAGTAGTATGCTGTCGTCCTTATGGCACATGGTTCGCAGCAGTGACGTAGTCGTCATTGATTGGTTGAAACTTAGAGTGAATTCTGACACTAGTTCACGGACGATAGAATTTAGAAGACCTGGAAATATTTAAAAATTTGGTCGATATAGTCTCTTAAATTCAGTTTTAAAAAAGGACAAGTCACAATATAGTACACACAAATTTACAAAAACTAACGAATAGTACTAAGATCGTGTAAAGTTCAAAACAACACTGACTTTTCACTCGTAATTTCAAACGGCTATGAAATGTTTTACTTCTTTTACTATAAAATATTTCATTTCTCCATAAACTCCAATTTAATATTTATTCATATTTTATGATGTGAACATCCAAGGATTTCATGGTAAACAAAAACATCTTTAACAAAACTCATCAAAATCTGTAGTAGTGGATGAGCAGTTGGCTCGGGCATGCGCAGTCCACTCGATTAATTGTTCAAGTACACAGTCACGGTAACAATCAACTGAATGAACTTGCACTGCTTTCTCATAGGAACTGGCCAATAACCCTACATCTATGTTGCCTAGCAACTTTGCACTTAAAATCGCTTTTTACAGATTTATGAATATCATTAGACTGTTGTTCTACGAACCTATATATTACCTTCATATGATTTGGGTGGCAACAGTTGGAAAGTTTCAAATAATCTCAGTCTGATCATAGCAGTGCTCACTTTAAGGTGATTCCCATGAGAGCGAACAACATCCGGTAGACTGAAAATTAAAATCATTTGCACTTTAAAACTTTAGTTACCCTATAACAATATGTTGATTCAGCTGTTTTAGAGTCCATATGTCTAGTAAACCCACAGGAAACAAGTAATTTATTCAATGGGATTGAGTTTATTAAAATAAGATGTAAGAGATGAGTTTATTAAAATTCATGTAAGCAAAAACAAAGCCAATCACAAGATATTAAGAAAACTTACTGTGTCGTCATAATAACACATGATTCTAAAGGTAACATTATTCGTCGTATTACGTCATCAACAAGTAATTCTGGACAATGTTTAATGAACGCAAGCAAAGCTGTGTAAGAAAATGTGGATGTTGTTAGTTCAACAAGTACATAAAATAATAGTTCATTATTTATATCTGTCTTTATTAACTGTTTGTTACATGGATAATAAAACTGTAATGATTTATAGTTGGCCCAGTTTTCATGTAATCACATCAATAATGATTTATAGTTGGCCCAGTTTTCATGTAATCACATCTGTAATGATTTATAGTTGGCCCAGTTTTCATGTAATCACATCAATCATTTAAGTCGTTTGTCGTCCATTATGTTTTAATTGCCCGATAAAAGACGACTGAAACGACGAAAACGATTAAAAGCAACTAGGCTTATGAAAATCCCTCTATAATTAACTGTCAATGGTAAATTCTAGCTTTTACAAATATACAAACATAACAAGCTACTTACCCGCAAGAGCTCCAGCCCGACATTCAAGTGTTACTTGCCACGTAAATGGATCACCTTTTTTCTTCTCTGACTCTGCCTCGTCAGGTGTCGGTGGAAAGGCACTCGCCCATAGACCCAACATCTTTGGAAGAAAATGACGAACTGTTGACGTACCTAAAAATTGAAATGAACGTCATAAGTAAATGTTATAGCAAAGAACATCAAATATGTAGAATACCTAAAGTCATTAATGATCCCATTATCATCCAACCACATTTTGCTCTAACCATTGCCCATTTCTCATCTTCTTTCGTTCGTTTCAACATGTCTTCAGCGACAGCAAACACGGACTTAGAAGAAACACAAAATTTTGTAAAAAAGAGATTAACAGAAATAGACTACCGTAAAATAACCCAATTTTTGAAAAAGCAAGATTTTTGAACTGTCAAAAACATTTTCCTGCCGACAATTTAAAGAAATATGAGATAAAAAAACATTCTTCAAAAAGCATCATCTTGTAAACTCATGATTCGAGTTATATTTCAAAGAAACAACGACGTTGTATCCACGTTATTTTTAAGTCATTATCAAGGCAAGTGATTCAAATCTTCAGGTTAAAAGATGTTTCACTTTTTTTGGAGGTTTTATGATACGTTAAGCCATCATTTACAGAAAAAAACAACCAAACAACAAAAAGTTCTTCTAGATCTGCCTATAGTTTACTCGTTAGAGAGGAGGAAGTGGAAATAAGGAGAGTTGGGATTGATTCTCACGTACGACATTGTACCTTGCCTTTCTTGTGAGGAATACCGAGAGGACAGAGACGAACAGCACCAATCAACGCACTCAACGTGTACGCGTATCCCGAAATTATTTCAAGCGAAGAGAATGTTCGAAGCTCGGTAATACATCGTTCAATCATCGGCGAGAGACGTGAAGGAATAGCAATTGTGATGGTACGGAGACACCAAGCAACACTAAGACGAGCAGCCGGAGCAGAGTGAATAAGAACGGATAAAACAGTTTCAATAGTGCTTTCGTTGATTAAAGTACCAGCACATGTGGCAAGATCTTGTGTGAGACAAGCAAGTTCTTGCAAAGTGCAAATTATAGAATGTTGTGTGGCAAGAACAAATTCGTTTATTTCAGTTGAAGATGTTCCATCCCGATTTTGTGTCATTTGTTTCACCTGGAAATTAAAAGATGAATGACAGTTAATCACGTGACAATTGAAAGATGAATGGTAGTTAATCACGTGACAATTAAAAGATGAATGGTAGTTAATCACGTGACAATTAAAAGATGAATGGTAGTTAATCACGTGACAATTAAAAGATGAATGGTAGTTAATCACGTGACAATTAAAAGATGAATGGTAGTTAATCACGTGACAATTAAAAGATGAATGGTAGTTAATCACGTGACAATTAAAAGATGAATGGTAGTTAATCGCGTGACAATTAAAAGATGAATGGTAGTTAATCACGTGACAATTGATTAAATAGAAAGATGAGTATTTTTCTGTAACATCAGAGACATCTAAACTGAGCATCATATTTATACACAAGCAAATGACTTCACATAGCCACTGTAAACCATGTGTCATGTTTGACTTGGTCATTGCCAAGAATCTTATAGCAAGGGCTGAGAAAATTAATAAAGAACTTTAACCTTGGTCATTTGTTTGGAGATAAGTTTACAAAGTTCCTTTCCAGCTATCACTTGAGCTTTCTCACCCAATAAACGACCCAACATAGATCTCAATATGAATGAGACACATTTCCTTGAGTACACTGCATCCACATGATTTGAGGTTGCTTTTGAGTTAGACAACAACTCAAGAATACGTCCAAGAATATAGCCAACATTTTTTTCAACCCAAGTTCCTCCCATTTCATTGAAGAGAACAACATACGCCTAATGTAAAGTAAAACATATTTTATAATTTTCATATCAACTTGAATAAAGTTTTTTGTTGAGTAAAATTTCTTGGGACTAATACTTAAAGATTTCACATCTTACAAAAAAGATAATCAAAATACTGGCTGTTTTGCTGTTTGCACACATTTCAACATTAGACATAGGTATATAAACAATTTATAAAATGATTTTTGATCTTGTGATATCCTTAACTATTTAATACAAAACTTATGCAACCTACTTGTGTTACACCAACACGAACTTCCTGTGGAATGGTGGTCTTCAAAAGTTCACCACTCCCCCCTTTCAAGAATCCAATCCCACCTCTTAGGAAGCCAGCCGACATCAGATCAAACATCTCATCCATACTGATCTTTTTATTCTTGTTGTTTGCCAGGGGCCTTGAGCCTTCGGGTGGACGCTGAGTGGCTGCCATTAGCTTTCCAACAAGACTTGACACACCCACCCTGACGTCATAATTTGAACCCTCAAGAGCTTTGAGACATATTGAAAATAGTGTCTCTAGTTCAGTGGTATATGTAAAGCTAGCATGCTTTAACAACTCTTTTGTGCACTAAACAAAAACATATTTTGTAACAATGCTAAATTGATTCAAAAACACTAGTATGTTGTATACCTCAGCAACAGCACATCGCACAGCCATTGAACGATCCACAAGAGCAGTTTTGATACATTTAAAGATGTCTTTGTGACATGAGGCAGCCTACCAAGTCCACTCAATATTCTTTGGCAACATAAAAGGATTTCACAGCGACCTTGAGACTTAAGCAAATATCAAACATAAGGATCTTTTCTGTTGTTTTAGAATGTTTTTCAAAATGGCATATTGAATCATACAGTCAAACCTCTGAATTTTTCATTGCTTTGATAAGTATTTGTACTGTTTCAGGAGCAGAACCACCAACCTTAATAATGATAAATAAGTAGTGGAGCTAGAAAGGCTGATATAACCTTTATTTTTCAACACATTTGAGTTTAATCAAAAATAATGCATTACCATTCTCCCAAGTTTTTCAAAAATTGTCCCAACAGTTGCAATGGCTGCCCTGGTAAATGAAAAATTTCTGATTCCTTAAATGCTTTTATGTGTTTAGAAATCTTAACATAACATTTTGTTGACAGTTTCATTGCCAAGAAGAAGAATACTTGTAAAGGTTGGTAGACATCTTAAAAAGAACATTGCCATTAAATTTTTTTTACTGAATATACAAAAAGATGCACATTTTTTGAAATCAAAAAATGACTATTAGCGACCCCAATAATTAGGTTGTGCTATGTAAATTTCTCAACATTAGCATTAATTATTCTTTTCTTCAGAAATTCATCTCTTACAGTGACTGAACACCAAAAAATTTCCATAGCATGAAAAAATTACGAGTTGGCAGCACAACTCCTAAGTAATGTTGAGTTGAATGAAAATAAAGCAACACACTATGCTAGACAATATTATTCCATGAACAAATGCGTTGGACTTTCACTCACAATTTAACGGATAAATTAGCATCATCTTTTCCTTTTATAATTTCTGAGCATGTATTAACTGTATCAAAGGCACTGAACTGGTCACCATTGAGATAAAGTTGAGCAAAGCAACGACCAAGAAGTTGTCTGGTTGGTGGACCACATTCGCCATATAACTGTTTGGATAATCCTGCCACCAAATCTTTCTGACACGCTTTAAGTTCAGCCTATACATGTTCAAAATTTGAATTAATCAATTTGGTTGTGTCCAAGCTCCAGGAAAGAAATAACAAGAAGCAAGACCTTTTTAGCAGCATTTATGCTTTCTTCAAAGGTCTTTAACCACTCATACACAAACACTGGCTGCCTTTTTGCCGGTAGACGTTGATATTCTCGTTCATCGAACGCAATGAGCTCGTGAAAAGATTTGGACATTATTTACGAGAAAACTTTGTTAGTTTTGAAATATTAAACTATTTTACCAATTCGACATCATCATTCTTTTATGGAAATGGTAATTAAATTCCCCGGACACCAGATCTTTCCTCAATCCCCCTTAATGCAATAATCTATTAGGTATTATCTCCAATCCGAATCCGATCTGCTGTTACTGATTTTGATTAACAGCGTGGGCAACAATGGGCACGTGGGGTAGCGCGCTTTATGAAAAGAATGAATGGAGATACGCTTATCTTTTTAGTCGGTGGGTTTTTGGTTTTCGATTCTCGCAATGCAAACCTGAGAATTGTTACCAAAGTCACTTGCAAAATATACAATGGAAACATCTCAAGTGTCTCAACCTTTCAAAATGACCAGTCAGCAAATGTCTGAATACTGGAATGACAAAATTCCAGTGGTTTTCGCTTACTTCTCTACGGCATGTTGGGATTTACTACAGAAGTTATATTTACAGGTATATGGTACTTCTTGGATAGTCATTACAACTATGGTTGGACTCTTGTTGGTTGCACATCATTATGGTCTTTTCCTATATATGCTGTGTCGATTTTCGCGATTGAAAAAATGAGTTTGTTTCTTCACACTAAGCTGCCATTGGCTGCTCGCGGTCTGATTTACTTATCATGGATTTATTTGTCAGAATTTATATCTGGTTTTATTTTACGTCAGTTTGGAGCATGTCCTTGGGATTACCATGGTTACACAACTTTTCATTTCAAGGGACTGATTGCCTTTGATTATGCACCATTGTGGTATATTGGTACATTATTACTAGAAACCACTTTCATCAAATATACTTTGACTTTGCAACATACTGAACTGAAGAGTATTTAAAAATGTTAAGTAGTAAATTATAAAGATGTTCTTTACAAAAAAATTATAATTAATACATATTTGTTAACATTAATGAGCGTTATTGCGCATTAACTGTGCAAATATGACAGAGTTAATCTATCAGTGTTTGTCATTTTTAAATAAGATACAAATTATGGAATTTCAAATGAAATATATTGTTTGCCAAGGCAAATTATTGTTATAGAATTTATTATTGTGGACAATTTCAACATAAATATCAAGATATTAGATCTCTTTTTGGATCCATGATAACAGACATAAGAATGCCATCTGATTCTATTTTCCATGAAAACCTATAAAAAAAAAGGAAACTTTATCTATAAGCTACCCTATATAAATTTCATTCATATTCTGTGCTTAAGTAAAACTGACTTCGTTCCAGCAGGGATCAGAGTAACATCACTTTTTGACAGTTCTTTATCCATAATGTTACAACTCAAGTAGGTGATCCCTTCCTAAAATTACGACAAATTACATGCGCATATTGAGATTTACGATAAACTGTAAATGGCATCTTACTATTTGCCAGAGCCATGTTTCAGAATCCCCATTTGTTGCATAATTTCCTTGACCATAAACTCTAATCTATGAAAAATCTCAAAGTCAAAATTAATAGTAAGGAAGGTCTGAGCGAATAGAAAATCCAAAGATTTATAATTAAATATTTTAGCCTTACAAGTTTTATACAAATATTCATATGTTATTACCATGGTCTGCTTAGTTTGGAACATGACTTTGTAGCCTTTTTCTCTTATTTCATCCTTATTTTCATCAACCCACTTGATAGCACAAAATTAAGAAAAATAATTGTTGTAGTTTAATGTCTTTCCTATAAATAATGTATGAAAGCCAATGGTTGTAAGTCAAACTAAGTAATATCAAGCTAGAAATCATTTATCTAACCTTTTGTAACAAGAAAGGACTGGCTAGTTCAGTTGTTTTATCAAGTTGGAATGGTGGTGAGTCAGTGATAGTACCTGTGCAAATGTATTTTGACATTTCAAAGATATATTTGTAGTCGTTGAAAACATATTTAATTAGCAAATTTATGAAACTTCTACCATCAATAGGTATTCCTGTCCTGTATTGCTCTGATTCAAAGAACCTAACATTATAAGAATCAATATTCAAACATGACTTATCAACATATTTCAAATCATAGATTTCAAAATTATATGTACGATTTAACAATTGGAACAAGATCTTTTCCCAGATCTGCACAATAAAACCATTTTTCAAATAGGGTAGTTGTGTCATCTTCACAGTAATATCTAGGAAAAAAACATAATTATATTAGTCACTATATTCATGAATGTCAAATAGCATGATGTGTTGAAAGATCTACCTAAGACAATCTTGTTCTCCTTTCTCACGTTCTCTTTCAATAACCTAGAATTCACAATGATGCAAATTGATGTAAAAAGCAGATTGAAATGTAGAATAATAACTCTTACCATTCCTATTGTATTAGGAAATCGCTGAGGACTGTGTGGTATGTGACAGGGCAGAAGAAAAACCTGCAAGTACATAAAAATGACAACAGTTTTACAGCCAATTTTCACCAAAATAATTTCTTACTTTGAATCACCAATAACTTCAATGCGACTTTGAAAACTTAGAAAAAATTTCCAAACCTAAAGTTTATGTTTGGTAAAAGAAATTGCTATGAAAATTAAATTACATTTACCTCGCCCTCTTTGATGATTATATCTTTAGGTTTTCCTTGTTCCTTCACTTTCAAGCACATGTTGCCTTTCACCATGTAAAACAACTGGGAAATTATTAACACATGCATTAATGTAGCGTAATGTCAATGTATTTTTGTCAATGTACTTTTGATGATGGACAAAACCATTGGAAATTCATGGGATAAGTCACCTCTTCTCCTTCTTCGATATGAAAATCTTTCCTTGAGTTTGGTCCACCAACAAACATAATTTTCAGTTGACCATCACCATACCTATGAAAACGCACAGGTGTATATATCATGTAATTTATTATTATTCTAAATGCGTAAAAATTGCCAAGTCAAGTTCAATATTAAAGTCAATTCTTAGAAAATTTCAAATAATTAATTACAAATTAGGGTGTTAAGCATTTGTTTACTCACATGAGTTTGTTGCAAACTGGAGGTACAAACGAGCCTTCATTTTCTGCTACCCATATTTTTGTGTTAATTACTTTGATACTGGGTTCGTTAGCCATGATTAGAAAGAAATGAAATTTGTTTAATTTGATCGTGTGGCACACAACCCAGAAAGTCATCAAACTTATAAATTTGCATTTTGATTATTTTGCATAATTAATTGTTGTATAAAGTTATATTATAAGAAAAGCATGGCAGGACGAACGTGTTCTCCTAAATAGTAAAGAATAAAAATATACAATTCAATTTTATTGACAAGTTTCAAAGCCATTCAAGATGGCACATTTAGAACAACAGTATGTTGATTTGACAAAAGAGTTCAGCATGTTGCCTGCTATTTACGATATTCTTAAATCGATCGAAAAGACAAACGACTCACAGGAAATTACTAGAAAGGTAATTTTGAGCGAATTTTTGCTTTGTTTTGAACAGAAAAAAATATTTATTGTAAATGATGTAATCATACATTTATAAGGTTGCCGCTTTTTGTGAAAAGATTCAAGCTTGTCGTGAATTGTTGGACAAAATTCCTGGAATTGACACCAACGTGGAGAAACAAAAGAAAGAGCTCGAATTTTACCAAAAGAAATACAAGGAGAAATGGTATAACGTTAAATTGACAACTGACATGTCAATTGTCATTGTATTTACCAGCTAAACATATTGATTTGTTACTAGTTGCCAAATTTTAAGTAAGCCACAAGCACCACAAATGCTAAACGTTTATACCCTAATCTTACGCAAATTTTCAATACTAAAATTTTGATTTTAGCAAACTTTTGGAGCAATTCATGACACTGCCATTGTTCACGGAGATTGCAAAGATTGATGGAGAATGAAGAAAACATGGATGCTTTGACTTGATAGATTGCATTAATCATAGGAATTTCATCGTTATTGGAATATTATCCTTTGTTTATTTTTTGAAAATAAACATGTTTGCTATAGTCATAATGATGGTGACAGTAAAATTGCAATTTTTCTCACCATTTCATTTAATACAGTCTATTACTGCAAAATGACTTGTCAAAATTACTGTAGACAATGAACATTTTCTTGTCAAAAGTGCACAGTTTTTATTGTCCGCTTACAAACATATGCACACTTTGTTCAGATGCAATCATCTTCTGGCATCTCAATGTACCTACTATAGCACTTAATCGATTTACATCAAACTTTGAATAAAGCACTGTACAATTAGATGCATTAATATCTCTTTCTTTCAAAGTTGTGTCCATGTAGTTTACAATCTCTGGGTAAAATTGAGAATAAGAAGGTAGCTCATAAAAAACAATGTTTTTGATTCCTCTGATTCGATATCTAAAAAAAAAACTCCAATTCATCTACGATATTTTATGGCATTGTCAAACATAGAAACATCACAAAACTTAAGTTAAGTAAACCTTAGTTTATAACAATACCTGTAATAGAAGTAGAATCGTTCAGTGAAAAGTAACAATGCAGTTTTTCCTTGAAAAAATTCATTTCTACTTTTTGTGATGTTAGCTCTTGAGGTGTATCTGGCAAAGGTAAAAAATATATTATAGCAAAACTATCTGCAATACTTTAAACATGTTTAATATTTAAACTGGCCAAATCAAAGTGCTTATGTAGAAGTGGTAAATATATGCTCAATGCTTAAAAGTTAACGCATAAAATTGAGTGCAAGTCTTACTCTGACAATTGGAGAAAATTGACTTCTTGTTTCTTCAGATAGTTTCTTATCCTCACAAAATCGAAATAAGATGAAATAAAAATAGCGGTGTGAGATGAAATTCCCCCGCCACTTTTGAGATCTGGAAATATCTGCAATTTGAAATAAATAAAACCCGAGCATGACTCTCAAGCATTTGTATACATAAGGTAAGCAAATAGAACTTAGAAAATGACCTTATTTACAAGGAACATAAATCGTTTTTCTGCTTGACATTTGTGATTTTCTACAATTACTTTGTGATATACCTAAAAAGTATGAAAACATGATAATCAAACACAAAAATGGCAATCAATACTACAGCATATAAAAGCTGTTAAAAAATGTCTCTCCCCTGTAAATGCTTGGTGCATTTACATAAAAACAATGCAACAATGCCAACACACCAAAAACACTTATGGCAGAAACAAGAAAATAAGGTGTACAATAAAGTTTAACATTTATTGTAGAGAGCAGTATGTTTGCATGCAATTAGCCCCTAAACTACCTGTGGAATTTGAGCAACTACTTCACACACAGAACCAGCTTGATTTTCAGGAAAAACTTTAGTCTTTCCAGCATAATGTGATTTTAAGTCAAGGCATTAAAGACATTGTACATACAGTCACTATGATTTGAATGAAATCAAGTACAAGAGGGTTGATAAAAAGGATATTTAGGCATTCCTTGTTGAAGATAAAATTCATCTCTGGACTTGCAAAACTACTGAAGAGAATAGTTTGCCTGTAGTATTTTGACCTGTAACAAATTTACATAACTTTAGAAGACCTTCAAGACTGACAATTCAACAAACTGTCACATTAAGTTAACACACACACACATACCACCCATTCAAATTCCACATACGGACTCTGGAAAAATCAACATCATGTGAGTCCTTTGGTTGTAAATGAAGATGTTCAAAGATATGCTGAAACATAAACAATATTAATTCTAAAGTAATGCAATGCATAAATGCATTCAATTCCAGCAATATCTGATCATTTCTTCTGACACCTGCACATGTTCCCAGTTTTGCATTAGAAAAACATCAACTTGGTCCATGATAAGCACTTCGATTGAGGATAGGAAATCATAATCACGTCTTTTCTCTCTAGTGTATGAACATAACAATTGCTCTGTGCCTTTCAAAATAAGTGTGTCAGATTCAATTTTGAAACACACACAAATACACATACCCATTAGCTCCTATAATTGATCTTAAACCAACAGGGGAAGCAATGATGATATCAGCAGAGTAAAACTCTGCATATAATTTTATTGTTTTCCGCATAATAGTCAAACCAACACGAAAAAAATCATCGCTGTTGCCATCAAACATCTTTTTAAAATCATCTGAAAATAAGAAAACACAAATAAATCATCATCAAAAGATCGTAATTTTTTTTAACTTGATGTGAGTTACATTGCAAATTTAAAATTATGTACTATGGGAATCATAATAATGTCATTTCACCTGACTTATTCTGAGGACCGTTGCCTTCTTCACTTTTGCTGAATTTTTCAAAAAATCTCCTTCTGTTCATAACTTGACACTGTGTGAAGGAAAATACAAGATTCCATTTCATAGACTTAACTTCTATGAATACATGCTTCAACATAAAGCATTTTAATGTACCTCTCCGTCTATAGCTAACAAATTGATAAATATATCCACAATCTTCAATGCAGAATCACGAAATGGCACAATGATCAAGACTTTTGGTCGTGTTAATCCTTGATCTCTGAACTCTCTTTAATTGTCAAAATATGTTAGCTGTTATACAAAAATGAGGATAGTGCAAAAATACTAAAATGAGAATTTACAAAGACCATACAGGGGGTGTCTCAACCAGAAAGCATATATATTTATATTTATAGTATGAACAAACAATTTATATATACATGTATATTACCCTGGCAATTCCTTTTTTTCTTTATGTGATTGAGCAATTTTACCATTGTTTTTTAAGATTTTTGACCTTGTTCTACATAGGTGAAATTTAGGCTGGATCAATAAAAAAACTTTCATGAATATAAAAAATAATTAAATAAATAAAGTCTTACTTTAATATATGATTCAAGGCATGAAGACAGTACATTCTTCTTATTTCTTCACTGTTGTTGAAATCTCTTAAACAATAATATAAATCCTGCGTTTGTAAAAAAAAAATAAAAAAGCTTAAATTTGCAAACACAGTTAAATTTGGCATTTGTTATGAACAAACATGTTCAATATTGGTAAAAATATTTTTTTACCTGATAGGAATTTAACATAGGAAATAAATCCTTTTGTAACCGAGTAAATATTTCATCTGATTTGATAGTCTGATTTAAAGATTTCCAGTTTTCACAGAGTTTTGGTTTTACCTAAAGACACATCAAACTGCTTATAGATGAAAGTGATGGCAGCAGCAATTAAAATAAAAAATCTCACCCAAAAATTTTCAAGTGTTGTTTTAGACCCAATACATACAGGACTTTCAATAGTTGATTCAGAAATAGATGGATAATGCAGGGCAATTCCATTGTCAATTTCTGTCTAAAACAACAGCCAAACTACATTAAACAGAAATCACCATATCATCTTTATGTGCTCAAAAACACCTCACTTTTATGGCCTTGATTGATGGTCTGGAAGCCAGTTTTGTAATCACGTGATCCTCAATATCAACTTCAAAATGTTGTGAAAATGGTTCAGACATTAACCCTTCAATACACAAAAAACAGAGACTTAGATTTATAATTAAGTAACATGCATAGATTAATCAACATACTTTCTTTCATATCATTTGAATTTGAATTATCATCAGAATCACTTTCTTCATCCGATTGTACAAGTTCAGTTACATGGACATCCTCTTCTTTCCCATTTTTAGTTTCATTTACCTATTGTAAAACAAACAATTTACATACCTTGAAGCTGGATAGTAATACAAATTAATCTCACGACAATATTACAATTTTATTTAGATACCCACATACATCCTTCAAATGATTATTTAAATATTGCTCATCATTCTTCTCTTGATTACTATTTCTCTTGCGAGCTTTTCTCTTCAGAACTGGAGATTCATTTACAAATGAGAGCATTAGCTTCTCGTATGCAGTTATTTCATCACCAACTTCTTCTCTCTCATTTGGTGAACAGTCAGCACTTGTTTTAGTAACTTTTTTCTTTCCTTGTGAATTCTAATATTTGTGATTTCATCAGTCAAGGGAATGTAGTAAAGTTTACAATTGCAGTTCATATAAAATACCTTTATAACAATCGAGTCATCAAAAATTGTTTCAATTCTAGTGGATTTCTCGATCGAATCGTCGTCTCTTCAACAAAAATGAATGTTTATAATACCCATAAGCAAAACTCTGGGTTTTATAATCAATATCACTTATTTCAATATCATCTCAAACACAAAGACAATGTTTACGGGGCATGTGCATTTCACAGTCTGAACCAACTCACAAGTCACGAGTCAACGACAAATAACACCATAAAAAATGGAATACTTAAAACTTACTCAATATCAACTGGATGAAGTTCTCCATACTCTTTTAAATGGTGTTTTTGCCCTTTAGAAAGCTTGTTTACATCGAAATGTTTCGATTTACCTTTACGCTTATGTCCTTTACCACTGGCATCCATGTTGTTATAGAAAATGAACTCGTGTCAGCGGTTTAACTAAAGTCAAATTCTATGAGCACATGGACATGGTTATGTATGGTATGGGTATAGGGCTGTGATCACAGCTGACTCTGACTCTGAGTATGTGGTTCGGAATAATAGCAACCCAACACATGGGTGACATGGCCAAAGTTACTAATATTTTCATTTAAATAAAAGACTTTGGTTAAATACAACATGCTGTAATCTTTCAACATCCCTTTGGTGACAATATGGAAAATTATTACATGGGAACAGCCATGGTAATATTGGATGTTCAAATTGTGATATCCACTTTCTGCTTTGATTCACTGTCTGTTTTTCTAGTTCTTCTGTTATATTAGCCAGCAATTCACTGTATTCTACATTTGGTAGAGGAGAAGTCTCGTTTGGATCCTCTTTAATGTTGAAAAGTAAAGGAGGGTCTTGATGCTGCAAACCTTTCTCTGCAGAAAAAAAAATTCTTAACTATTTACTAGATTTTTTTGTTTTACATACATTCAATTGTATGATATTTACCTGACATAAAGCTAAAATACACTTTAAAATCTTTATGAGTGACTGACGAAGGTCTTGTTACTTGAAGATGGTGGAATATATATTTGTGTAAAGCCATATCCTGGTCCTGTGTAACATTAATTAAAGATTTACCATTTATTGAATGTGATGGAGTTTTTGCACCAATATAATCAAGTACAGTTGGCATAATATCCATAAGTGTAACAGATTGGCTAATTGTCTGCCTTTGCTGATACAAAATTGGATTTTTGATGAAAAGTGGTACACAAAGATGTGTCTCCCATGTATTAAGAATTCCTGCAATACCTACAAAAAATGAAATCATTTAAGCTTGATCACATTTGCCTGTGAACTCCATAAGACTTATTACAACAAATATACCTTCTAATGTATTTGTTGGAATGCTATGACCTCCAGAAAGAGCAGTAAATACAACTATTGTATTATTTTTGAGTTTTAAAACATCAATTGTCTTCAATATACTTCCCACACTCCAGTCCAACTCTACCAGAGAGTCGATGATTTCATCATTTTTCTCGGAAGTATTTTTAAAGAACATTGATGTTGACCTTGAACTCAGATGAAGATGATTAATCATCAATAGAAATGGAGATGGAGTTGCTTTGATAAACCCCAAAGCTTCATTGGTAAAACGTAATGTCAAATTCCCCACATCATATGGTTGTCCTGCAATGTGATTATTTTGATATAATACACAAGCTCTGTTGACAATGAAAGATGATTTGATATTTGTTAGATATAAGACAACACCAAGAACAATCATCGATGATATCAACCTTGCTTTAAGAAAACAGAGGCACCAAACAGACAAAATGATGAAGACAGACAAGAAAATAATCTGGAAGATGAGAGAAAAAGTTTCATTTACAACCATTTTGTGTGTTCTTCCAAAATTACCAAAGCACTCTATAGTTGGATGTGCCACTATGCCAAACCAAGAATCAAAGCCCTGATTTATTGGAAGGAATTTCCCAGAGCTCCCCAAACCTTGATTCCAGAATCCCACAAAACTGCTGGTATAACCATTTTCCTTTAACAGTTCAGCCAAGGTTATTTCACTTAAAGGAAGACCACCTGATGAAGCAATAGATGGTAGAGTTGTAAAAGGTAAAAACCTTCCCTTTAGCATTCCAGTTTTGACTGGAAGGCGAGCGGTAAGGAGAGCAGCCATTGAAGACGTTGGGTAAAGATGAGAATACACATGGTTGAATTGTATCGCATTAGAAGATAGTTCTTCAATATTCTTCAAGTATCTCCAGTAGTGTTTTATTGCTTTAATTCCAAGTTCATTGGTTGTAATAATCACTACGTTAGGTTTTAAATTTTCAGCGTGAGCAATTGTAAAAAAATTATGAGTTAAACACAGAAAAAAAAATACCACAAAAAAAAGATGGCCCGACCGTTCTTCCATTACAAATGATTATACTTCATGTTATTACGTTATTAGATCGTTTAGATTTTGGCTTAAGCAAAAGCGAAAGTAAAATTTTATAAGTTTAAATAACGACATTACAACTACATAAGTATACCTTACCCTCATTATTCTTAATCATAACGTTATACGTCATGATAATCTTAGTTAAATTCATTCATTTCATTGGTCATACTTTCCCTGTTCATGATTTGGAATGCATCAATTTCTTGTGTTCATCAACAATATCTTTCACTACAGAAGGTTCAGCTAACGTGGACACATCGCCTAAATCATGAAAGTCGTTTGCAGCTACTTTTCGTAAAATTCTCCTCATTATCTTTCCTGATCTCGTTTTAGGTAATCCTGACGCAACCTTTGCATCAATTAAGAAATGAGAATATAAGGATTTGAAAAGAATAAATATTTGAAATGCAATGAATAAGGAAATCTACCTGAATAATTTCAGGTACAGCAAACGAACCAATCTCTTTTTTTACAAGATTTTTCAACTGCAATACCAAGTCTTCTAATTTGATAACCGCTCCTTCTTTCAGCGTTACATAAGCGTAAATACCTGTAAATGTCATAATCATGATATATGAGGCGAAACTGTAAATAACAGAGAATATTAAAAGTTAATATGTCCATATATACTTGCCTTCGCCTTTAATCTCATGTGGAAAACCAACTACTGCACTTTCAGCAACATCAGGATGATAATCCTACATTTTCAAAAAACTCCACTTATAAAATGAAGATTTCGGGATTTTAAACGTGAATATGTAACTCACCAGAGCATCTTCAATTTCTGCAGTTCCAAGACGATGTCCACTAATGTTTATGACATCATCTACTCTGCCAGTAATCCTATAGTGTCCATCTTCGTCCCTTAAGGCTCCATCACCAGTGAAATAATATCCTACGTAGTATGTATTAATGATACTTTCAGGACAATGTTTAACGAACATCGTTATATAGACAATACAAATTGTTTCTCTCAAAAAAATGAAATAAGTGAGCGCTAAAGATATTGTTATTACCTGGGAATGTTGTGTAGTATGTCTCCAAAAACCTCTGATGATCTCCATAAACTGTACGTGCCAATCCGGGAACTGACCCACGAATGCACAAATTGCCCGAGACATTATTTCCAACTAATTCTTTTCCCTTTATTCAAACACAACATGATGATATCAAAATGTGAAAATGATATAGTTCACGCATAAATTGATGTTGGAAAAAACTTACATTACTGTCTAATAAAACAGGTTCCACTCCAAAGAAAGGCCTTGTTGCAAATTCTGGTTTAGGCATAGAATTATCAGGGCCAGGTCTTGGGGCCAAAAATACACCACCTGTCTCTGAAGTTGTGTCATTATTAATAAAAGCGCTAGCCATTCTTTCACATACAAGGTAAAATAAAAAATAAGTTAACCTTTAGGAACAAACAAAATGAAGTTGTACCTGTTTGCCACCAAGTATCCACAACTGTACACCTCTTCTCCCCAACAATGTCATTGTACCAATACCATGCTTCAGCATTAATGGGTTCGCCCACTACAAAGAAACTATTTGAATATATAGAGGATAATGTAACACAATGACGATATTCCATAGAAATACCTGTGCCAAGAACTTTAAGAGATGATCTGTCATATTTTTCAACCCAATCATTTCCATACTTTAGAAGGAGACGAATTGCAGTTGGAGCACCATAAAATATGTTGATTTTCAACCTCTCAACCATTTCCCAATAGCGACCAGGATCGGGGTATGTTGGAATGCTTTCAAACAACACAGATGTGGCACCATTGGATAATGGACCATAGACAACATATGAATGACCAGTTATCCAACCAATATCAGCAACACAACTAAAAATGTCACCTGGTTCATAGCCAAACACATGCTAAATCATTATAAAAAACCTAGAATCAGACAGACGCATGTATATATGGGAACTAAACAAGTGTTTATACTTTGAATGTTAAATTGGCATAGAGAAGATATCCTGCTTGTGAATGCTGAATTCCTTTTGGTTTACCAGTGCTACCAGATGTGTACAGCAAAAACAACATATCTTCACTGTTCATTGGTTCAGGAATACATTCATTACTTTCTTCTGACATTGCCTGATCAATGAAAAAATCAGAGCCCACAATGACAAACTTTCCCTTAAATTATATTTCTAGAAAAAATTTCACCTTTTCCAAGGGTATATCTATCTTGCCCATTGGAACATCAGCACCAGTTCTTGACATCACAAAAACACGCTTGACACCAGAACACTTGCTAACTGCTTCATCAACCATTTGCTTTAGGTTAATAGTTTTGCCACCTCGCAACCCTTGATCTGCAGTGATGACAGTTTCTGCACCAGCTAACATGAAAAATATAATACATCATGATATACTGATGAAAAGATTCAGAATCATGTTGCTAAAACATTGTATGAAAATGACCAACCATCCATTATACGGCTTGCCAATGCATCAGCACTAAAACCAGCAAAAACTACACTATATTGGATGGATAAAAGAATTCTTAGTATCTTGTGTAAACCTTACAGACATTCCAATGTATACTTTACAAACATACCTGTGAGCTGCACCGATTCGAGAACATGCCAGCATGCTGACTACAGCAAGTGGAGAGTTTGGAAGGTATAGACAAACTCTGTCACCTTTTTTAATACCATGATTCTTCAAAGTATTTGAGAGTTGACATGTCATCTTAAGTAATTCTCTATCATAAACAATAAATAAATATAAAAAGCAGGAATCCTATAAATTGCGTTAATTGTAAAAACTTTTTAAAAATATTGGAAAGCCAAGTGTATCGATGGAAAAATAATTGTGAATGCTTTACTTCTTCAACTGTTCCTTACCTATACGACACCGTTTCATGTGTTCCTGGCTCATCTTTCTCCCATATCAATGCAATGTTGTCCGGTGTTCTTTGAACATGTCGATCCAAGCAATTTTCTACGTCCAATGGAAAATTGTAAGGTATGACCAATAAATTCAATACAAACAATTCTCATAAATTCGCACAACAAAAACGAAACCTGACACATTTAGCACACCATCCATAAACCATTTATGCTGGCCTTTACTCATTTCACAATCCATCGTCTTCGTAAATGGTGTGATCCATTGCAATTTTGATAAAGCAAGTTCTCCCCAAAATTTACCAGGCTCTTGTATGCTTTTCTTGTATATTTCTTCATGGTCACGCGTGACGAAGGAAAGTTTATGTTGTGATGGCACCAGCTCGCTAAGGAACAAAGACCGCGTTTGCACTTTTCGAAAGCTTTTTAACCGTAAGCGTTGAAATAACGAACGAAATAAAACGTTTGTTGCGTTTTGGCCAACGTATATACTATTCATGTCAATCGTTGCAATTACTGATAAAGTTACAATTAAAAATTATTTAAAATGCAAATCCTTAAGTCCGGGGAACATCCCGTGATTTGTAATTGAGAGATATATGGTATATATACCACATGCGGTGGTCTTCTTGTGACCCCCAACCAACGTGGAAATAGTCAATACTTAACAATTTAAAAATGCAATCCAAATTAGGACAAAATAAACGTGTGTATCTTTGTAGCCGACCAGGTAAATGTAGTCCCGTGTCTTTGGAAAATTTTGCCATCGAAACCATCGCAGTTCCAAAATGCGATGATGGTGAAATTCTCGTCAAGACACTCTGTTTATCTGTGGGTCCTTACATGAGATGTCGTTTTAATGCTGACTCCGGTGTAGCATACGCGAAATCCTGGGAAATTGGTGATACCATAGATGCATCAGGTGTAGGAATTGTCATAGAAAGTAAAGACAAATCACATTGTTTGGGTGACATGATCTATTTACCAATGTCTTGGCCTTTTCAAAACTATGTGAAGTTCAATCCTAGTGCAATGCTTTCAAATGCTGATCCAACTGTTGGCGCACATTCTTTGATGAAGGTACCACATCCATATGAAACAAGCAATTTCTTTAACAAACACAAACAAACACATTGTTTATAAAAAACTGTTTGTTAATAGATTGAAAGTGATGTCCTAAGAAAGCATCCATCCTTAAGCTTAGGTCTTCTGGGTGGAACAGGTTTAACCGCAATACTGGGTATCAGAGAAAAGGCACATATTACTCCTGGCATGCAACAAACTGTGGTAGTCAGTGGTGCAGCTGGAGCTTGTGGGTCAGCTGCTGGTCAGGTATGTTAGTAAAGAATTGAGATTTCCTTTCTTTAATTAAAAAATTCATTTTTCATACACAGGTACAATTGTATTTAGATTGCCAAGTTAGAAGGCTGTGGGAAAGTGGTTGGGATCTGTGGCTCTGATGAGAAGTGTGCTTGTTTGAAAGAAGAATTTGGTTTTGATGTGACCATCAACTATAAGACAACATCAAACATTGATGAAGTAATAAAAGAACATTGTCCTGAGGGTGTTCATGCTTACTTTGATAATGTAGGAGGAGAAATAAGTAATCAGGAAAGTTGCTTCTTTTATTTACTTGTGGATTACATTCATTTAATTTGTATAATTCTAGTTTTTTTTTATAGGTTATTAAATGTATGAATGAAGAAAGTCATGTTGTATTGTGCGGGCAAATTTCGCAGTACAATAAAGACTTGCCATATCCTCCTCCTATTCCTGATGATATAACAAAAATATTGAAGGAAAATAAGATCACGCGTGAGCGTTACACAGTGTTGAATTACCCCAACAAGTTTAAGGATGCTCTGTCACAACTTGAAAGATGGTATACAGAGGGAAAATTGAAAAATCGTGAAACTATCGAATTTGGTCTACAAAATGCAGGAAAAGCATTTGTATCAATGATGAGCGGCAAAAATATAGGCAAACAAGTGATACAGGTGGACCCTGGTATCTGACATAATATGGATACTTCCGATACCACTTTGCCGTTTGATCTACTATTAGGTTTTTCATACATAATTTATCTTGAAAAAACCTCATCTTATACCGTGGTTCGCGTAGTGTAGTGGTTATCACATCCGCTTTACACGCGGAAGGTCCCAGGTTCGAACCCTGGCGTGAACATTTTTTCTATGGTTTTATCACAGAAAATCTGTATAATTATCAACATGGAAATCTTAAAATTTCTGAGTAGCAGCAAAGTTTTTATTAAATGTTTTTTAGTAATTTTAAAACTTTGTGTGGAATATTATTTAACGCGAGCGGAATTTTAGGTTTTCTTTCAAATTACCCATACCATTGACGTCTGGCATGACAGAACCAAGTTCAATGAAATTACTTCCCGTATTTAACATAAATATTCAAAAGATTTAAAATCTTAAAATACTGAGAACTATGAGGCCATGGTCAGGAATGACACTGACCAGCAAGCTACTTTAAGAAACGATAGTAATACAAAAAATGTTCTCGGCAGGGCTCGAACCTGCGACCTTCCGCGTGTTAAGCGGATGTGATAACCACTACACTACGAGAACTCGATAATACACCTTTCAAATATAATTTTTTATAATACACCTTTATAGCCTATGCACCCCAATGACAAACAAGAAATGGCATAGAAGTGACGCCACTATCGATAGCGATTTCCCATCAGATAACTATAATATCAACATTGTTGTTGTTATTACAGTTCAATGTTCTCGACACGTTACGTCAAGTGTCAAGTTTGTGCAGAGAAATGCATATGCTATAAAACAAGACGTGGAGAATTATTAAAATAATTTCTCCCCTTCCTGCTGTCGGTTCTTGTAGTGTAGTGGTTATCACGTCCGCCTCACACGCGGAAGGTCCCAGGTTCGAGCCCTGGCAAGAACATAGTTTTTTCTTGTTTAATTTTATTACATGAACACTTTATACTTGATATATATTTAAACTTATAAAAAACAAATTTCACATTTAATCTAGGAACCTAATCTAGGAAAGGTTTTAGGAACCTATTTCTAGGTTCCTAAAACAATTAATGCCCTGTTGTGACGTCATGCATATTTCCATAATAGCTTGCTAAAGTGATTTAAGGAGAGTTTTACAGAGAATTATGATGTCATATGAAATTCATTCTCTAATAACTATCTTAAATATTTGTTGGTAATGATTGTAAAAATTGGTTGCCATTCCCCTTAAATCCATAAATGAGGCAGAGTTAGTGAAAGTTTATTTGGAATATCAACAAGTTGGAACCAACAAATGGTACACTAGACTGGAAAGTTTGTACTGCACACCTAACATCTCAGGTGTGCAATTTTAAGAAAACTTGACTGTTATGTGCACAAATTTCAAATCTTGGGTGCACAGTTTACAAACTTTTCAGTCTGAATGGTAAATATTTATAGAGTGTGTATATTCACATCAAGTTGCTTTCATTCTTATAAGACTTAAAAAGTGGAGTCTATTCTGTCCAACGATAGCCACAGTCCACTTGAGTACAAACATAATACAGCTTCATTTGCTATATAAAAATAAGCCAGTATTTAAATAATAGTATCAAACATGTTTTTTTTCTTCATCAGTATATCAGCAGTTAATTAAGGTTTGCATTTAATCTGCTGCTTTTATCTTCCTATTCTCAATATATAGGGTGACGATATGAAAATTTCATTATGGCTTTAAAAGTTTATTTCAATCACATCATTCAGTTTATGAAGACTATTCACAAGTTTCAATTTTAGTCAATTTATGTTTTTCAAGATGTTCCAAATGTCCACCATTTTGTTGTAGCAAATTGTATTGTCTGGTTTGAATCATTTTTCGGGATGGCTCTTATTTTTGCTGTGATGGCAGTTTTAAGTTCTTCAAAAATAAGAGGCATCCCGAAAGAGGAGTGTATAAAAGTGATTCACAACTTTGCCAGACGAGTACAGGTTTGCTTGCCACGAAATGGTGGACATTTGGAACACATCTTGGGAAAGCCATAAATTGACTAAAAATTGACAGAAATAGCCGAAACTCTTGTGAATAGTCTTCCATAAACTGAATGATGTGTGGTTGTAATTTGAAATAAATAGCTTTTTACTTAAAGCCATAATTGAAATTTTCATGGGTACAAATCTTTTTGGGTCACCCTGTATGATTATTCTCACTCTAAGCAAAGTAAACCATCAATTAGATTAACATATATACTTTAAGCAAAATAAACATACATCAGCTTTGCTTGATTGTGATTGAAAGAAGACTGCTTCACCATAGCCACATCTAAAACAAACATTACTGTGATGGAAGACTGAGTACACATCATAGATTCAAGAATATGTTCACATTAAACCTTGGACATTGATGTTCATGTGTTCTAGGTAAAGTTGGATCAGCAATAACATCTGCAACAATCTGCGTCAGTTCACTAAATACATTTAGAAATATGAATAAAATGTAATTGTTTGTTTTCCATAAGCACAAAATAACAAAAATGCTTAAAATCTATCTGCACATGAAATATATAAGTCATGTGAAACCATCATTTAGAGAATATAACAATGTCACTTTAGATAAAAATATACTTACTTCACTTCATGCATAATTTTATTCACATAAATACAACTATTATCAGCTCTCTCTTGGTAATCACAATTCCGACACTAGTGTTGTAAACAAGACCAATAATTGCAATTTGTTTGTGATGTCAAGTAAAAACATGGAATATAAACAATACAAACTGCATAAAGTAATATTTTCATTTCTTTGTCTTCTTTTGGATAAAGCATGTTGTTGCTAAACAAGCATTTTTATGAAAAATAACAACTAAACGCATTCGTCGAAATTCAAATATATGTGCTTATAGGAATTGAGCATACGTACCATTCTTGACAAAATTTTATTCCCACAAATCCAGGACCACTCTCCACTTCTCTATCTTGTCTTCTAAACATCATAAAATTCCTTTTCAAGTTGACTTGAACAACAAATGACAAGTCGACTCAATGCAAGTATCACGAAAAGAATCTCAAGGACCTAATCGTAGGCTAATTAAATACTGCGCAGTGCGCAGCATGTGCCCAGTGAACCCAATATACATCTATATATCTGGAGTGTTAATATCAAAAGTGAAAGCCAAGGACAAAGACAAACAAATCATAAGCATTGTATTATGGCATCTAAGGCCACGGGCCCTTACAAATATTCTTCATAAATGGAGGTCGAGTTTCTGGGTGATTTCCTACTTCCAAGAGCATTTCTCTTCACAGTTTATGGTCTTAGACTGGGGCTAGCTTGCTTAGTGGTTGTTATGATATACTCACATTAGATTTGTTTACATTCATATGCAAATTGTTATAGAATCACGTGATATGTAAATTACCTCGTGGTATGTAAAATTATGATTATTAAAGAGTTCAAGTCGATACCACAACAGTGGTAACTTTGAAAGTCGACAGCATTGCATTCAACTAACATATGGAATACCTAACTAAATAAGTTTACCTTATAACCGGCTCATCAAGCGGTAGATAGAACCATGAATCTGCTAAATCTGCTAAATTTCTTTATCTCCAAAGGGTCAGGGAATGTAGACCTTGCAATTTGCAATGTCCAGGCGGCAGAATTGTTGGCTGGAGAGATAGGAAAATGGCTTGGTGGAATATGTTCTTTCCTTCATAATCATCTCAATCTTGACCATTGACCAAAACAATTACATAGAAAACCTTTTTGCGTAATCGAAGTGATCAACAAGCCTAAGGCAAATCGATAAACTCTTTTTTCTGTCTAAATGACTCAGACATTTGACACAAATTTTTTTATTAAGCAAATAAAGATTACATCAAATCAATCTTAATCACAAACACATACAAAAAGTGTATCTCAACATTCTTATTTCTGGTAGAAACAAAGGAAAGGCAACGATCTTACTGTGTTAAAAAGTATAGTGCACGGAGTCTTGGAAGCCATGCGATCCTGTCACAAAAGGATGCTGTTTTATCGAAGGTGTCATAATTGAAACATTAAATAAATATGTTGGACAATTGATAAAGAAATTTACGTTTTAAACTGATGGTCGTCGATAAGATTTGCTAAAACTGCTGTTTTAAACCAAGTACACTTGGTCTGTGTGAATAAAAACTATCACAAAATAAAGTCAGTAAAACTAACATGTCATTTTAGAAAGGTGGTCTTAGTAAAACTAGCCATGCTAACCATGAACTCGAAAAAATTACATACGAACGATCTTTTACAAAAAGCATATTTTGACATGGTTTTTTAATAAAAACGCAAAATAATTGTCCAACCTCTTTCACTTATTAGATGAGAGAAAGAAAAATCAAAATAAATATCAACTATAATCTTGACATCGGCGATCACCATTGGCTAATATATGACACTCCATGCTTTGATTCAAACATTTTTACGAAGGCACAAATAAAGTAGTTCTCTTTGAATACAAGTAAAGTCACGAATCTTTAGTATCTAAAATGGAAACGCTTAGACATGACATCGTTGGTCATTCAGGACATATCAAAATTTCCTCAAGCGGAGATAAGAGCAAAGGTTATCTGTTTATTTTGTTCTGTATTTTTATAACTAATGATTCTCTTTCATCCTATTTCTATCTTTGTAAATAGTTTTCGTATGTGAAATTGAACGTAGGACAACAACGACATTTTTTGTTAATATAAAATCTGAAGAAGATTTAGAAGAAGCCAATACAAAAATACATAACAGGCTACTTGGGCTAACTGTTCGAAGTGGAAAACAACCTCTTATCCAAATCGTGTTCAGCTTACCGATATATAACCAAACAAGCGAACACTAAATTGGGCATTTATCGAAGTTCCAAAAGATTAGAAAACGCAAATGCTTAAAAGACACTGAATGAAAAACATTGGATGACTATACCACAATAGCTACGTTAGGGACGTTAGGTTATGTGACATATTAAAAAACAGTGACTGAAATTTTATAATATACGTAGTCTATAAAATGATGTTGAACAATTGTTTTATAAAAAGTTAAATCTTATCTGCACTTAACGATATTTTTGACAATTATGATTGTTAACAAACCTATTTTTGTAGTATTTCTTCCATATTTGATCTAATTAACTACTTATTTTTTCTTAATGACTAGAACATAAATTACAACTCATGAATGGACTATTCCAAACGCGAGAAGTAAATATCATGTCAATTTTTAGAAAAAAATCTTTTTTTGGGTGAACGTGTTTTGGCCAAATGGAATGAAATATGCTATTATTTTGGTAAGAAAAAACCCACAACACTTCATGTTATTGCTAGTTCGTTCAGCGATTAATAGTTTCACAGTTTATATTTATAGTAAATTTTTGATTGAATTGATTTATTATCACTATACCCATACGGCTTTGTCGAAAAATTTGAATTTTTACAGTGAAAAAAGCTACTATTATCGTATCACACGTGCTGTAGTCTGTAGAAACTATGTATAAAATGTTAGGTTAAATCTAATATGAAACTAATAATTTTGGAAGATCATTCCTTTATTGAAGGTACTGTGTACGATGTTCAAGAGAAACAAATACAAATATGTTTTGATAACGGCCATATGAAACAATACCCAAATGACTGTTTTGATAAAATTGTTATTGATGAAGTTCCGTCAAAAGATGATCTTATTGAAAATATCGCAGTTATTGTGAAAGTGCCTAGACAGAGAGAGTTCATTAAAGGTATTCATAGTAGCGTAACTAATAATGAAAAACAAAGATCTCTGTAATTTGAAATGAAAAATGTCAAAATGAAATCATATTAGGTTTTTTTAATGCAACAGTTTAACAAAAAACACATGCAATTGCGCATATGTGGAAGTTGTAGTTTTAATCCTAACCTGTATATTTTAGGTTGCATTCACTCAACGGGTTCCACAAAGGGTTATTGTGTTATGATGGAGGATAAGAATCTTGGTATGGTATGGAAACGAAGGAAAAGTTTGCGAAAGATACACAAATGGACAGCTATCAAAGGTAAAAATCCTTACATCGATATAATCGTTTCATTTCCCTGTTCTAATTACCCAGAAAATCGCCACCAACATAACTTATTTTAACAAAGTGAAGTGAATATAATTAATTGTCTAGTTTTATCTTGGAACCAATCAACTTTGCAGGTTATTTGAAAAACCAAAGAACATCATGTTTGGAAAAAGACAGCAATGTGCATCATTCAAGTTTGCATTCATCTTATCAATTGCCCAATTCAACAAACAGTTCGGTTTATTATAATGAACATACAATTTATTCTTGCAGTGCGGAAGAGACTCGAAAATGCAATATTGATTTTAATACAGCAAAAAATAACGTTGGTTTCTGCAAGAAAGAGCCATCGTCTACATCAAATACTATTCATCAGAATAGTTTAAATCCATGTGCATTCACTGACAATAGTATGTTTACGACATTCAATGTATCCTCTTGTCTTTTACACCCACACCAAGCAAGGGGAACTGAAGATCCTTCGAAAGTGACGTATTCAAATGCCATGCGGCGGACGAACAGACGTTTTCAGTCAATGGTTTCCGAAACAGCTAGTTACCAATCCACTGGTAACCACGTTTACAACGCATTTCCACCTAATTTCAACAATGTCGAGTGTTCTACACTGGAACTACAGACGCCAAAATTGCAACAAGATCTCCCCCATAATGGCATTCTTAAAAGCAATTTAATTCCGACTGCTGCGAGCAAAAGCAATTTCTTTGATAAAAGAGGACAAATTTTAAGTATGAATGCTGGTTATGGAAATTCGGAATCATCGATAGATCGAAATGCCACTTATGAATTTTCATATTTTCTCGATTCACGTTTCCTTATAAATGAACCACATGATACAAATGGCTGCATCGATGAATCGCAAACATTCAGCAATGCCAGTCAATTTTCTGAATGCCGATTAAATATCTTTCCTCAAACGGAAAACGGCGATGATTGCTTTTACCAAGATATCGCAAACCAAGACCAGTTTTGTTTCGTACCTAATATGTGTTATCACTCTAATAATATTTCAAAAACGGAAATTCCAGTCTTGTCTGAGACTGTGTTTGATAACAATGAAAATTCAAGATGTTTTCAATATGAAAATCAGTTAAATAATTCGTGCTTATACAGCTACTTCGACAACTGTTATTTGCCAAAAGATTTTTCTCAATCTACGTGCAGTGTGCGTGATGATGTGATATCATCCTCGTGGCCTACTACGGAAGAACCACGGTACATCTCTATAGAAACAACATCGGACGATATGACTGAGGGCTACATGACTAACCCTAATCAACATGAAGCGATAGACATGAATGAAACCAAATGTTTGGAACAACAATTTCAGCAAAATACTTCGATAACTGCCCAGGCATACGCAGTTGGTAAACAGACTCAACCTGATGAATTTTACCCGCCTCAAACCATAATGCACCCACAGTTTTCACAGGAAACACCCTTATGTTTTTCAAAATACCTTGAACTTCATCACTGCAACAACAACAGCTGTTACTCGTCTCCTCCCACTTTTCAAATACAACCAGAGACAGAAAATCTAAAGTCAAATCAATGGACATCTTTAATACCGGAATTAAATGCTAATTTTTCAAACGACAACAATGAAATTTACTATGAAGGAAAATTTGAGAATACAATCAAAGAAATTGACCCAAGAAAAACGCAAAAAAACAGAGATCAGTACGACAATTGCTTTAACTTACCCTTTACTCTTCAAGAAATGAAAGAAAAGCAGGTGGCCGCTTCTTGTGAACCTTCTTTTGCTTCTTCGTTAAAAGATAAAGAAGGCAAGAATATCTTCCAAAGTGATGTAAAGATGAAAGAAAAAGGAAATGTGCACAATGAAGTATTTTACTGCACAAGAAAGAATGAAAATCCTTCAGAATGCAGTGATAAAGTTCCACAAATAATGCTAATGGTAGAAAATAAAAATGCAAAACAAAACAACAAAATTTCTGGAAAAAATTTCCCCGAGAAGACTTGCAATCCTACAAATGCCTCAGAAAGTAAAAGCGATCAACAATGTAGGACAATGTCGGACAAAGTCAACAATGCGAAGGATATACAAGAAGAAAAGAATGTAAAGAAAAGCGAAAGCCAGAAATTCTTTAACGACAACGAAAGGCTATTGACCATAGATAAATCCGGACTATGTTCAAACCACGATAACTATTGCTATGAACAATCTTTTGATTATTCGAGTGATTCAGATGGTTCACATCAAGCATTGTCTCCCAGCATTCTTAGTTGTTGTAGTCAAACATTAAAAGCTTCCACTGAGTTTTGTTCTTCATCTCAGCTATACGAAGCTCATTGTTCATCAATAGGACATGAATTTGATCCCGTTCCAAGCAAAACTGAAAGCCACCCAAAAATATCAGAAGGGAATCCAATTAACGATCGTGGCGACAAAAATCCATCAATTGACAAGATCACTTTAACAAACAACTCCGTTCCCACACAATTTTCATGGTATGATGAAGTTGTTATCTGTGAAGAGACTGAATCGCACAAAACAGTCGCGATTCAAGTTGAAACGAAGTACAAGAAAACAAAAAAAGATAGGCACTCCGTCAGCTCACAAACGAACCACGTGTCTGTACAAGCGATACATCATAAAACTTTTAACGAAAGAAATGTCCAAGCTGTGGTACGGATTACTTTCGTCGACGAGAAAAACATCCCATTGTATCGTCACCTATCTAGTACAAATTTTTAATTGGTATTGAGCAGTTTGGCATTTTACTGTCGTATACTTGATATTTTTAGTTCGGCTAGTTCATGGTCACTTACATAGCATATCTAATGACGTGTCAGCTTTCTATTGGCCACAAAATGCACGTCATCCATGTGACGACGATCAGTCTGATAATGTTTCAATTGAAGATTGTTGTGATTACTATCGTGAAGTCTCACGGCAAACTTGAAAAGATTTCAGGTAGTTGTTGGGTTTTTTCTTTCTTTTTTGACGTTTAAGTGTAGATTTAACGTTATGTATTTGCTAATATAGTTGAAATAACTTGGTGTGTTTGCCAAAATTCTTCATTTGTGCGGGGTTTTCAATTCATAAGTTAGAAGTATGTATATGATCATAAATGTATCATTCCATACCACGAGCTAAATGTGTTAGTCTCATGTTAAAGTCGTAGTATTTAGATTTAGATTTTAGAGTATTTAGTTGTACTACAAGAAACACGCACGGTACTAGTCAAAGTTAGGAGGGCTTATAATGAATTACCTGTGTCACACAAAACATGCAACAACTCGTGAGTTTTGTCTTAAATTACCAGCTGTTGTTGCCAACAACAATTAAATTAGTTCTGTAAAGGTAGAACTACGACTTAGAAATGTGGTACTTGTTCATGTTGCTATAAATACAACAGAAAATCTCCAAACATACTTGTATAAAAAGTACTTGTATGGTGCATGTGTTCAATGTTGTGATCGACGCCAAAAAATGTGGTTATTCGACGCAGTTTGGATTTACTATTGTGATATGAAAGTGACCGTCTTTGCTCAATCTTCTTCGCGTTTGGGTTCGAATTCATACCATCATATCTGACTCCTTCGACGTTTTAAGACATCAGATTGACAAAAAAACTTAAATGTTTCGAACGCCTGAATGAGGAGAGATGAACGTGGATGACGAACGAAAGCGATAGTGAATAAAATAATTTCCAACAAAAACCTCACAGTTAGGGTAAGTTTAATTCGTCGAACATGTTAAATGAAGGACGGGAAAGGGCGGTTGTGAAGGAAAATGACAGTGAGAAGAAGAAATGTAACACTTTTTGTCATCATAAATTTTTTTTGACAAAAATTTTGACATCTACTCAGTTGTCTTCCCTACTGCCACACAAAGCAGACAGGACTTGAAACCACGGACATGCCCATGCGATCAAATCCACAGTACTGGTCTTTCCTTCGAGCCAAAGCTTCCTTACTCTTAACAGTCATTAAACTTCTCTTTTAAAAACGTTCAGCCACATCAAGTGATCCATCTTTAGTTGTGGAAAACTTGATAATGAGTAAAATTTTACGTAACGCATGAGACAAACGTTATTATCGCTGTGTGTGTGTGCAAAAAAGCCTTAGTTTTATGTTAAATGGAAAATATTCAAGTTGTATGTCATAGTTACCATTATAAGATAAACAAAGCCACATTCTTGGTAGAATTAAAAGAAATCCCTAGTTTCCAGTGCTGAGTCGTGCGAATACCTCGCTAGAGCGTGAGCAGTTATGTACAGCAAAATTAAACTCAATTTATTAACTTATTACTATGACTATTCATTCAATCGTACAAATTTGGGGAGAATGTCAGTTCATGTATTTGAGAAAAACATCCCGCAATTATTTCATAATTAACATTTCTACTGGTTTGCACAATAATTTTGCTTAGCATAAACCGGCTGACAGTTTGGTGTAATTGTAAAGTCTGAAAAGTTCAGGAAGGGAATGAAAATATACTAGTTATAGTTCACTCAACTAAACTTTGCATTGGCTTTATTCTTTGATAATTTTAAAAATTCACCGTCTGATTAACCATGATTATTGTCAAACAGAGCCAGTTTGATCAGCCTAAGCAAAGAAAAAAACTAAAATCAGTCTTCTTTTCATCAAAATTTACTGCTAATCGATATCATTCGGTTCTTCAGAGACAATTTAAGACAGCATCCAGTAAGCTGTGTGGGGGTAAAATAGTAAATTGAAATACTTACCTCTGTCATTGCTTCTGCCATTTGTTTCACTTGTGATTCACTTAACGCTTTCCCAGTATTCTGTAAAAAACACATACGGTACATAAATGTTGTATAAAACACACAAAGTTTGCTAGTGCAAAACTCAAAATTAAATCAAGTATAACTAGAAGGCCACCTATTGCAAAAAGTTGAAGCTAGCAATTCAGATTGTTCCAATCTTTCCAAGTACGGCCGGTATAATCGAAAAGAACATACCTGGAAGGCTACTTCCGACCAAAATTTGAAACTAGCTATTCAACTATTGCCATGCAATCTCCTCGCACGGCCAAAAATAAGTCATTACAACAATAAACTAAAATAGGGACTTTACTACCAAACTAAAAATTTTGTTGCGTGCAAGTACAGACAAGTATGTTTATATAAAAGTAGCTTTTCACTTATAGCTGTAATTAATTGAATGAAAAACACACAAAAACATATATATGAACATAATCGGTATGATTGCTTTCCAATATAAAAATATCAATAAAACAGACCTGCACACCTCCATTGGAAAGAGCAACTTGAGTCTAAACGTTGTTTAAAAAATATTAGATTAACAAAGAAAACATAACAAATTTTGTCTACAATTATTATCAACCGTAAGTTCATTGTTTTTCTTCTCTTGTGCTTGCAACTCCGTCTCAAGCTGCAAGAAATATCATTGCATGAAATTGCAAAATGATCGTCTCTTTTGTTAACATTCATCAACAAATCGTTAAATATATTGAGGAAAAATTCTCAAACAAACCTCCGCAATTTTTGACGTTTTTGCATCACTTTCTGCCTTCAGGTGTTCGTACTTTTCGTTCAAATCGCGAAATTTCGATTCATACTGAAATCGTAAAAATTTACCGATTGTAATTTGTGGTGGATTGCGTCTTTAAGTCATTCACCAGTTGTCATCATTCACTTCATGATAAATCATTTTATTAATGGTCTTTTCAAGAACTTAGTCTATTTCACGGTTTTAGCAATACACACAATGCAACAAAGTCTCTTTACGATGTTGATTACCTTTGATTTTGATCCTAACAGTCCTTTAAGCCCACTCTTTTTCTTCTTCTCTTTTGAATCAGACGCTACGTCCTTAAAAAAATACAATAATAATAAATAAGTGATATTATAAGTATTCATAGTTAAACTACAGAGCCTTAGATAAATTTAATAAAGTATTGCTGTTGATGTAGTTAAAGCAAAGGAAGTTCATAGCTGCTCAACTGAGAAAAACAGCTTCACTCACAGTAATGAAAGACTTCATAAAAATAATGAACATTTATAACAAATTCTTACGTCGTCAATGGATGTTGAATCCTCCATATGAGCAATTTGCGCCTGTAGTTCGCTTTCCCTTTTTACTGAATGTGCCAACTTATCTTCAAGGGACTGATATTAAAAAAAAACCCAAAAAACATTACATGTGTCATGTCATACACATTTTGTAAGCCACCCTTGTCTAATACATCGACTTATAATGACACTCTCCCACATTGTCTGATGTATAGAGATACAGTATTCTCCCGCATTGTCTGGTGTATAGTGATATACCTTTAATTTGGCTTCCATTTCTTTATCGTGTTTCTTTTTTGGGGTTTCAGAACCACTTTTCTGAAGACGAACTTCCTCTAGTTCCTTACGCAAAGCAGCATTTACTTTAGCAGCATCACTAGCTTCAGTCTTGTATTTCTCCAATTCTGACGACTTATTTTCTTCCTTTATTTCTTTCATTTCTCTTTCCTTCACTTCCACTTTTTCTGAAAGACTTTTCCTCTCCGCTTTCAATCCCTCAATTTCATCCAACAACCGTTTGCGCTCCTTCGTTGACTCGTTACTTGCAGTTGCAGCGGCAACTTTCAGCGTGGACAACTCTAGTCGTAAGGATTTTGCTTCGCTATCTTTCAGCTTGCACTCGTTGTTCACATTTGTTATATTTTCTTTAAGTTGAGCAAGAGAAGCGTTTACCTATGAAAGGTTCAAATCTGATATAAACGCGAAACTGAAACCCGTTTTAAACTTTTTCCATTGAACACAAAGTTTTCAAAGTTACGTTAAATCAACAAAGAACTATAATTGTGGGTTAAAAACAAACCTTCTTTATATCAGAATCTTTACTCGTAGCATCGCTTTCTAGAGCACAAATCTTGACTTCCTTCGATTTTACATCTTCTTCTGCCTTCTTTAAACTTTGTTTTAACTCTTCCAATGTCGACAATAACTATTGCAATTGAAAATCAAAGTTTTAGTTTATATATTTATTCGGATAAAAATTTTACCAAATACGTTGAGATTGTGACGACAATAATTCAACAATGTAGCCATGTCTATAAATAATTCACACCTTTTCCTTTTCTAAGTCTTTATCTGCTGACCCTTCTTTCTTCGCCAAAGCAGTTTTCAATGAAGCAATGTCACCATCCTTCGACTTGGATTCATCACATGCTTTTTCATACTTCTTTTTTAAATCATCAATCAGAGAATTCTTCTAAAATTGAGATAAGACGTGCGTTGCTTGAATACAATAACATTTCATGGAGATTTTAGTTTCTATGGGTTAGACAATCCTAGTTAATTTTTAACCTTTTCAAGCTCGGTGTTTTTGGAAACTTTAAGCTCGGCTATTTCTTTTTCCACATTAGCTTCCAGGTCACGCAGCATTGTTTCCTAAGATGAATTTTGAAATCACTAAAAATAAAGTGGAAGAATAACACATGCTTAACATAACAAACTATGATTACTTACTGTGGCACTCAACAGTGTTTTGTATTTATTAAATTGATTATCAATATCTTCTTTCTGTTTAAGAGCTTCGTTAAGCTTGCTTTCCTAACATAAACACGGACAAAGTTTCACTAACTTTCCCTTACAACGAAAATCGTGTTTCAACAAGTTTGGTGGACAAACCTTGATTTTAATTGTTTCTTTACACTGATTATACTCTACATCTGTGCGATCCTTTTCTTTCGTTAACATCTCGAGATGCTCCTCCAATTTTTTTACCTAAATTTTGAATAAAATTTTCAAATAATTTGAACATTTGAAGTCATAGTGCATGATTCATGATCATAGAGCGATTTAGTCATTATCAAAATGTGGAGGATTCAAAACTTTATTCTACCTTAGCGTCATTTGATGAGGATTCATTCACATTTAATTCGTTTTGATATATTTCTAAGAATTTCTCGTAAGGCTAAAATATACAATGCAACAACATCTTTACTTCAATATTTTTATTTATAATTGAAAAGAAAATGAAATTTCTTACTAAATCTTTATCCACTGATAAAGTGGGATGAATTTGACATAAGTAGATCTTAGAAAAAATAAAAAAATTGATGTTAAATATGATTGAATACAATATTCATCAATTTTATACGTATCTAGTGAATCGTCCTACCTTTATGTTTTCATGGAGAGATTTAACAGTCTGTTGATTTTCTTCCTATAAAAAGGGAAATTTATTTAAGTTGCATGCTGTGAATTATCAGAAAGAAAAGAAGTTGAACTCAAAAGTCATCAATGACAAGACTTTTAAGTTTTCACAAACCTTAACAGAAGAAAGTGCCTTTTTTATGTCAACATCACGCTGTTTTTCTGCAGTAGACAAAGCGTCCATTGCTTTCCAGTTTTTCTCTCGTAACTCCTAGGAAAAAATAGCAATTCAAGCAATAAATTGGCGAAGATAACAATAATAAAGAAAATGTTTGAACCCGGGAGTATCGTAACATGTTTGTAGATAAAGATCGCACAGGATGGCGAAGTCCTGAAAAAGAATGATGGTGTTGGTGATTATACTCATGTTTCGATACTCTAAGCGGTAGTCACTTGGCTATAAAGATCGCTACCGCTAGGATTTTCGAAACGTCAGTCAACATCAACACCAAAAATCCTTCTCAAGATTGTCAACATCTAAAAACATGTAACGATAACAGTCTCTAATAAATCAAAACCCTACATTATTTTTCGTTTTCATAGATTCGATCGACTTCTCCCAGGTGGCAATTTGCGTTTTCTTTTCATTGAGTTGACCAGTTAGCTTTTCAATTTGCTCCTCAAGTTCTTTAACTCTGATCAATAAATACATAAATTATTGCTGACAGAACAAAGGCATGAATTGATAAAACATTTCATACTTTGTGTCATCTTGTGGTGCTGAGTTCAATTCTTGTGATACATCATTTTTTACAACAATAATTTCTTCCTTTCTTTCGTTCAAAGTTTTTGTCAACAGTTCAATTTTCTCATCTTTACTGTTGTTGGAGCATTTAAGATCATTAATCTCTGCTTCCTGTTTAGTCAAAATTGCTCCTTGATTCACAAAGTCTTTCTTTGTGTTTTCATGATCTTTCTCACTTTGATTTAATTTCTGTTTCATTTCCTCGAGTTGTTTTAAAGTATCCTCTGATTGTTTCTGGAGAAAAATAAAAAATTGTACGTTAATACATAATAAAGAATAAGGCAAACTTGAATATTACTTCTGACTCTGAAGATGACAACTTCTAAGGTTATCAAAACGTCAGTCAACATGAACACAAACAATCCTCCGGACTCTACTAACCAGGACGATTCACATCTTTAAACATCTAACTATAATCACTGGTTCAAACCATTCGCTTTAATAAATTATACTATCAACAATGTTAAAACCAAAGCAAAACTTGGCGAACTACTAAAGGCAAAAATCGTTTTCAGCCGACAATTTAAAAAAAAAAGAAAAAACAAATTAAAAAAAACAACAAGTCATCTTGAGATAGGGAAATATCTATCAGTGCAAGACGCAAATTAAACTTAAACTTTTCGACTTCACTTTTATTCACGTCTTGTATTGATACATATTTTGCTAGCTCAAGATGACTTGTTTTTTTTTTCGGAAATTGTTTTTTGGCTTGACTACAGACAAGAATCATAAAGTAAAAGACAAGGATGGAACGGCAGCAGTTCATCATCAATGATCGATGTATAATCAAGAGGACAGTGTTGCTTTTGAGCTCACGACCTAACCCCAAAAAACGCAAAATTCCGCAAAACAGAGTTCAAGCCCACGTCTCCGACCAAAGTCATACAGTGACTTCAGCCATAGTGAATTTAGCAAAATAACTTGGTATATATGATTTTTATCAACATTCACTGACATCAAAAAAATTATTGCAAATGTATAAATAATGAAGCGTGTCATGAGAAAGACGAGAAAAGCTTTCTTTGACTAATAACATCATCTTGTCAAAAATTATCTAGTTTCAGCGTTCGTTTTCCGACAAAAATTACACATGATTTTTCCTCGACTAAATTTCATAGAAATTATTGATTACTAAAATATTTTCATTGTACATCAAAAAACACACACATCACCAACCGTTCTGAAATTTTCATAACAAAAGATCGTTTGAATGATCAAAAAGTCGATAGTGCGATTATGATATATTACAAACGTAGGTAGAAATTCAAAATTAACTGATTGAAGCCAAACTCAACGATATTCATTGCTTCATATTACAAACACAGGCACGTCTGACATCGTTTAATTAGTTTAAACTTTCTTGACAAAATGCAATTGTATTTGGACGTACGTTAAACCGTTTGTTAAAATTTATTTTACCTTAGCGTCATTTGATGAGGATTCATTCACATTTAATTCGTTTTGATATATTTCTAAGAATTTTTCGTAAGGCTAAAATAAACAATGCAACAACATCTTTACTTCAATATTTTTATTTATAATTGAAAAGAAAATGAAATTTCTTACTAAATCTTTATCCACTGATAAAGTGGGATGAATTTGACATAAGTAGATCTTAGAAAAAATAAAAAAATTGATGTTAAATATGATTGAATACAATATTCATCACTTTTATACGTATCTAGTGAATCGTCCTACCTTTATGCTTTCATGGAGAGATTTAACAGTCTGTTGATTTTCTTCCTACAAAAAGGAAAATTTATTTAGGTTGCACGCTGTGAATTATCAGAAAGAAAAGAAGTTGAACTCAAAAGTCATCAATGACAAGACTTTTAAGTTTTCACAAACCTTAACAGAAGAAAGTGCCTTTTTAATGTCAACATCACGCTGTTTTTCCGCAGTAGACAAAGCGTCCATTGCTTTCCAGTTTTTCTCTCGTAACTCCTAGGAAAAAATAGCAATTCCAGCAATAAATTGGCGAAGATACAATAACAGTGTCAAATAAATCAAAACTGTACATTATTTTTTGCTGTCATAGTTTCAATTGACTTCTCCCAGGTAGCAATTTGCGTTTTGTTTTCATTGAGTTCACCAGTTAGCTTTTCAATTTGCTCCTCAAGTTCTTTAACTCTGATCAATAAATACATAAATTATTGCTGACAGAACAAAGGCATGAATTGATAAAACATTTCATACTTTGTGTCATCTTGTGGTGCTGAGTTCAATTCTTGTGATACATCATTTTTTACAACAATAATTTCTTCCTTTCTTTCGTTCAAAGTTTTTGTCAACAGTTCAATTTTCTCATCTTTACTGTTGTTGGAGCATTTAAGATCATTAATCTCTGCTTCCTGTTTAGTCAAAATTGCTCCTTGATTCACAAAGTCTTTTTTTGTGTTTTCATGATCTTTCTCACTTTGATTTAATTTCTGTTTCATTTCCTCGAGTTGTTTTAAAGTATCCTCTGATTGTTTCTGGAGAAAAATAAAAATACGAAATATCACAACTTAAAAGGACATCTACATAAAAAAGGAAAAGTAGTCAAAATGACGGAGTTCTCACAATATGTGTCTATCTATCTTATCAGGTTTATGATTGGTGTAAAGTGCAATACAATACACTATAGAAATGAAAAATTTAATGAGTGTCAACAAGTCTTCAACACAATTGTCTGATTGATTCCTACCAGGTTAAAGAAACTTTACAACCAAAAAAGTTAAAATTATAACCATCGATGTTTTAATTAGAAATCAACATAAACCAATATCATCTTTGTTGCATTTACCTGTAATTCAACAACTTGCACCTGGTCTTTCTTTCCATGGGACTCTAACTGTTTCATAAAATCCTTAAAATAAATATATTTATTTGAAGCAAACAAATTATTAATACATTATCCATACAAATAACTAATATTATAAGATTTTCCATTGTGCAATAATAAGTATAAAAAGGACAACAAAACATTCTGCTTGAACACATATTTAGAGCTTCAGAAGTAGTATGTTAGAAAATGTAAGAACCTCTTTCTCCCGATTATGATTATCAGATGCTTCTTTCATCTTTAGCTCTATAGCATTAAACATTTTCTCAAGTTCACATTTCTTTGTCTTTTCCTCATCCAATTCAGATTTCAATGTATTTGCTTGCTGTATATAAGTTGATTTCTCAGCATGAGCAGCATCAAGGTCTTTCTTTGCCACCTCAAGCCTATGTTCACTGTCTTGTTTAGACTTTACTGCCTCCTTAAGTTCCTTCGTCAAGCTGTTTTTCACCAAGTCAAAGTTCTTGACAAGTTCATTTGCTTCTGCTGCTTGCTGTCTTAACTTTGCCTCATTTTCTTTCTAAAATAATTCAAAGATTAAAACATTACAAACAAAATGACTAAGATTTTACCTAAAGTAGAATTGCATCCATGGCCTAATAGACCCTGCATTTCTAAAACTTTGAAAACACTAAAACAGTAACTCATAAGGAATAATTTTTTGCATGTACGTAAAACCCTCAGCTCATCATAATATATTTTCAAATCACTGAGATCTCGAACATCAAACAACAAAATATCCAACTAACAGTGGTCTCAATTAAAATATTAAAAAACACCTTCGAGTTGATATCTTTTTCAAGTGCCTCTATTTGCGCTTGCATTTCTGATTTCTGGCTCTCTAAGTTTTTTAGAAGCTCTTTTGTGGAAGCAAGGTCTTCTTTATTTGAAGTTTCCTTAGATGTTTGCAATGCTGCAATGAGCTTTTCTTGTTCTAAAGCATTTCTTTCTTGTGAAGCATTCATCCTTAACTGCAATGCTTCATTTTCCTTTTCCTGATACAAAAAAATAGCTATTAGTGAGGTGAATAAGTAATAATATATATATATGAATGATGTAATATACCAAAGTCTTAATTTTTTGTAATGCAGAAGTTTCAGCAGCTTTATATTTTGTGATATTTTCAACATTTTCCTCTCTAAAATACAATTATATGAAAAAAGTCCATCATATTATCTATTGTGAATAATTCATAAGCACACTCTCCTTTACCTTAATTCCTTCACTTTTACTGCCAAGTTTTCTGCTCTTAAATATTCTAATGAAAAAACACAATAGTTGATTCATTGAAATAAAATGACTAGTCCTCAAACAGAAAATTGGTAAGCAATTTACCATCCTTCAATGCTTCTTCTTTATTATTTAATTTTTTTTGAAGTAAATCAATTGGGTTAGGTTTACCGCCACTCTGTAAATAAAAAGTGACCTATGTAATTAAAAATGGCATATGTAATTAAAAATGACATATGTAATTAAAAATGACACATGTAATTAAAAATGACATATGTAATTAAAAATGACAGCACAATACGTCCAAGTTGTTATCAAATATCTGGATTATAATTTCCTGTTCAGATATTGAAATTTATAACAATATACAACAATGTATAACAGTGCATAACAATATGTATAACAATGTATAACAACAAGGTCCAAACGATTTACAAATCGTGATTTTTTTAAAACTTGCAAAGCTCATTTAACATTTCTTGAAAATTAAAGATAAATTTGCATACAGAAAACATTTATTTTTACATTGCAGTCAATGCTGTCTACCTCTTATGTTTTGCGATCACCCCTTTTGTGTATCATAATGTCAACAGACAATTTTAATTGCACCTAGTTTGCATAATTTCAAAGCAAATATTACATTTTCTGAAAAATCAGGGAGATTCAAAAAAAGTTGCAAAGCAATTTAGCCATAATTCGGACCCTGAACAATGTATAACAATGTATAACAATATGCACAACGATGTATAACAATGCACAACAATGTTCAACAATGTGTAAAAATATGTACATCAATGTCTAAAAATGTGGAATAATGGACAAATTGAAATCAAATATTGCCTTTAGACATGTCTACATTACTAAATGACTAATTTGCCACAGGTTCACTAACATACTAAGATTTACACATTATGGAAACTTAACTTGTGTAATCATCAACTATGTTACATAGATACATTCAAACTAATGAGTATGACAAATACAAACTCACTTTTTTCCATTCATCGGCTGACTTCTGCTTATCAAAAAGTACATCAACAAGTTTTTGAATCTCGCTACGGTTCAAGGAAGCTGTATCTAACTTTTCCAAAATGTCATTCAAATTTGAGGAATCTAAAAATAAAGAACAGCTTGTACATAAATTGCATTAGCAGGCTTTATTTTGATACTTGAAGAAACATAATTAAAAGTAGAACAACCTATGGTTCTATATTCACAAACTGTGTTTGCCCTCATGTATGACTTAAAGGGATATAGGAGTACATTTGATATTATCTGATTGTGTGTAACATATATCCTCATAAAACAAAAATATCTTGATGAGGATGTTAAAAACTTGCTTACAAAATAAATTTATCAACAATTTAATGTAATATAAAAATTCAAAAATTACAAGCCAATTATTTATTGTAGTTACATAAGGCTTTAGCTTATTATAGGTTTCCATATACTTGTGATTAAAAAATGATTAGCTAGTTAATAAATATTTTAGGCTCCTTAAATAATTTTAAGTTAAACAACTTGAAATTTTGTTGAACAAAAGAACAACACATCTCTTTGTTTCATTTGTCCAGCACAATGACTAGCTGAATTTCTTCGTGTTAAAAAATGCAGTTGATTAGCAATGTTCAAGTTTTATTTCCATCACAATGACTTGGAATTAACGAAAATCGTGGGGGAAATAGACGAAATAAAAAACAAGGGACAATATCTTCCCATTTCTAGAAATGTCGCATAAAAATTCATTTTATTAAAAATTTAAATTTCGGTTAGAGAGAGCAATAAAACATTCATTGCCAAGCAATTTATAACTTACGCATTGGATTATTCATGAACAATTTAAAGGAAAAAGTACATTGTAAGAATTAAACATAATACGACACGAAAATGAGCACAATTTGATCCAAAGAAATACCTGCATTCACTTGTTTTTCTTTGCCACCTTTGGATTTTTTTGATTTCTTACTTGAAGCAACTGGGCCGCCAGGGCTACCTTCTTTCGGAGGTAATTCTTCTGGCATAGGTGGAAGACTTTCCAACACTTCTTCAACGTTTGAATTAACCATGATGTCTTCAACGACTATCTCATTCTTTTCAATGATTGCTTCTTGCTCTTTTGAAGGCAGCGTCATCTCATTGCGATGATCTGATTTGCGTTTATCACGAGATTTCTTTTTTGGTTTCTGCACTGTTTTGTCATCCTCGGAATTTTCCACGACAGTAGATTTGTCAGGACTGGCTTCAAATAAGCTTTTTGCTTCATCCTCGAATGAAATGTTAGTGATTGGTGCAACGCTCTGTAGCAATTCTTCGCCTTTTCCAACTAACAGTTCGCTTTCTTCCTCACTTTTCGGTCGCTCTTTCTTGACTTTTTTACGATGTCTTACCCCGGTTTTATTACTGGCATTCTTTCCCGAAGAAAAAATATCACCAACCGCTTTCTGGTTGGCCACGGCATCTTCGAAAGTCTGTTCTTTAAAGAAGACAAAGTAGGCAAGAAACAAGACCAGGATTAATATCGCGACTAAACCACCCACAATATAGATTGGATCCATCTTAACTTAAGCAGCAACAAAAACCAGCTTGCAAGTTTAGATGAATATTAAATATTGCTTTAAAAAAAAGTAAAACAACGATAAAAAGGAGAAAATCAGTGTCTGTTAGCTCGATAAATACAGAAACATTCGCGGACAGAGCATGTGTGTGTGGAACACGTACGTAGCAATTTATACCACGTGTACCATCATAGCCAATAAGGTTGAAGAATTTTTGAAATAGAAGAAGTCTGTCAGGAAATCAAGAAAAATAGATTATTACAATAATAGCTAGTAATTTTCGGTATATCAAACACAGGCCTATTAATTACATAATATGGTGATTCAAAACCATCCATGATATGGTGATTCAATTCCGTCAAGCAGTGGTTTTCTTTAATTTGCCATTAAATTCTTATCGCTGATGAGAGGAAATTGTCTGAAATAGCTCTTTTTTAGAAGCTTAGATGTATCCTTTTATTCTTCTAGACTAAAGAGTGCATAATTCTGGAGATTTTAAAACAGGAAAATGTCAAAGTTTAATGGTACCAAATTGTATCCATCTTTGCACAAACACTTCCGGTTAAAATGTGAATTTAAATACCCTGTTCCTTTCCAGTCTTTTCCTTTTCACTCGTTAACTCAGCAATGGCGACAGGAGTAAGTTGTCTCATTCGACCTTATTGTAATCTTTTTCAATCTGCGATGAACTTTTCATTAAAGACACAAATCGTTAACAAATGTACATTTACATTGTGCAAAATGACACATTTAAATTTCTCTTGTTTATTTATATCGCCAGACATTGTACACATACAAGGACAACTTCAGAGCGTACAAAATATTAATTGCCTCGCAGTACAGTGGTACGAAAATCACTGTGTCGCCCAATTTTAAACTTGGCGAGACAAACAAGTCCAAAGACTTTCTTGAAAAGTTTCCACTTGGGAAGGTGTGATCTTAACTGCGATATTATGATGTAATATTTGGTTGTTTCTTGAAAGAGAGCTTTTGTAAATTGTATGTAGGTACCAGCTTTTGAAACATCTGATGGTACTTGTATTTTCGAAAGCAACGCCATTGCTAAATATGGTAAATAAAATATATTTTCTATCACCAACTCAAAAAATATATTCATCTAAAGTACTTTTGCTTTTAATCAGTATCCAATGGTCAGTTGAAGGGAAACAATGAGAAGGATTGTGCTTTGATCCAACAGTTTGTGAGTTTTGCTGATAACGAAATCCTCCCTAGTGCAGCAACATGGGTTTTTCCAACATATGGAATAATGCAGTACAACAAACAGGTGTGTTTTGTTGTGAGCAGCTCATTAGCATGCTAATTAATTGACAATTTTGGATTATTTAATCTAGGCAACTGAAAAAGCAATTGAAGAGATCAAGAAATGTTTAGGTTACCTAAATGGCCACCTGTTGACAAGAACATTCCTTGTTGGAGAGCGGATCACTTTAGCAGATATAACTGTTGCTTGCAATTTGCTCATGTTATATAAACAGGTAAAACTGGGTTTTTCTAGTTTACCATACCATTTGAAAAGTTTATCAGGATATCGCCACCATTTCAGGTATTAGAACCTGAATTTCGATCACCTTACGGTAATGTAAACAGATGGTTTACCACCTTGATCAATCAACCAGAATTCAGGAATATTATTGGAAGTATTGCTTTGTGCAAGAAAATGGCAAAGTTTGATGGTATATTTAATGAATTTGATTTATGTATAATATATGTATTTGCTTCTTCATATAACTATATTAGACAAATAAATTAGCCACAATGATTATATTAACTGAGTAGTGGCCTGATCTATGCACAATATTTGTGAAATGATGACTATTGCTCCTTATGAGTGGCTATGCCTGAGGAAAGATTTGTGCTTTTGACATGACAAAATTACAAATTTACAATAATTAAAGTATAATGGATAAATGTCTTTGGAATAGCTGCAAAATATGCTGAGTTGAATCCAAAGAAGCAAAAAGAAAGCAAGTCTAAAGAGAACAAACCAGTAAAACAAAAGAAAGAAACACCGAAGAAAGAGAAAAAGGTGGAGGAAGAAGAAGATGACCATCTTGTTCCTAAGGAACCAAAGAAGAATCCTTTTGCTGATCTTCCTCAAACGTAACCTCATAGAATTATTGATTGTTTTCATAATACAAATGCTTTATATGTAAGACATATGGGCTTGTTTTAGGAACTTTGACTTTGATGCTTTTAAGCGAGAGTATTCAAACAAGGACATTGCAACGGTGGCAATTCCATACTTTTGGCAGCACTTTGATAAAGAAAATTGTTCTATTTGGTTCTGTGAGTATAAATATCCAGAAGAACTGAAAAGAATATTCATGGCATGTAACCTTGTAAGTGGAATGTTGCAAAGAATAGATGGCTTACGCAAGATTGGCTTTGCATCTATGATCATATTTGGTGAAGACTACAATATTTCCATATCAGGAGTATGGTTGTTTAAAGGTCAAAAACTTGGATTTGACGTGAGTATTTGTATTTTTTGCAATTGATCACCCTTTCTTCTGACCTTTACACTTGGTTATCAATTTCTTTAGTTATCAGAGGATTTCCAAGTTGACTCACCATCATATGAATTTAGAAAGTTGAATCCAGATAATGAGGATGATCGTAAACTATTTAATGATTATTTACTTGGGGAAGGGGAGTTTGGTGGTAAGGTAGTTAACCAAGACAAGGTCTTTAAATGAAGCAAAGTAATAAGAATTGTAGTGAGGAGTTGATACTATAGGCATCAAGCATAAATAAAATTTATTATAAAATCCTTTCTATATTTTTATTTTTTTTATATTCAAATCCTGTAGTTGTGAAAGTATGCTAGACCTTTCTGTGATCAAACTTGCCTTCTTTTGTTTCAAAACAGAGATAACTCCTATCAGAAATAAAAAAAAACCAGTAATATGGCAATAATTTTTGATTGAGACTTAAGATCAGATACTACAATTCCTAAATGTAGTAACCTTGCAACTCCTCCATATTTTCGGCAGAACTCCACAGTTCAATTGCTTGTTGAACAGGTTGCCAACTCTTGTTTATTCCACCTATTTTTGCCTTCTGGCATTTGAACTCTTCTTGAGACTTACAATAAAATAGCAAAATTGTACTCAATATTCAACATATTATGGTGTGACATTTGAAGGATTTTGGTAATTGTAGTGTTTTTATCAGCAAGTTTTCAAAATGTAGTTTATCTGTTATATGCAAAAGCACTGGTATCAACTCTCAAGTCAACTAACCTGATATAACATGTTTATGTCAAATAACAGTTTCTTTATATTCTGTTGCCTTTCAACAATACCTCTACTGATCTGTGATTTTTCAATTAATAAATCATCGTACTTCTTTATAAGTTCATCCGACCTGGATATACAATTTATTTAGGTAAAGCTATTGTTTCAAAGTTTACAAAAAAATTAGTAAAGTAAATGGTTAAAAAAACATGTAAAAAAATTAATATCAAATAAACAGGAATCGAGAAGAATTTAAAGCAAAATCATTAAGTCATTATTTGCGTCAAGTTTAATGGATAAAGACGTAAATTTTACTCACATCATTTTCATCCACCGTTTTCTAAAGGAATGGTAGCATAAATGAACATAATGCGAGAGAAATTACTCAAATTAGAAAGATAAAAGTGGAAACATATAATAAGTCATGTAATCAATCCAAGATGAATGGATCAACCAACCCGATCAATCCATGGATCAATCTAAATTTAATTAGCTTTTTCAAAATGGCGGGGGCCAAAGAATGGAAGACACAGGACGATGATTCAATATTGGATGAATTCTGTAATATTTGTGCTACAGTAACAATAGGACTTGAGAGCCTTTGTGCCATTGAATGTGAACAAAAACTGGCGTGTAGCGTAACACCAGGTAGAGGTAGAATATATTTTACAATACCGCGAAAAAGATTGAGAGAAATTCAGCATCTGCGATCAGTCGAAAATCTTTTCGTAGTTGTAGAAGATATCGCAGATTTCAAATTATCCGTCCAAGAGAACGTGGAAATGATATTACAGCGACTATATCACCTCCCTGAACAACTAAACTTGAAGCCTGCTTTCGATATATGGAAGGAATACAAAGATCTCTGCACTGGGGGGAAAACAAAAGCACTTCAACATATTGAAATAAGTGCAAGTGAATCAAGTACAGGGGAAAATATAACGAATGAAGTAACCCTTCCACGATTTAGAGTCACTTGTACCCGAAACCATTCTAACTCAGATCTCAAGCATGCATTCACATCTATGCAAGCAGCAGCAAAATTTGGTGGTGGAATAAATGACACATATGGATGGACTGTGGATTTAGAGGACTACGACATTGACATTTTACTCAATATTGTCGACAATCATGTGGTAGTAGGTATATCCCTTACTGAAAAGAGTTTATTTAGAAGAAACATTGTGAATTTTGGGCCAACAACTCTAAAGTCAACGCTTGCTTACTGCATGGCATTAGCAGCAGAGATATGTGAAGGTAAAAGCTGTTGTAATTTATGCAAAAGTGTGTCTTCAATCAGTTAGGCCAAGTTTGAAGAGTATGACATGCTTCTGTTTTTAGGTGATGTGATCTGTGATCCATTATGTGGTGGTGGATCTATCCCAATTGAATGTGCCAAAGAATGGCCATGTTCTTTCAATATAGCTGGTGATAATTTTCATATGGCTCCAAAAAGAACCCAAGACAATGTAGATTTTGTGAACAAACAATGCTACAGTATGACAACGTATGAGAAACAAAATTCATAAATAAATTCATTTTCTCTAACATTGTTAACCACTAATCCCAAACTTAACCATAATCCCAGCCCATGAATCTATTTGCATGTTTTGATATGTAATCCTGGTCATAAATAGCTTCAGTGGTAAACTAAGATTGATGACTACTTACCATGCAACTAAATCAAGTAGCAAATGAGAGACATGAAAATGCAATAAGATGCCTTTTCCATTTCCATGATTACTTAAATAGCATTCTTAATCCTTTGGTACATTCTTGAATCTTTCAAAAGAAAATATAGACATCAAGAGAATTTTATGCTTATTATAGAAAACAGATTAAAGTGGACAATCTTCAATGGGATGCAACATGTCTACCACTAAAAACAGATGCAATTGATGTGTTCATTTCTGATCTACCATTTGGCAAGAAGAATGGCTCAATGAAAAAAAACTGGCAACTTTATCCTGACTTGTTGAAGGAAATGGCACGTGTGTGTCGTACAAAAACAGGACGAGCTGTTTTACTCACAAAAGACAAAAAAGCTATGGCTAGAGCATATGGCCAAAGTGTTAAATATTGGCGAAAGAAGTACACATATTGGATCAATATAGGTGGACTACAGGCTGCAATATATTTACTACAGAGAACATCAATTCCTATTCACTAACTTTTATGGTATAGTTAAATACAACCATGATATTTACACTGAAGACTATACTCTATTATTATATCCAATACTTGTTTTACATGTTCCTTTTTCACAATCTGAATGTGGCACATTCTTTATTTTTAATCAAAATCACAATCATCAAAACTATCTCCAAATCCACCAACTGCATGACCCAAACCAAATCCAAGAAGACCACCTGCAACAGCTCCACCAGCAGCACCAGCCAGTAGCCCCCTTCTTGATGATAAACCCCCGCGACTTTGGCCACCTCCCTGTCCAAATTAAATAAAAATTACTAAGTATATATAGCTTTAAGATAAATTTTAAGAAATATTATCCTTTAAAAACTATTCGAACCTGATATGCTTGTTGTTGCATTGGATAACCATATCCACCAACCTGTTGTGGGTAGCTTTGATAAGCTGGATACTGACCATAATACATTGGTGGTGGTTGAGGTGCCATTGGCTGACTATATGGGTTTGGTTGGCTGGGATATACAACATGATATGGTTGTGGCATGCCACCAGGATGAGCACCAAATGGTGGTGCTATGGGTGGAGAATATGTAGGAGCTGAATATGGTGGCACACCATAGGATTGGCTGCTTGGGTATGTGTTCATTGTTGTAACATATGTTATCGTCATTTGGCACATTTTGTTTAATTTTTGCACCCAATCTCTAAAAAATTATCATAATTTCTATAAATTATATATAAAACTAATCATTTGGTGTCAACAAGATAAATTACTTATTCACCTGGCATCTTGTTCGTTTTCTGCACGAAGACAGAAATTTTTTACTGATGAACGAATGTAAAACATACATTGGACTCTACCAGGAGACTTTTGCTGCAAGTCATACTCAACTTCGTTTCCATAATCTATTCTTTGACAGTTCTTTATGATGTTTAATGTACCATTACAGTGTTCGCTGCCTGGTTTATCGTAATACACAAGGTGTCCATCTTGATACAAAACAAAATATCGTTTCTTCCATTCACGTTTTAACACACCACCTACGAAATGACATTTCATTTTTCAAAAGAATCAAAACTTTAAACATTCAATTTTAAAGAGCTCGAAGACTCAAGTCAATAAAAGCGTACAGTCATACTCACTTAATTTCTCAAGAAATCCAGCTTTTACTGTAGCCATGAATTCAAGAATTTAGATACCTATTTAGATTTTATCATAAGTTAAATGCGTCATTCTCATATCAACAGGAATTGTCGCAATTAAAATTGTAAACAAAAAAATTCCGCTGAAGCTGCTTTCGTGCACTGATCTCTACTCATATTCTAATAACGGAGTAATATCAATTGCAGTGGTAGTGAGTGAATCATAACTTTTTATGACAAATAAAAATAACTAAGTGAAATATAAACTTTAAAATCTCTAAAAGATCATGAAAAACTAGTAATAGTAAGAATATTTTTTCAAATAAAAATATCAAAATTAAAAATCACCAACAGGACGAGTAATTACTACTTCTATCGCTGAACAATCGAGCAAATGTATGTTCTCACACTCCGAATGGTTTACGGACCTTGGACTTTTTTTCACCTCCTTACAACAGCTCCAAACTTGAGGAAGGCATAAGCTCCAGGATGACCCATTACCACACACACTTTTTGTTCTGCGCGTATTTGGATTTTTTGTAGATATGGATTTGCCTCTAAGGACCTACATCACATCAGCAAACGATGCCTTGTAAAGACATGTTGTTTTGAGAAAACGTAAACAACCTTCTAAAGTGTAATAAAGTTAACAACACATTCCTGTGTATTATACCTTCAGTTTATTGCCATCTTAAAACTTTCTTTGAAGCATAATTCAATACAAACATACTGTTTACTGGACTATGAATGCTGAGATAAAAGTAATGATTAATACTATATTCTTCAGTCTTATTCTTCAATATCAGTTGAAATCACAACAATCATTAACATCCACCTCCACCTCCATCACCACCCCCACCTCCATCACCACCTCCAAATCCACCAAATGCTCGACCCAATCCAAATCCAAAAAGACCACCTGTAGCACCAGCTAGTAGCCCCCTTCTTGATGATAAGCCCCCACGCCTTTGGTTGCCTCTCTGTCGAAATTAAAAAAAGTAATCTAATGGAAGCTTTAATACAAATTTTAAGAAATACCACTGTTTAAAAACTATTCTAACCTGATATGCTTGTTGTTGCACCAGATAACCATGTTGAGGGTAAATTTGATAAGCTGGATACTGACCATAATACATTGGTGGTGGTTGAGGTCCCATTGGCTGACTATATGAATTTGTTTGGCTGGGATATACAACATAATATGGTTGAGGCATGCCACCAGGATGAGCACCAAATGGTGTTGCTATGGGTGGGGAATATGTAGGAGCTGAATATGGTGGCACACCATAGGATTGGCTGCTTGGGTATGTGTTCATTGTTGTAACATATGTTACCGTCATTTGGCACATTTTATTTAATTTTTGCACCCAATCTCTAAAAAATGATCATAATTTCTATAAATTATATATAAAACTAATCATTTGGTGTCAACAAGAAAATTTACTTATTCACCTGGCATCTTGTTCGTTTTCTGCACGAAGACAGAAATTTTTTACTGATGAACGAATGTAAAACATACATTGGACTCTACCAGGAGACTTTTGCTGCAAGTCATACTCAACTTCGTTTCCATAATCTATTCTTTGACAGTTCTTTATGATGTTTATTGTACCATTACAGTGTTCGCTGCCTGGTTTATCGTAATACACAAGGTGTCCATCTTGATACAAAACAAAATATCGTTTCTTCCATTCACGTTTTAACACACCACCTACGAAATGACATTTCATTTTTCAAAAGAATCAAAACTTTAAACATTCAATTTTAAAGAGCTCGAAGGCTCAAGTCAATAAAATCATAAAGTCATGCTCACTTAATTTCTCAAGAAATCCAGCTTTTACTGTAGCCATGAATTCAAGAGTTTATCAAGATCTTGTCATAAGTCAAATGCGTCATATTTTCATGTCGACAGGAATTGCCATAGAATCGTCGCAATTAAAAATTGTAAAGACGTTGTCGTGATGACAAATTTAAAAATTGTTTTAAAACAAGCAAATACCATGGTGAATAATGGTCAAAATAACAACGTAATAGTTCTTAAAAGAACTGTTTAACTTTTTCCTAACATTAGCAGAACTATTACGTTATCATTTTGACCATTCATCACGGTATTTGGTCTTCTAAAACAATTTTTAAAATTGTAAATAAAAAATTCCGCTGAAGCGTCTTCCGTCCGTGCACTTATCTCCCCACACATGATATGGAGTGAGTGAAATCACAACTTTTAATGATACACAACTAAGTAAAATATGAATTTTACGATTCCCCAAAAAAGACTCTGTTACATTAATATGACATAAGAAATTAAGAATACTTTCTCAAATAAAAATGTCAAGACTCAAAAATAAAAATCACTCACAGGGAATACTTCTGCTGAACTATCGACTGAACACATGCCCTGAAACTTCGAAAGGTTTACAGTTCTTGGACTTTTTTTTCGCCAGCTTATAACAGCTCCAGCCTTGGCGGAGAGTTTAATTTTCCTGATGGCCCAAAGCAGCATTACCACACGCTAGTTGTTTTGTACGCATATTGATTTCTAGTCTGCATCTCTGCTTATGTTCGCCACTTCTTTACGTCAAACGTTAAAATGAACAATAAACTTTTATGCGAGCATAAACTTTTATTCAATCCTGGTAAAACCAAGTTTATGATAATTGTACGAGACAATTACAACAAAGTGTAAAAATTAAACCAATTATCCTTTTTTGTCGAAGGAAATCTGTGCGCATCGATCTTCTGCTCGTAATCTTGGCAAAGTCCTGACTTAGTACTATCTTACGATAAACATGCACATAGAACGTGTCACAAAGTTGTTAGCATATGTATGTCAAAACTATGCCAAATTTACATATTAAAGGTTGTTTTGATGAAGATACTTTAAAATTGATCATATAGAAGCACTGTCATAGATAAAAAAAATTACAAATAGTCCAACACTTTGCAGCAAGAATAACCAGCGCACATAAACATGACCACATAACTCCTCATTAAAAAATCTTTGATGGCTTCCTGGGAAAGAACATTAACAATAAAGGGACTTATTAAATATTAATTCCTTAATGAAATGGCTCCAACAACCAACATATATCATCAGTAAGAAAGTTTCCACCCGTTTGTGAATAACGTCAATTCCACCAGTTTGTAAATTCTGGCCAGAGAAGATTTAAATTTTGAGGAACAAAATTATACAATGAACTTGATGATAAATTTAAATACATAAGTAGTTTTGCCCTTTTCAAGAAACAACTAAAGCAGAACATGCTTTTGAATAGTTTATAAGTTCGTATATAATGTATTTAAATATCTTATTTTATCCATGTAAATATAGTATAGTTATAGCTTCAAAATTCCATTTTTACTTACAAACTTTAAATAGATCTGATACTCTCATTTTAGGGAAATCTCAACAGATTAATAATAACAAAAATAATACAGTTAACAAAACATAAATCACTAAATAAACCAGGATTTGCCTCCATGGAGTATTGTATATCAGCAAACAATACGGTGTAGAGTCAATTAGTAATGAAACCCAAGTATTATAACCTTCAGTTTATGTCCATCTTAAAACATTCTATTATGGAAGGCATAATTCAATACAAACATGCTATTTACTAACTATTATAGCTAAGCTAAAATTAATGATTAATAGCATTCAATTTCAATCAAAATCACAACAATCGTTAAAATCCACCTCCACTTCAATCTCCACAATCACCCCCATCACAATCACCCCCATCACAATCACCCCCATCACAATCACCCCCATCTCCATCAAAGAATCCACCAAAGAAACCACCAAAGAAACCACCCGTATGACCTGTGTCAAGCCCGCTTCTTGACCATGAACCCCTACGACTTGAATGTGTAATTGGCATTTGGGGTATTTCATTAAGTTTCTGCACCCAGTCTCTAAAAAATTATCATAATTTCTGTAAATTATATATTATAACTAATCACTTGGTGTCAACAAGAAAATTTACTTCTTCACCTGGCATCTTGTTCGTTTTCGGCACGAAGACAGAACTTTTTTACTGATGAACGAATGTAAAACATACATTGGACTCTACCAGGAGACTTATGCTGTAGATTTTTCTTCATCTCATTTCCATAATCTATTCTTTGACGATTTTTTACGTTGAAAGCAACATCACAATATTCACTGTCCGGTTTGTCGCAATACAAAAGGAGTCCATCTTGACACAAAATAAAATATCGTTTCTTCCATTCACGTTTTAACACACCACCTATAAAATGACGTTTTAAAAAACTCGAATACTCGGTCAATGAAATAATACAGTCCTACTCACTTAGTTCCTCAAGAAATCCAGCTTTAACGACTTCCATGTTTCAAGAACTCATATTTCGTAAAATTCAATTTTGTCCAGTTTAGCGACACCTGTATGTTGAACCATAGAGGCTTGACACCGGATACCAGAGGCCAATTTCCGGTGACCATGAAGACTATGGGTATAAGGGCATACACTGTATAACAGTGAATAGTGGGAACATGGAAAATGCCAATTAAAAACAACACTTTTTCAGCAAAACGCCGTTTCAATCTTTAACGAACGAAAACGAAAAATCGTAGAAGTCACAAAGTGAATATGGTTTATGGTTATGGTTATGGTTATGGTTGTGGTTATGGTTATGGTTATGGTTTATGGTTAAGGTTATGGTTATGGTTATGGTTATGGTTGTGGTTATGGTTATAGTTATGGTTATGGTTATGGTTATGGTTATGGTTGTGGTTATGGTTATGGTTATGGTTATGGTTATGGTTATGGTTATGGTTATGGTTATGGTTATGGTTATGGTTATGGTTATGGTTATGGTTATGGTTATGGTTATGGTTATGGTCATGGTCATGGTTATGGTTATGGTTATGGTTATGGTTATGGTTATGGTTATGGTTATGGTTATGGTTATGGTTATGGTTATGGTTATGGTTATGGTTATGGTTATGGTTATGGTTATGGTTATGGTTTGGGCTATGGTTATGGTTATGGTTATGGTTATGGTTATGGTTATGGTTATGGTTATGGTCATGGTTATGGTTTGGGCTATGGTTATGGTTATGGTTATGGTTATGGTTATGGTTATGGTTATGGTTATGGTTATGGTTATGGTCATGGTTATGGTTTGGGCTATGGTTATGGTTATGGTTATGGTTATGGTTATGGTTATGGTTATGGTTATGGTTATGGTTATGGTTATGGTTATGGTCATGGTTATGGTTATGGTTATGGTTATGGTTATGGGGTAATGGTTAAGGTTATGGTTATAGTTAGGTTTGTGTTTAGGATTAGGGTCAGGGCCGTCAGGCTTTTAAAAGTTGAATTTAAATCCAAGCTACTAAGTTATTGTTGAACTACTGACATAAGGTCAGCGTTGTCTGCTACATTGCAGTGGACCCCTTGAAACTATTATCTGGTTAAAACATCATGTTATTCTTGGTACAGAAAGGCTCTGAGGTATCTTCTGTGTGTTGTTAAATTAGTTTATAGAGGTAAACGCTCTTCATTTGCTCTTTTATTAGAGATATTGATCTTTAAGTTGAATGTAAAATGCCGGGAATTTTTGTCACGAGGTTAATGCTTTTTTTTTCTTGGTTGGTGTATTAACTTTCAAACATAGGTCGTTTTCTGTAGTCAGTGTTGTAACTTGTAAGTAATGCATTTTGCTGATGACCATTTCCCAGTCATTGTTTTGTCTTGTTTGCCGGCGGGAGCGTGTGGAGAGAAGGCATGGGGAGGGGCGGTGATGTTCTGTTTAGTGTGGTTAGTTTTGTTCATTGGTTTTTCTTGTTTCGTTGTTGTTCGTTTGTGTTCAGTAATGAAAAATGAAATTCATCGCACAATTCAATTGGAGTTGCAGGCTTACAGTCGAATACTATTGAACACTAACCAAGAAACACTCAGAGTTGATGAAGAGTTGTGGATCCTGTGGGTAATACTCGCAGTGTATCATCGTTTACAAATGTATTGATCTCTACGGTCCATACAATGATGCATGGCCGATAATATCAGAGCATGAATCAAAATTTTTTATGACAATTTAAAACAACTAAGCAATTTATAAACTTTACGATCTTCAAAAAAGACGCTGAAAAACTAATATGAAATAAGAATATTTTTTTAAAATTATTATTCTCTTTATTTCCTTTGCAAATCTTAATTCATTCCTTGGTGGAAATCTTAATTCAATACAAACATACTGTTTACTGAACTATGAATGCTAAACTAAAATTAATGATTAATTTTATATTCAAAGTATACATTTCACAAATACATCAGTCTTATTCTTCAATTTTAATCAAAATCACAATCATTAACATCCACCTCCATCCCCACATCCACCTCCATATCCACATCCACCTCCATCTCCATATCCACCAGAAAATCCACCAAAGAAACCTCCCGTATGACCTGTAACACGCCCGCTTCTTGACGATGAACCCCTATGACTTGAATGTGTAAATGGAATTTGCGGTATTTCATTAAGTTTCTGCACCCATTCTCTAAAAAATGATCATAATTTCTGTAAATTATATATTATAACTAATCACTTGGTGTCAACAAGAAAATTTACTTATTCACCTGGCTTCTTCTTCGTTTTCGGCACGAAGGCAGAAATTCTTTACTAATGAACGAATGTAAAACATACATTGGACTCTACCAGGAGACTTATGCTGTAGATTTTTCTTTATCTCATTTCCATAATCTATTCTTTCACGGCTTTGTACGTTGCAAGCAACATCACAATATTCACTGTCTGGTTTGTCGCAATACAAAAGGAGTCCATCTTGACACAAAATAAAATATCGTTTCTTCCATTCACGTACTAACCCACCACCTACGAAATGACATTTCAAAAGAATCAAAACTTTAAACATTCAATTTTAAAGAGCTCGAATACTCAAGTCAAAAAAATCATACAGTCCTACTCACTTAATTTCTCAAGAAATCCAGCTTTAACGACATTCATGTTTCAAGAGCTTAAATGTTTATGAAGATCTACTGCTTGTCTAGTCTCAACTCTCGATTTATATGCGTCATATTCTCAACTACTTTGTTAAAATATCAACAGGAACAATCACATTAAAACTTCTTAAAGAAAATTGCGCTGAAGCTGTTTAAACTGTTTCCCGTGCTCTGAACAATAGAAGCCCATTTCGTATCACTAAATATAACATTCTTTGATGATTTTTACATCATCCCGACTTTTCGACATTTTCTCAACAAGCTCTTCGATGTTTTGGCAAAATAATGCGTTATGAACGTAATGGATTAAATTGTAAATTTTTTAAAAGTTAGTTTTTCTTCACTAAGCCTTCGTCTATTGCCTAGTATCTTATGACGTCAAGGCATTAGAGCATAGCGACGATCTCAGCCGTCCTAATCCAGATAATCAAAGGTAAATGAAAATGTATTGAGAGAATCGTCAGGGAAGGCGCTAGAACATTAATTGGAGGGAGGGGAGTGTTTATTCATATATTCAGTTGTGTCTCACTGACTTCTTTAGAAAACCAAATCACTTTCAAAAGAAATCGCTCGCCCACAACTGAATATACATTCCCCACAAATAGCGTTTCAGCGCCGTCCCTGAGTATCGTTACATATTTTTAGATGTAGATAAACCAGGTTATTGGTTAAATTAATAACTAATTTACCTACTTAGAATTCCCATATCAAAATTCATTAGTGGTAGTATGACTTCGCATGATGTCTTTAATTGTAGCATTAGTATATCAACAAACAATCCCGAATTTTGAGCTTGATATAATAAAAATCACCACAAAGTATTACAAAAACACAACCTTGCCTTCGCTACAGAACGCCTGAAAACACTCTGATATTGCTGACTAAAACATTTCGGCAATCATAGTATTACAAGTATAATATCACTATGGTAGCGAGGTCAATTAGTGGTAAGTGAAAAGTTCCTGGACTTCCTTGGGACTTCTTTGTAAACCTCCTTCGGCTATAGAGAAAATTTGATAACTAATTAACTTCACTACCATGCTATTATTTATAACGTAAGTCCTTTTCTGTAGTCAGTGTTGTAAAGTAACGCATTTTGCCGAGACCCAGTCAATATTACGTCTTTTTTGCCGATGATGTTTCTTTATTAATTTGGTGAGTTTGGTTTTGTTTCTTTGTTGTTCGTTTGTGTCCAGTAATGAAAAATGAAATTCATCGCACAATTCAGTTGGAGTTGCAGGCTTACAGTCGAATACTATTGAACACTAACCAAGAAACACTCAGAGTTGATGAAGAGTTGTGGATCCTGTGGGTAATACTTCCAGTGTATCATCGTTTACAAATGTACTGATTTCTACGGTCCATACAATGGTGCATGGCTGATAATATCAGAGCATGAATCAAAACTTTTTATGACAATTTAAAACAACTAAGCAATTTATACACTTTACGATCTTTAAAAAAGACGCTGAAAAAACTAATATGAAATAAGAATATTTTTTTAAAATTATTGTTCTCTTTATTTTCTTTGAAAATCTTAATTCATTCCTTGGCGGAAATTTTAATTCAATACAAACATATTGTTTTCTGAACTATGAATGCTAAACTAAAATTAATGATTAATTTTATATTCAAAGTATACATTTCACAAATACATCAGTCTTATTCTTCAATTTCAATCAAAATCACAACAATCATTAACATCCACCTCCATCCCCACCTCCACATCCACCTCCATCCCCACATCCACCTCCACCTCCATATCCACCAGAGAATCCACCAAATAATCCACCAAAGAAACCACCCGCATGACCTGTATGAAACCCACTTCTTGACGATGAACCCCTACGCTTCGAAAATGTAATTGGCATTTGGGGTATTTTATTAAGTTCCTGCACCCATTCTCTAAAAAATGATCATAATTTCTGTAAATTATATATTATAACTGATCACTTGGTGTCAACAAGAAAATTTACTTATTCACCTGGCTTCTTCTTCGTTTTCGGCACGAAGGCAGAAATTCTTTACTGATGAACGAATGTAAAACATACATTGGACTCTATCAGGAGACTTATGCTGTAGATTTTTCTTTATCTCATTTCCATAATCTATTCTTTTACGGCTTTTACGTTGAAAGCAACCTTACAATGTTCACTGCCTGGTTTATCGTAATACACAAGGTGTCCATCTTGATACAAAACAAAATATCGTTTCTTCCATTCACGTTTTAACCCACCACCTATGAAATGACATTTCACTTTTCAAAAGAATCAAAGCTTTAAACATTCAATTTCAAAGAACTTAGAACTCGAATTAGTCGAATACTTAAGTCAAAAAAATCATACAGTCATACTCACTTAATTTCTCAAGAAATCCAGCTTTAACGACGTTCATGTTTCAAGAACCTAAATGTTTATGAAGATCTACTGCTTGTCTAGTCTCAACTCTCAATTTATATGCGTCATATTCTCAACTACTTTGTTAAAATATCAACAGGAACAATCACATTAAAACTTCTTAAAGAAAATTGCGCTGAAGCTGTTTAAACTGTTTCCCGTGCTCTGAACAATAGAAGCCCATTTCGTATCACTAAATATAACATTCTTTGATGATTTTTACATCCCGACTTTTCGACATTTTCTCAACAAGCTCTTCGATGTTTTGGCAAAATAATGCGTTATGAACGTAATGGATTAAATTGTAAATTTTTTAAAAGTTAGTTTTTCTTCACTAAGCCTTCGTCTATTGCCTAGTATCTTATGACGTCAAGGCATTAGAGCATAGCGACGATCTCAGCCGTCCTAATCCAGATAATCAAAGGTAAATGAAAATATTTTGAGAGAATCGTCAGGGAAGGCGCTAGAACATTCATTGGAGGGAGGGGAGTGTTTATTCATATATTCAGTTGTGTCCTACTGACTTCTTTAGAAAACCAAATCACTTTCAAAAGAAATCGCTCGCCCACAACTGAATATACATTCCCCCCCACAAATAGCGTTTCAGCGCCGTCCCTGAGTATCGTTACATATTTTTAGATGTAGATCAACCAGGTTATTGGTTAAATTAATAACTAATTTACCTAGTTAGAAATCCCCTATTAAAATTCATTAGTGGTAGTATGACTTTGCATGACGTCTTTAAACGTAGCATTAGTATATCAACAAACAATCCCGAATTTTGAGCTTCATATAATAAAAATCACCACAAAGTATTACAAAAACACAACCTTGCCTTCGCTAAAGAACGCCTGAAAACACTCTGATATTGCTGACTAAAACATTTCGGCAATCATAGTATTACAAGTATAATATCACTATGGTAGCGAGGTCAATTAGTGGTAAGTGAAAAGTTCCTGGACTTCCTTGGGACTTCTTTGTAAACCTCCTTCGGCTATAGAGAAAATTTGATAACTAATTAACTTCACTACCATGCTATTATTTATAACGTAAGTCCTTTTCTGTAGTCAGTGTTGTAAAGTAACGCATTTTGCCGAGACCCAGTCAATATTACGTCTTTTTTGCCGATGATGTTTCTTTATTAATTTGGTGAGTTTGGTTTTGTTTCTTTGTTGTTCGTTTGTGTCCAGTAATGAAAAATGAAATTCATCGCACAATTCAGTTGGAGTTGCAGGCTTACAGTCGAATACTATTGAACACTAACCAAGAAACACTCAGAGTTGTTGAAGAGTTGTGGATCCTTTGGGTAATACTTGCAGTGTATCATCGTTTACAAATGTACTGATTTCTACGGTCCATACAATGATGCATGGCTGATAATATCAGAGCATGAATCAAAACTTTTTATGACAATTTAAAACAACTAAGCAATTTATACACTTTACGATCTTTAAAAAAGACGCTGAAAAAACTAATATGAAATAAGAATATTTTTTTAAAATTATTGTTCTCTTTATTTTCTTTGAAAATCTTAATTCATTCCTTGGCGGAAATTTTAATTCAATACAAACATATTGTTTTCTGAACTATGAATGCTAAACTAAAATTAATGATTAATTTTATATTCAAAGTATACATTTCACAAATACATCAGTCTTATTCTTCAATTTCAATCAAAATCACAACAATCATTAACATCCACCTCCATCCCCACCTCCACATCCACCTCCATCCCCACATCCACCTCCACCTCCATATCCACCAGAGAATCCACCAAATAATCCACCAAAGAAACCACCCGCATGACCTGTATGAAACCCACTTCTTGACGATGAACCCCTACGCTTCGAAAATGTAATTGGCATTTGGGGTATTTTATTAAGTTCCTGCACCCATTCTCTAAAAAATGATCATAATTTCTGTAAATTATATATTTTAACTGATCACTTGGTGTCAACAAGAAAATTTACTTATTCACCTGGCTTCTTCTTCGTTTTCGGCACGAAGGCAGAAATTCTTTACTGATGAACGAATGTAAAACATACATTGGACTCTATCAGGAGACTTATGCTGTAGATTTTTCTTTATCTCATTTCCATAATCTATTCTTTTACGGCTTTTTACGTTGAAAGCAACCTTACAATGTTCACTGCCTGGTTTATCGTAATACACAAGGTGTCCATCTTGATACAAAACAAAATATCGTTTCTTCCATTCACGTTTTAACCCACCACCTACGAAATGACATTTCACTTTTCAAAAGAATCAAAGCTTTAAACATTCAATTTCAAAGAACTTAGAACTCGAATTAGTCGAATACTTAAGTCAAAAAATCATACAGTCATACTCACTTAATTTCTCAAGAAATCCAGCTTTAACGACGTTCATGTTTCAAGAACCTAAATGTTTATGAAGATCTACTGCTTGTCTAGTCTCAACTCTCAATTTATATGCGTCATATTCTCAACTCAATGCGAACAATCACAATGCGAACAATCACATTAAAATTTCAATGCGAACAAACTCAATGCGAACAATCACATTAAAATTTCTTAAAGAAAATTGCGCTGAAGCTGTTTAAACTGTTTCCCGTGCTCTGAACAATAGGAGCCCATTTCGTATCACTAAATATAATATTCTTTGATGATTTTTACATCATCCCGACTTTTCGACGTTTTCTCAACAAGCTCTTTGATGTTTTGGCAAAATAATGGGTTATGAACGTAATGGATTAAATTGTAAATTATTTAAAAGTTAGTTTTTCTTCACTAAGCATTCGTCTATTGCCTAGTATCTTATGACGTCTAGGCATTAGAGCATAGCGACGATCTCAGCCTTCTAATCCAGATAATCAAAGGTAAAGGAAAATATATTTAGAGAATCGTCAGGGAAGGCGCTAGAACATTCATTGGAGGGAGAGGAGTGTTTATTCATATATCCAGTTGTGTCTCACTGACTTCTTTAGAAAACCAAATCACTTTCAAAAGAAATCTCTCGTCCACAACTGAATATACACTCCCCAAATAGCGTTTCAGCGCCGTCTCTGAGTATCGTTACATATTTTTAGATGTAGATGAACCAGGTTATTGGTTAAATTAATAACTAATTTATCTATTAGGATTCCCCTATTAAAATTCATTAGTGGTAGTATGACTTTGCACGACGTCTTTAGTCGTAAGATTAGTATATCAACAAACAATCCCGAATTTTGAGCTTGATATAATAAAAATCACCACAAAGTATTACAAAAACACAACCTTGCCTTGCTAAAGAACGCCTGAAAACACTCTGACATTGTTGACAGTGTTTGAAGCACTGACTAAAACATTTCGGCAATCATAGTATTACAAGTAGTATCACTATGGTAACGAGGTTAATTATTGGTAAGTAAAATGTTCCTGGACTTCCTTGGGACTTCTTTGTAAGCCTCCTTCGGCTATAGAGAAAATTTGATAACTAATTAACTTCCCTACCATGCTATTATTTATAACGTAAGTCCTTTTCTGTAGTCAGGGTTGTTAAGTAACGCCTTTTGCCGAGACCCAGTCAATATTGCGTCTTTTTTGCTGGTGTTGTTTCTTTATTAATCTGGTGAGTTTGGTTTTGTTTCTTTGTTGTTCGTTTGTGTTCAGTAATAAAAAATGAAATTCATCGCACAATTCAATTGGAGTTGCAGGGTTACTGTTGAATACTATTGAACACTAACCAAGAAACACTCAGAGTCGATGAAGAGTTGTGGATCCTTTGGGTAATACTTGCAGTGTATCATCGTTTACAAATGGATTGATTTCTACGGTCCATACAATGGTGCATGGCTGATAATATCAGAGCATGAATCAAAACTTTTTATGACAATTTAAAACAACTAAGCAATTTATAAACTTTACGATCTTTAAAAAAGACGCTGAAAAACTAATATGAAATAAGAATATTTTTTTAAAATTATTATTCTCTTTATTTCCTTTGCAAATCTTAATTCATTCCTTGGTGGAAATCTTTATTCAATACAAACATACTGTTTACTGAACTATGAATGCTAAACTAAAATTAATGATTAATTTTATATTCAAAGTATATATTTCACAAATATATCAGTCTTATTCTTTAATTTTAATCAAAGTCACAACAATCATTAACATCCACCTCCATCCCCACCTCCACATCCACCTCCACCTCCATCCCCACATCCACCTCCATATCCACCAGAGAATCCACCAAAGAAACCACCCGCATGACCTGTATGAAACCCGCTTCTTGACGATGAACCACTATAATATGAGTATGTAATTGCCATTTGTGGTATTTTATTAAGTTCCTGCACCCAGTCTCTAAAAAATGATCATAATTTCTGTAAATTATATATTTTAACTGATCACTTGGTGTCAACAAGAAAATTTACTTATTCACCTGGCTTCTTCTTCGTTTTCGGCACGAAGGCAGAAATTCTTTACTGATGAACGAATGTAAAACATACATTGGACTCTACCAGGAGACTTATGCTGTAGATTTTTCTTTATCTCATTTCCATAATCTATTCTTTCACGGCTTTTTACGTTGAAAGCAAAATTACAATATTCACTGCCTGGTTTATCGTAATACACAAGGTGTCCATCTTGATACAAAACAAAATATCGTTTCTTCCATTCACGTTTTAACCCACCACCTACGAAATGACATTTCACTTTTCAAAAGAATCAAAACTTTAAACATTCAATTTCAAAGAACTTAGAACTCGAATTAGTCGAATACTCAAGTCTAAAAAATCATACAGTCTTACTCACTTAATTTCTCAAGATATCCAGCTTTAACTTCAATCATGTTTCTAGAGCTTAAATGTTTATGATGATCTACTGCTTGTCTAGTCTCAACTCTCAATTTATATGCGTCATATTCTCAAATACTTTGTTAAAATATCAACAGGAACAATCACATTAAAACTTCTTAAAGAAAATTGCGCTGAAGCTGTTTAAACTGTTTCCCGTGCTCTGAACAATAGGAGTCTATTTCGTATCACTAAATATAATATTCTTCGATGATTTTTACATCATTCCGACTTTTCGACATTTTTTCAACAAGCTCTTTGATGTTTTGGCAAAATAATGGGTTATGAACGTAATGGATTACATTGTAATTTATTTAAAAGTTTTCAGTTGTGTCTCACTTACTTCTTTAGAAAACCAAATCACTTTCAAAAGAAATCGCTTGCCCACAACCGAATATACATTCCCCCCGCCCACAAATATCGTTTCAGCGCCGTCCCTGAGTATCGTTACATATTTTTAGATGTAGATCAACCAGGTTATTGGTTAAATTAATAACTAATTTACCTATTTAGAATTCCCCTATTAAAATTCATTAGTGGTAGTATGACTTTGCATGATGTCTTTAATCGTAGCATTAGTATATCAACAAACAATCCCGAATTTTGAGCTTGATATAATAAAAATCACCACAAAGTATTACAAAAACACAACCTTGCCTTCGCTAAAGAACGCCTGAAAATGCTCTGATATTGCTGACTATAATATTTCGGCAATCATAGTATTACAAGTAGTATCACTATGGTAGCGAGGTCAATTAGTGGTAAGTAAAATGTTCCTGGACTTCCTTGGGACTTCTTTGTAAACCTCCTTCAGCTATAGAGAAAATTTGATAACTAATTAACTACACTACCATGTTATTATTTATAACGTAAGTCCTTTTCTGTAGTCAGTGTTGTAAAGTAACGCATTTTGCCGAGACCCAGTCAATATTACGTCTTTTTTGCCGATGATGTTTCTTTATTAATCTGGTGAGTTTGGTTTTGTTTCTTTGTTGCTCCTTGTGACGAAAAATGACATTAATCGCTCAATTCGATTGGAGTTGCAGAGTTACAGTCGATTACAGACAGAAAAAAACACTCAGAATTGTGGAAGAATTTTGGATAGTGCGAGAAATACTTGCAGAGCAATGTGTGCATCATTGTTTTCAAATGTACAAATCTCCATAAGAACCGGTAGACCTTACAATGATGAATTGTTAACAACAGCTGTGAGTAAAACTTTTTATGACAATTAAAAATAACAATGTAAGAATATAAACTTGACGATCTCCGAAAAGATTTTGAAAAGCTATAACGAGATAAAAATAATTTTCGAAATAAAAATGTTCAAAATAAGAATCTGCAACATAACGAAGAGCTTAACTGCTATTATCGTCGAACGATCAACCAATGGTATGCCTTGACACACCGAAAGGTTTACAACCACGATCAACCAATGGTATGCCTTGACACACCGAAAGGTTTACAACCCTTGGACTTTTTTTTCAACTGCTTACAACAACTCCAGCCTTGATAAAGAGTATAAACTCCCGGATGACCCATAACCACACAAGTGCGGGTCTTCATTGAAACACGCGGGATGAGCATTTGACATTTTGTACAGCGGACTTCTTCTAACTGCTTTGTCAAGAGGCGAACGCATTCTAAAAGACCTTAAATGAAAATGAAAGAAAAATTTAGTACAGGGTGTTTGTCACAGGGAAATAATCCCTTATTGGCGAATTCATAGCAAAGAATACTTCAATTACAGTTTCATACCTTTTGATTTTATGTCTGCATCCCTGCCTATCTTCTCTACTTCTTCCTTTTCTTTTCTCGCTCGTTGAAAAACGTCAATAAAATTAGCGAAACGCAAATCAATAAGGAGGTCTGGCTTTTCTTCAATGGACCATTGTACATCAGCGAAAGATGCCTCGTCTAAACACTTTGATTCGAGGATGAGTGAACGAGCTTCTGAAATGTCCGAGTCACTTTTCGCACTCCAATGCACGATAATTTTCAGTTTCTCACTATTTTTTATCAAACCTTTCTTACTACCGTACCTCAGTAAGGCGCGGACAAACCTCACATCTACTATACTGCGTCTAAACATTTTTAATAGCACAAGACTCTTCCAACGAACCGCAAAGGCTTCAACAGCTAAAGATACCAGGTCATGAGCACCCAAATAATTTCCGTTTTCTATAGTTTTAAATATCTCGATACCATAAAATAACCTTTCATTAGCTTCACCCGTGTACAAATACTTCAAAAGCATTTCAACGTTGCTTGAACTCGCTGGCAGCTCTACATTAATTAAATTCATTGTCGTTTCTTGATAAACTCCAGCGAAAAGTGCTTCAAAATATTCGCTTCTAACGCGAAGGTACTCTGAATGACAATAAAAGATTTTGCTACCGAAAGCTAAGACTTTATCAGACCACTCTGGTCTATTAAAATGTTTTAAAGCTTCCTCACCATGCAAGATCTGCAGTTCTTGAGAATTTGAAGGGAACAAAATGGACTTATTGTTCTGTAGATGAACACTCAAGCCCAAAGAGTTGATTTTACTTATAATTGAATCTAAGTTGGTCTTAAGACTTTCAACGGTATCGCTCATAGTTGGTAGCCCGCCTTCCGCCATGTCTCTACTGGAGTTAAATGCGAGCAGTGCATGAATGAAAAGTTAGTAACTTAAAAAAACGTCAAAACCAAAAAATCAATTGAACGGAACACAAACGCATTTGAATCCATTCAAAAAATGAAAAAGAAAACCATTGTAGTTCGTTCCCCTTGAATTGACAAAAACAGAAGACCTTCATTAGGCCCATCAGGGATTCTATTGTGTATGCACAAAACACATAATTTGCACTTTTATAAAGCACTAAAAGGTTGATCAAAAAGCCAGGAGTCTGTCGCTAAAATATCGTATATCAATGTCCATAGAATAGTCATTTTCAAACATATGACAAAAGTGGTTATATTTTGATAGATTGTCCCACATAACGGCGATTTTGAGCGATTTTCGAAACAATGAGAAAAATTGCTAACTTTATCCTGGCTTTGTGTAATGGTTTTAGCTACTATCCCTTGATCTTTAACAAGCCAATCTTTACGAACACATTTTTTTCAAACTGTTAACACAAATCAAAAGTTTTATTTGAAGAGAATAATATAAAATTTGTCTCTCAGATCAAACACAAAGATAGCTAAAGCAAATCAATAAACTAATTCCCCTTCAGCATGTTCAATAAAATATTTTGGTTGATAAAAAGTTTCCCTAAGCTTTATATAATCAAGCTCCAGACAAAAGGGTCCATCAATTCGATCCATTATGGATATTCCAACTGTTTTAAAACAATGGAATTTTGGCTGTCTATCTTGCAAATAACCAGCAGTTGTGAAAAGAAACTTTGTGAATGGGATCTGCAAATATAGATTATCTAATTACTAGAATGGAATGAGAGAAAGAAGAGTTGATAAAGAAGATATTTTCTTTGCATTTGTTGAAAAAATTAATAATCACACACCTCTAGAGCAAATTTTCCCCTAAGTCCCTGGCTAATATAACAAAACATCTTAATCGACTTACTGTGATTTCCTCCCAAAAGGGACCACCTTTAGTGTAAACAAAAGCTTGGTACATATCATCTGTATTAAAACCTGGTGGTTGCAAGCTAACCACATAAGTTCTCCCATCTCCACGTAACCGAAGTTGCAACACATCATAAGATGTCACATCAGTGTTCATAATTATCCCCCAACGATTCTAGAGCATAAAAACAAGCGAAAGTATAAGATAACAGCATATCAACATAAACCATACGCTTATCCTATATCACATGCTGACCTTTTTTGGTTTAGTGCGAATTGTACAAAACCCACTATGTTTTGTGACTTTATCAGGGGAGCTCTGTGGAGAGATAACCACAACACATTGCATGGCCATTTTCGGAGCGTTTCAGTTCTACCGTGGATTTACCACCAATGACTCCATCGGATATACATGTCCAACTATCAAAAAAAGTACCGTCTTTAAAGTCACAGACCATAAGTTCGCATAATGAAGCAGCTTTTTGGCAAAATTTTGCCGCTAAAATTCGTTTAGAAATCATACAAAGTTTTTGTTTAGGTAGATTGTGAGCCATTATTTCTTGTAGACAAGTCAGCGGATTGAACAGAATGAAGCACACACGATGATTGGTGAGCAGCAAATGGTGACCTATCTCAATTAGCACATCTTCTTGCTAGAAATGTTGGGTTGGTGTTCTCTCTGCTCGAGAATTATTTACCGCCTGTACATTACAAAAAAAATATCAAACAAAATTGTAAATCTTGTACCTATTTCATTTATATCAAATCTGCCAGATTACCGTCAATTTTACCCTATCCATTTAAATGTTCCAAAGAAACGAAAGGAAAGCAGACCCAACTATTCGAGCGAAGTCTCATGCCACCTTATCCGTACATATTCGAGAAAGATTTACGCAAGCAATAAAGCAACTTGTAGAAAGTATACTGAAAGAAACTTTGGTGAATGGGTAAGTGTTTAATGCTAAGCAAAGTCCAAAACTAAAATGTTGCAACTTGCCAGTTTTTGGATTCATGGATGGTTAACATTATCATACTGGCATCGCGGGTGAGAGGTTTTTGCATTTAATGAGGACACGAGGAGAGTAGAAGACAGCATTGAAATTTCTTTTCTTTTAGTACAAGGCCATTCTTTTCAAAATTCAACAGGGGGTAGGATCACATGTATTGAACTAAGCATATCATCTTTATTACAATATAGAGAGAGAACAAAATATTCACTGTACCAAATATCTTATGTTTTGGAAGAATCCTTGCTTCACCATTTCTTGGGTATTTAGTTGTCATGGGACAATATGTTGGTGCATTAATTCTTTTTGTTGCAGCAGGTTTAACTGATCTGGTATGGTAAATGACCTCATTCCTTAAAAATAAGATTTCTTTCCTACCTTAACTATTAAATTATTGTCTTATTTCTAGCTTGATGGCCTTATTGCTCGACAGTTCCCTAGTCAAATGTCATATTTTGGAAGTGTCCTGGATCCTATTGCAGATAAGATTCTTGTCGGAGTATTGACTGTTTCATTGTGCATTACTTCTCTTTTGCCAGGTTTCTTTATGAAATTTTTGTCCCTGCTTTTGTGGACACATTGATAACTACAATGTTTTTTCATTTAGTTTCATTAGCTGTTATTATTCTTGGCAGAGATATTGCATTAATAATTGCATCTTTTGCTGTGCGATTGATTTCCTTGCCACAACCAGTATGTATATTATCAGTTTGTAAAGTTAGTTTCAAATCAATGCTAATTTGATAATTATCAATTTTAAGCGAAATGTTTCACGCTTTTTCGACTTTCAACTTCCTACAGTTCAAGTGACACCATCAACTTTTGGAAAAGTAAGATTTGAGCCAGACTGAGTACAAATGGATTACAGATAAAAAGTCTTTCACTTTTGTTTAGGTAAATACAGTTTTGCAATTAGGACTCATTTCATTGTCACTAGCTGCACCTGTGTTCAACTTCACTGAAAATTCATGTTTAACTGCATTGCAGTAAGTTGACAAGCTTTTGATCATATGATCACTGGATGAAGAAGGTGAAATCAATCTGTTTATCTGCCTAGGTACACTGTGGCAATCACTACAATTCTTTCTGGGCTTGACTATTTCATCACACAACGAGGCTTCCATATTTTGAAAAAAGAATAATTAAGATTCATAGAAAGAAGAATATAATAAAATAAATCATATAAGGAACTGTACAGAGGCTTTGGCTGAAAACAAAATGGTCTATTTGAAACATTACTTATGTACCTTTCTGAAAAGCCAGGAAAACATTGTCTATGATTCTTCATTACTTAGACGATCTATGTACCATTCTCTGATTTCCAATTTTATTTTATTTTTACCATGAACAGGGGTGACCAGATTCATGCCATTTTAACTGCAACAATTTTGTACTCATCTAGTTAGATTTATGGCATCCTTTTTCTCCATATCAAATCTTCTGCAAAGATTATAAATATTAACATGCTTTTTTTTGAACTGGTAAACCAGGTCAAGCCACCATTATCAACAGCACATAATATCAACAAACTTCTCCATTGACCAAATGCAAACAATTTATTAACTGTCAGCTTTTATTTTTCTCTTATGAGCCCTATATTTTTGGGATTCTTTGATGAATTTGAAATCTTGGAACTTCTTACAAATATTTTGAGAGAAGCTGTATAGAAATAGAGTGTCCCACAATATTTTTCAAAATAGTACATATTAAATTATTTTTTATTCGATTAGACGTAAAATATATAGATAAATCATCCTTTGAACTTCCTTTTAAAATTATCAATATCTTTTCGTCTCATTTTGTTGCTAACCCGTGTAAAAATTTCCTCAAGTATCCTCCCTGTGTAGAAAATAGAAACCCTTGATGACTAACGACTAAACTTTGGCTTAACTTGATTAGTTTGTACAACGTAGAAATACAATGAGGTTAGTGACATTAAAAACTTTAACAAATTGAGCGATGTTGAATTAAGCTCCAATTTACATTGCCGAAATTGCGCTCCAAATCAATTTTGGCAGAAATCGTCGCATTCTTGAACAATATTAAAGAAATAAAAGATGTTTACTGTGCACAGGCTTATGCAAACCGAGGAGGCCTTCGGGAGAACTCGATAGAAGATCACTGCAAGCCCAAGACCGAAGGTCGAGGGTTGCACCTGCTTTCAACAGTTTCACACTGCTGTACACAATTCAAAAGAAAATGATCGCAAAAAGTCAATCGCGCGACAATTAGCCCCGAGTGGAAATCAGCCTTTAGTTTGATAGAAATCAATGGCAGTGATGGGCGATTACCGATTACTTTGCATCGAGATAACGAGCCTAATCTGTAATTTTCATTATCGTCTCACGAATCTTAACACACAACATGCATCGTTACTTTGCATAACAACATTAAAACGGAAAAATCTGAAGATTCTAATGAATTTTTTTATTAAAAAAAACGCATTGAAGGATTACTTATTGTCTTCGTGAAAGGACATGCACCTAAGGAGCCATGCAACCACAGTCATAAATTATAGTCATGACGTCATTTAAAGAAACGTTAACATATTTAAATTCGTGTGTTTTCACTTCAACGGAAAATTAGTCACTTTAACCTGACTTTAATTGTGTAGAAAGAAAGGTAAGTTCTGTCTTTTTATTGAATACCGTCGAAGTACCTAAGTATGATTTACATGAAATAGTCAACTAGTCTTAGGGTAGGCCTCGTAATATGAAAGCTTTAACTGTAAAATGCCTTGATCACGATGATAAGCCTTAGATCGTTCGAAAACTGTTGCATCGTTCAAATTCAACTGACTAAAGCTTTCGTGCAATGTAGGTGGATGTTCTACCATTTGGATAGTCAAACAGAAAACATATTACATGTTTGTAAATGTAGATCGTCCAGGTTGGTATAGTCCTGACTCCTGAGAAGGACTGTTTTTGTTGTTGTTGACTGACGTTTCGACAACCTTAGCGGTAGTCATCTTCAGAGTCAAAATGGAAAGAAAACATATTGTTATTTGCTCATACTCAATATATCTGATTAAGACTTTAAAAACGCAAACTAACGTCATATGCAGAGTTATTCATCATGAAATCTCGTAACATGTGTTTCATATTTTTTTATATTGTAGATCCCACATGGATGGAGTTGTGAAAGTTCCTTTACCACCTGTGTCATTCACTTCAATTACTCTTACTAGTTTGTCATTACTCATGTGTCATGGTGATTCATGGCCAAGAATGTTCATTTGTAGTTTGGATTCTCTGTGGATGTCAGTTGTTTGTTCATATAATAATGATGGGCCCCATTGTTATATGAGCCCACCTAAAGGTGGTCAGCTGATACTCACAGAAGATCAACTCTGCACTAAGCATTCTTTGAGTGATGATATAACTGGGGTATTGAAGTGGTCAGTACCTACTTTGTTGGTTGATGAGGCCCGTTACTTCATGTATGGAATGGATATAAAATGGACATTGCATAACGGCATCTGTCGTATGAACATTATCATTGGAGTGACTGGACTTTAAAAACAGACTATATTCTACGAAGATGGGAAACAAGCGTGTGGAAAAACACGATCCATGTCTTGTGGTTTGTAAGTTGAGTAGATAAGTGTCAAGATTAACTTATATGAGTAACTGCACGAGATAGTTAAAAGAATCCTGATGGTCTATTTTTATAATTTGAACATTAATCATGAAAAACACCCAAATTAAAAAAAATGTCAATAAAAGATGTCACTTGCTGTGAGAAATAAGCTGGCTTTCACTCGCTACTTTTTACTTGTTTTATGTGACGTCTATAAAGAAAATTGCAATGCTGCAAAAAGGATTTATTGATTTTCTAAAATAAAAATGCTACAATAAATTTATATGATATACATGTAAAACTGCGCGATGAAAAAAAAAGAAAGAGACCTACTAAGTCACTTGGATAAGACTGACCAGGACAACGCTTGGAAATCAGGTATCAAAGTTTTGTTCTTTTCAATTTATTTAATTTCTGTTTTTGTTTGTTAATTATGCTGACATTTATAACGTGTTTTTTATAGAGTAGCTATGTCTGTTGGCCTACTAACTGGACAATGAATGAACGACAAAATCGGACAGAAGCGCCAAGAAACAAGCGTCCTTATTGAATAATTAACACTTGCGACTTTCGTTATGCATAATGTTCACTATTAAGCGCATATTCAAATTCAATCGCTAAAAATTTCCGTGAAGCTAAAATTTCACAATTGTTAAATTTTCTCACCAAGCACACGAGTGAAAGCCAGCTTTTAATAAAGTTCTTAATGAAGCAACATGTAAATTTTGAATCGAATGAAGTCTAGTTGACATCAAAATTTATTTTTATGCAAGTCAGACGTGACTTTGGTCATTTCATTTTTTATTGTTACTACGTTTCTCTTGTTCCAACACAAAATATTTGCTGTGTCAGTAGGATAGCCGGCCCGCTTTTTTGTTGCTCTGTAAATTAAAATTTTAACTGTAGCGTACGATCTGACTACGCTGCATGTTAAAGTAGATCATCGGGATCATTAAAAATAACAAAAATATGAAACGTCTAAAACTACAAAAATTGAGGAAATTTTTTTAAATTTTCGATCTTTTCTTTTAATGGAGGGTTTTTTACCGAATCCACCGGTTTTCCCTCCCATTTCGTTTTGTTTTGGAAAAAAACAGTGTCCACATTTGGGGCCAAGCAATGTCATTTGTCATAACATTAATTATTGTAGCTATCAATGATATTCACGTTTCTTTTTCATTTCTTGGCCTTTGGGTGTATCTCCCAAAACACTGCGTTTGTTAAATACAATGGAATACATTTAAAAAAATAGGTACGCGCGTGCATTGTCGAGAGTTCGCCTCCGCTTTAAGATCGTAGTCCTCGACAACTCACAGATATATTTTTAATCAAGTAATCGTGCAGACGTTCACTCTAATCGCAGTAAGAATACTAACTAACTAACAATCGTAATGGTACATCACTATAGTAAAAACAACCCACTTCTAAAACCTTCACAATAAATGTCAATCATAATAACTTAAGGAATGTCCGTCAGTCCCGACAACATATTGGTAGCCTTCAAGTATATAGCTACTGAATGAAGTAGATTTAATTAACATAGTTAAAATAAAATTACATATTTAATAATACTCACGTCAAACTTTTTCAAGATTTGAAAACGTTCTTTACTTATACGACCAAGTAATTTCCTAACCGAGGAATTTGATATTACCAAGCAATTGCAGCTGCTGGAATCCGATACTACAATTGTTGAAGATCAAATGTACAGAATTCCAGAATATCTCAAACATTCTCTTATTTTGTGATGAAAAACCTACACAGAAGAAAGTTACTAAATTGCAAGTGCATCTCTGCAAAATGACAACGAGCACTTGACCACTTGACCACTTGACCAAATTCATTAAATCTCTTGGAAGTAACGTCATTGCATTTCTTCTATTCACTACTGGAGCCAGTGTGGTTCTACCAGGAATGAAGCTGAAGGTCACATTCACCATCTTAAATGATTTAGCCCGTCGTCCTGTTGCGCATACTTGTGGTCCTTTACTTGAAGTTGCAAGCACCTATCAGTGATACAGTGAATTTTCAGAAGAGTTTTCATCCATTCTTCACGAGAAAGTTCATGGACATTCCATATTGTTTAGTGGGGACGTTAAAGTCATATCTTCACATCTAAATATCATACGACATTCAAGAGTGAAAAAAAAAAATTTTGTTGTTGTTGTTGACATTCCAATATTGTATTTTTGTTTGTGGTGAAATACATAATATACTGTTGAAACAATTATTTCACCAGCTGATTGATTCATTAATTGTATTATGTAGAAACTATAAATACCTGCTTTGGTTTCGCATTCAGTCTGTTTTCTTTTGGCATCAACCATGTAGGATTTCTTCATTACTTCCTTGACAGTATTTCAACGTTTAAGAGTGCTTGTAGTTTTGTTTTAATAATTCCTACTAGAGTAATATCGTATTGCTTCTTCGATCTTAAGAATGTAAGCTTGGAGTATTTAAATGTATACATATTATTTCGTCATTATCAAAATAAGCAGAATATAGACTGGCGTTAGTGTACTTCTTAAGAAGCCCGTTCACACCATCCGATTTTGTCGGATCCGAAAAAACGGGTCGTGTGAACACATATAAAGTGAGCTTCCGTCAATCTAAAAAATCGGATGAAAATGGAACTTGCTCTATTTTCATCCGACAATATCAAAGAAGCCGACTAGCCAAATTGATAGATTTGAAAAAGGCTTGGAAACAAGAACAAAAATACTATACATATAAAACAATGAATGTCCTGGATAGCACAAATGGCCGTTCACGCAACAATAAATATCTAAGCGATAAAAGCGAATATATATATCTACTAAATTATCAGACCGTCTGAACAAGCAACCAATAGTCGGAACCGAAACAATCGGATCCGAAAATTTTTGTAATTATGTCTTAAAAGTTTTGAAAATGAACGTATTGTGCAATTGTGTTGTAGACTGAACGAGCTTCTGCGAAGGAACTTAAATAAACAAATGTATACTTTAAAGATCGCTAACCCAATGCGCTAACGACTGCTGGCGATGATCTTTATCATATAATTCTGATTAGTGATCACTGGCACATGACTGGCATGAATACCTGATAAACCTGTTCAATCAAGCCGGGTAACAGGCTGTTCATTTGAGCCCGGTTTAACGGAAAATCTCGCCTACCTGTTTATGAACTTGCTTTGGCACCTTTGCTATAAATTTACTATCAATAGTGACTATCAATATTTAATTATTTATCAATATTTTGGGATTGAGTTTCTCATATGAAGGCGAGGAACTATTTTGTTCGCTCTGAGGGAATTCTTCTAACCACGCTCACGTGAACACGTTCAAGTTACTTCGTAGAAGTACATACGTGAAAAACACGTGTACTTTACCAAAGCACCAGTGCACGGTACTGGCGGCATGCAAAAAGAAGTTACAAAACAGTCGTTGTTCAGTAGAAAGTTCATCAAAAATTCTATTCATTATGACAGAAGACAAGAACAAAGGGTATTTCGCTATTGACAAATTGATGAAAAAGGCAAAAACTGCAGATGTCACTTTAAACGATATCAATGATGCATATGCGACTCACAGCGTAGTATACGAGACGGTAGGTCGTGTTCAACTCTAACTGAAAAAGCTAACTCATTTTATGCAATTTCACTATCCGTGCTGTGCTGTTTTGGCAAATTATTTTGACTAAAGAAAATTGCAACTTTCAAAAATGTATTCAATGAAAGGGGGCTTCGACAAAATTTCGTCTCACATCGTAGACTTTGTCCGCGATTGTGTCGACCCCTTCCCTCTTCCCCCTACACCATCGCGGAACAACAAAAAATATGTATTTATTGATGACAAAAAAGCAATTTGTAATTGTGGAAAGTGTACTGCTCAAAGCGAGAGGAGATACTTGTTTTTTTTGCTATGACGTTCTTGTTGTGAATATTTGATATATTGACTCAGTGTTGCCAGATGAAATTTTAAAATATTCATGCTCGCTTGCGTCAAAAGTTCACAAAAATGGCAAAAAGTTCATATTACATTTAATTTTTAAGATCGGAAGTTAACGGATTAACTCGGACGTTTTGGGAAAACCTCGGAGATTTTCAAGAACTCTCGGGGAAGTATCCGGAAAACATCGGATTATCTTAAAATCGTCGAGCTATGAAGATTTTCTTTTCATTGAACTATAATTTATCTGTACATTCTTTATGAAAATGATGAAAATACAAAAATGCATAATATTTAGAAAAGTTCACAAAAAGTTCACAAACTTTTCATGTTCATGAAATGTTCATGAAGAGAGCAAAATGTTCACAAATCTGTGAACTTTATTCAAGATCTGGCAACACTGAATATTATGAAATTTTCCAGACTTTTTCAATGATATTTATTAAATCAGTTTTCATTCCATTTTACTCCCCACATCGGACAACGTCCACAATGCATGACTAAACCTATTTTTCCACAACGATTTATTTTGTGATTGTCAAATTTTTCTTGTGTGATCACAGATAGATCATTTTATTTGTGTTTATTAACTTGGAAAATACTGACATAGCTGCATAACAGCACTATTGATAAATAATTTAATTAAAAGGCAACTTTTTCAAATACATACACTTCTTTCTTTTTAGGGAATGAAGAACCATGATTATTCTGGACACATTGTGGCTGCCAATAAATTCACACAAAAATTGGAAGAGTTTGGGTTTTCTAAAAATGTTCACATAATTGACTTGGGTTGTGGTACAGGTATGGTTGGCGAGCAGCTGAACCAACAAGGCTACACAAACCTCGATGGAGTTGATCTAAATCCTCAAATGTTAGAGCTTGCAAGAAAAAAGGGCATCTACAAATCATTGCACACAGGAGCAATGGGATCTCCAAATTGCAAAGATTTGGGAATCAATGCAAATGAGTATGAGGCTGCTATATGTACTGCAGTGTTAGCACTTGCACATGTGGAGAGTGAAGGCTTAAATGATCTTATTCATGTGGTTAAACCTGGTGGTCTTGTATGTTTCAGTATAAGAGATATGCATTACAACACCAAGAAATGTAATTTTCCTGAAAGCATAGAGCAACATTGTAAAGATGGAAATTGGAAATTGATTGACAAGCATCACCAAGAAAACTATTTAGATGGAGACGGTGCTTGGTATTTTGTCTGTCAAATACAATAAAGTAACTGGTTTCATCTATCATTGATTTTTTTATAAAATTTTTAACAATAATTTTGAACAAAAAATGAGAAGAAGTAAATATATTGAACAAAAATGAAGTTTTGATTTGAATTATACCCTATGAATAATAAACTCTTAATTATCTTTACAATGATCGGGCGATTTATCTATAGTCATTTTCAAGTTTTTCTTTGATCCTCATAGAAGTCTTCAACTAGTTTAGCCATGAATGAAAATGGATCACTAGGTCGTTCAAACGCAGTATATGTGATCAAGTCCTACTAGAAAATAATTGAAATTAATACGTTTAATTTTACTTCTATAAAACCATCAGTTTTGGATCCGAAGGTAGGTCAAAATAAAGTAATTACAAGTTCATTTTAAATTCAAAATACTTTTATAGCAATACTGTTGGTAAGAAATATTTAAAGAAAATTTACGCTTAAAATACTCCCAATACAATAAGCTCTTTAAAATGGAAATATATTTTTACTAATGTATTCTGATCTGCTGTGGATCTGCTAATGTGTGCTAATATAAATTTTATTCAATGATAGGATGGTTAAGTGTATTTATATCTTCTCTTTTCATGCATCTTAGTTAAATAATGAAAATGAACGTAACTTTACTAGGTGAATATTTAGGTAACATAACCTTTGAAGCTTGCAAAAAACAACAATAGTGAAATGAATTGAATGATTAATACAATCAATGATTTCAATTTGGTAAATAGAACAATTTGACAGAAACCCAGACGATGGCAATAATCAAAAATCATCCACACAAGCAATGGAAATACTCTTTCTCAAATGTCAGAAAAAAGACGACTTGTTTGTGCCTAAGTAATAAGACGTTATGTTCACCAGACAAAAACAAATGTTAGGCAAGTCACGAATAAATGAACACTAAACAGAAGAAGTTTAAAATATACCTCAAGCAATGATAAAATCTGATTATTTTGTAGATATCTGTAAGCCTTTATGTAAGGATCTTCAATAACAGTGGCGTTGGCGCAACTTTTGAGATTTTCCGAAGATTGTAGCAAAGATGCTTGGATATGGTCAATATAGTCCTTTCCTACTTGTCTAAGGTCATTTTCACTGACTTTTTTTTTGCTTATTTTCTCTTCCATAGTCAGTTAATCACACTAAACGTGTAAAAAACAAACTTTTCTCCATCAATCTGCCATTTTGATTTACGAATGACGTCATTACACATCGTCATAGCAACTGTAGAGCTCAATGGTGAGGACGATCAGAGCATTGAGCTCTAAAAGACCTGGAGGGGCAAAGGGGCCTGGGCCTCGTGGTCAAAAACATGGCGGTAATGGCGGATTTTGGTTGTCAAAACTTCCACTTTGAGAAAAATTTTTAACATTCGCTCCCTCCCGAAACGGATCTCTATTACTGCTCATAGTAATGACAACCAGCGAAAACAACCACGATGCCGTAAGCATAAAATATTGAAAATAATGCTTAAGATTTTTGTGAAATAAACACACACATTTAAATGAGGTAAATCTACTGTAAAATAACGTATATTTTGTCAAGTAATGCTTTAGCTATATTAGAAATAAATATCAAACGGCAATCTTTACACTGTTAACGTGTTGTTAAGCTTTAATGCATAATCCCATGCGCATTACTTGTGTTTTTGACTGTTTGTGAACAGCTTGGTGCAACTGTCTTTCTTGAATAGATGGGTAAATCTTAGTTGAAATGTCGAAAAGGAGTTAGAAAAGTTAGCTTACCCTACGACTTAAGTCGACTGGAAATATATTATAAGTAGGTATGTAATTGTTTTGAGTTTTTTTTGGTAGGATTGATTCTGGGTGTCTTATAAAGTATTATGATATTCTGATAAATCTACTGAGAACTTATGAGGAAAATATCTTGAACTAGGAGAGCAAAAGAACGAAATTCAGAAATTCTATAATCATGTTGCTGATTCTGTTTTAAGCCAAGATATTAGAAACTGGATTGTTATTGACAACCATGGATCTACTACTGAACAGAACTACATAAATTTCCCATTAAAAATACTATTTCTTAAATCGAAGTGCATTGGTTTCTCTGACATAACACTTTTCTTATTACTGCATGAAGGCAAACCTGTTTAAATAATTATAATGTAGGTGAAGATATTTAGCATGTTGTATAATTGTTATTATACAGACATTATTTATAATATTATGGCCTTGTGTAATGTATGTCAAGAACTTATTAATTCTCAAAATGCTAACCTTCTTGCACTACTTTTCTTTTGTGTCCTTACAAATTACAGTTACCTATACTAATTTTTTCTAGGTTCAAACAACTTGACAAATTTTTGAATTTTACATTATGCCTTTGAATTTTTCTTTTGTCTTTTGGTAAAATATCAGTGAATGACTTAAAAATCAAGTTTATCTAAAATAGTATTTTGTACAAAGTAACTATACATAATTGGAAAAGTCTCATGTTGAAGACAGATGTGGCTTCTTTTACTAGATTGCTACTCTTATTCTTTTAAATGATATCGTAATTCTTCAAAAGACATAAAAGTTCTTTGCCATCAATTTTGCTTCTTCCACATTCAACTTCATTGCAACCAATGCATCTTATGTGAATTTTTAATCACCTGGAATTGAAAATGTATGGATTTTGTCAGATGATGCAGTACTGTATTTAATGTTTCATGCATGTCATGATAAGCTTTTCTTGAGCAAATATTTCAAGGTAGGAGCAAAATTTGGCACATTATTGAACAAAGTAGTTTTATCTTGATTTTGATGTACTAACCTGTTTAGTACACTGTGTAACAAACAATTCATTTACAGAAACACCATATGGCATTTATAAAACTTTTAGCATAAAGCAAACCTTTACACACCATCATCATGCTTGTCCAAATCTGTCAAATTGTCCAGGCTAGCTGTTTAATACAGGTAATTTTATTGTACGACATGTACCAAAGAGCTCATTAATTAATCCTGCACTGCATTTGATTTCAATACAGCTCTGTCCTTAATATTTGCTTCATATTTTCAGAAAAATATCATGAAAAAATCCTCCATTTCAACTCAGTTGAAACAAGGAGTTTTAAGATATGCATATCTCGATAAGAACTGGTTTCAATGCCTCGTCTAGCAATCGATTAAGTAAAGAACAAATAAGACTGGATAAACATAACTTAAATTATAACTTAGGAGTAAAAACATTCACAAAATATAAGCCATCACACTTCAAGTATTGACTTAAAACAAAACACTGAACACTTTAAATAGTAAACAATCTTACGTTGCTTACCGGTGTCATGAAATGTTTCCTTTTCTGGCATTACTTCAGCATCCGTATACCAAACAAGTTTGCAGCATGTTTTAAAGATAAAATTTCTAAAAGTTTTTGTGCTTGGCATTGATATTTTCTATAATCGCAATTGTGGTTGTCAAATCCGGGTGGGCGAAAAAAATTTTATTTTATGAGCCCGCGTCTTTCCGCTGACTTTGACAACCAAAATCCGCCATGTTTTTGACCACGCGGCCGCGCGCTAATAATTTATACTAATTTTGTTGACGTTTCCCCTCCAGGTCGTATAGAACTCAATGGATCAGAGCCAATGGACGATCACTGAACTGTCATCACTGAAGAGGATGAGTAAGTAGAATCTTGTACCCAAATTTAACCATGTACGAAGCTAAACAAATCATGGTGCGAAATATAGGATTTAATGTTCCAGATCTAGTTCAGTTCAATAGGCTCACCACCACACATCAGAAAGTGAGACGGAGCCACTGTAGCAGTTAATTAACGAATAATAATTGTCTTTTTATAAGTTTGGCGTGCTAAAATTTTTATCATAAAACACATACAGCAAAAGAATAGTACAAAATTTTTCATAAAATACATTTTCTTATGGAATATATAACGTCTTCTAATAAAACAATACCCACAAATCCTTTCTTCTCATGTGTTACATTTCTTACTATAATACGATGATTTCATTTCTTCATGAAGTTTTCTTTTCTTAACAGCAGCTTCCTGTTCGAGATGCTGTATTGCCAATTCATCATCCTCACTGGGATCGCTCCAAAGGGAGCAAAACTTACATTGTGTGCATTTCTGTCCTGGATCTCTGGAATGGCGACAAAAATGATTATAATCAATGTATGATTTACGGCAGATGTAACACTGTGTTGTACCACATCTGCAAGTCATTTTATTGCAACCATCAGACTTTGTAAAGCTCAAGTTACATTTTGAACATTTTCGTACTTTAGCCATTGTCATTTTTTCTTCGTAACTGACGCGAAGGTTTGTCTCCGATTTCTTCTCAATTTCATGACATCTCTTCCCGAAATGCTCTTTCCAGTCCACGGAGCACTCAACACAAGATTGCCTTTCACACTTCTTGCACGAAAACACTCTCTCCGTTTCTGGTAATATTGCAGCAAAGTCACAAAAAGGACAACTATGAAGATTCGGTAGATCTACCTTTTCCAGACAATCTTTCTGCAACCTCTCGCGGTATTTCTCGATTTCATTCTCAGAGAGACATTTCTTCAGCTGGTCGTATGGAAATCTGTGGTCACAGTCATCTCCCATACATACCAAGTCGAGGGAAGCCATCGAAGAACCGAATATTATTTCTTTGGCATAGCCACGAAGACACTCCTTGCAAAAAAGATGTCCATCACTGCATTGAACAATGTCTTCAAATGCAAAATCTCCAAAACAACAACCACATTCAATTTCTTCTCCTTCGTCAATATACTGTTGCTTGTTCAAGTTCTCAGCCATAATGGCGTTTTTCCTTTCTTCATCCAGCAATCGTTTCTTCTTGACAAAATCTAACTCTAGCTGTAAGTTAGGTTCAATTGGTTGTGCAATTGATTTCAACGGACGCTTGCCCGTTATCAGTTTTGTGATGAAAAATTTCCTACCTCGAGCTCGCTGAGTAATGCTCTCGCTGTTATCATTCATTGCTAAAAGAGCATCTTCTAATATTTTATGGGTAGGAGCATAGCGACTACAGCAGAGTCGCATAGCACGTCTAATATCTTTAACAGATATTGATTTAAAGTTGTTACATAGGATCTTTTCACACTGATCTATATATAAACAAGACTCCACAGGGCATAGTTTGTTAAAATAATCGATTTCACTTGGCTCAATGATGGTTTGTTTCACTAGAGGTTTACCACTATTCTGCATATCTGGACGATCTAGCAATGCATTAACAATATCATTAGTAGACCTTCCATCATTCAATAACATGTGAACAAAGACAACATTGACATTTGGAAAAACTTGTTGGACAAAATCTAGTGTTGACATTGCCAAAGTTTCAGTTTCAATAGCAGATGTTGTAGTCATTGGTATTTGCTGGGGTGTTGCATTATCACTGGTAATTGTTGCAGTATCACTGGTAATTGTTGCAGTATCACTGATGGTTGTTGTTGCAGTATCACTGATGGTTGTTGTTGTGGTGTGACTGATGGTTGTTGCACTACCACTGATGGAGATGGTTGTTTTACGATTAGAATCAACATGAAAGGGAGGTGTTGAACTATTTTTAGATAACAATGAATGAATAACTGAAGATCTAGAAGTTACTGCTGTAGGATTACCGAACTCTTCAGTCCATTTGCTATTATCATCAATTAAAGGAATTCGCAATGGCTGAAGACTTGGATGTAACATTGAATAAGGTGATTCAACAGTCAAAGGTGTTTGGTCAATTTCTACCATCTGAATTTTCTCTCCTGAATTTTTAACCAGAGAGGATGGTGGACAAGGTGTTCCATTAGAAAATGATTTTCCTAAATCAACATAGCCGTTACTGATAGTTTCAGACATATGGTTCAAACATTCTTCCAACTTTCTCATTGAATCTTGTATTACAGGGAGGCAGCCAGGCTGTCTAGGCACAGTGGAAGTTTCTGATTGGCTGTGAACAGTTTTTGATGGATTTTCGTCAAGCTCCTTGGTTTCAATAGGATCAGAATCGACTGTCGTTAAATCTAATATCTGAGGCTTCACTAAACTACCACGTCCTGATGAGTTATGACAAAAGGAAGTGGATTTTGATTCCTTTACATAAATCAGAGGTATTTGTTTTTTAGAACCGTCCTTCAAAGTTTTTTTTTTCACTGATCCGATATAAATGATATCAGGATTTCCATATTTTTCGCCATCCTTTTTTCCATGATTAATTTGACTAGCAAGGATGGCGTCAATACAGTACGACAAAACATCAACGGCCTTGGCTGCCATTGCATCCACAATTGTCCTATCAATAACATTTTGTTCAACTTGTGGAAAGATTTCCTTTAACTGAGCATGCAATAATGTTTTATCCATTTGCTCAAGAGGACCCTAAATCATAAATTCACATACAGATCACAACGTCGCATTATATCCTCTTTTGGAGGGAAAATGGAAAATAGAGGGAAATATAAAAGTGGTTATTATAACATAATATCATAGCTCAGAACTATGCGAATATCAACATCGTAACACACCGTCTGACAGGAAATGCAATTATGCAAAAATGCAAATAGTTAACAAATCGCTGCGTCAGGTGAGAAATTTAAATGCGAAATAACACATTGACAATAACATGATATTTTAAACATTTCTTGTATTCTGAGTCATCAATATTTTTTGTCAATTTAATTCTTCTTGAACCATATGGCATACTGGTTTCATCGTAATCCTTTAAAAGCTACTGGTGTCGTTTCCTTTGAAGTACTTCGTAGTGGTTTGACAAAGCCAGCCGCTTCACAATTATTAGGGTACAGTTAAGTAGTTTCAAATTTTCAACAACAGTGATTTCATTTAGGACCATCTCATAACTGTTTGGATACACAGTTCGATAAGTAATAACAACTCACAGGCTAATCTTTGTGAATCAGCTCTCATTGATTAGGGGGGAATAGTAGACTTTCATCATACTGTAATTTAAACGAAGTCTGGAAGAGTACTTTCCAACCTTGTTTTCTACCATCGCTAACAGTGAATTGAAGAAATGTCGTGCAAACTTGTTGGAAGTGATAGTGGAGCCATCAAATGAGATTTCAACTGTTGAAAACATTTTCAATCGCTACTTGTCCCTTATACATGGGTTGTCGTCATACAATGTTGATGAAGGAGCTAGCACTTCTGACAGTAAACTACGCAAGCTTGTGAGATTTAGGTGGACAAGTTCGGTTTGTGGTAGTACTCCAATGTAAGGAATAAAATTTTACATTATACTTTTTCATGAGTGAATTTTCTGAAACTAAACTAAAGTTCAACTGTTTTAAAGGGCTATGATTGACTCAAATTTTGAGCTTGCATCAGTGTGTCTTGAGTTTGCCATGTGGTGTATGAAACATGCATCACATATTGCTGATAAGAGTGAGTAAGTATTCATTAAAGTTTTTGTTTATATTAAGACTAATAATAACATATAAACACAGTTAAAACACCATGAACTAGAAAATTGATAGTCATTCATGGTATTTAGCGTGTCCATGGATGAAGCAAAAGAAGTCCATACATGCTTGAAAAAAGCAGCTGGAATATTTCATTATGTGAAGGTAGACTTAAATACTAGGATATTTATGGTGCAATGCCATCATAAGCTTTGATTTTTTACATTTTTCTTTTTAATAAAACAAAACAGGAGAGTGTACTTGGAACTTTGGAGCAACTTCCAGAGTCAAAAACAACAGACATTGATGTGCGAATTGTTGAAGCTTACAAACTGCAATGTATTGCCGAGGCTCAAGAAGGTAAAATTGTCTTAAAAATGGGAATTAAAATTTTACCATGTAGTATGGAACTTGTATAAATGTTGAAAGTTTTTTAAAATTCAGTAACTGTTGCTCGAGCAATGGAATTGAAACACAAAGCATCACTAATCTCATCCTTGGCTTATGAAACATCCAAATTATATTCACAGGCAGGTATATAGCATTTGAGAAAGATACCAGTGAATATTACTTTATATAATGTGCATATAAATGTCAATTTGTTTTTTACTAGTGGATTTCCTGACATCTATGGACGTCACAAGAACTGGAAAATGGAGGAAATACTTGGAAATCAAACGTGATTTTTATCTTGCTTATGTATGAAACTGAATGTTCATGTTTTATAATTATTATTTTATCTATTGAAACATTTATAAACAGATGGTGCGGGATGTTTATTTCAGGCTTATTGTTACTATGGTGAAGTTCTTCTTACTGAAAAAGAACAATGTGGAGCAAGTATCAAACTTTTACAGGAAAGCGACAAATGTAAGATTTACATTTTAGTTTGTTCTTCCCTATTTTATTTCCCAAACTCAATTATACATTTCCACTTCTTCAGTATATCAAAGTGCATGTCGTATGTGTGTGGAATATTCATCACTTAAAGGACCAGCGACAACTCAAGCCCGTCCTGCCGAACATTCTTTCTTTAAAGCACTTGGTATTGCAATAAAAACGAGGCTGGACAAGTCGACACGTGAAAATGGATTTATGTATGTAGTAGATCATACTTTTCCCTTCATTATGACATTCCTATATATTGCTTTTTTTAAGTACATATAAAAAGTTTATGTTGCCATTTGACTTTAGAACAATTGCAATTGATTTTAAGTGTATAAGCATTTTGAGAATCTCTATGTATTCCATTCCAATCCAAACTAGCAACATAAAATCACGCTATACATGACGTATGTTTTGGTCATTTTTATTTCAGTTATTTCCACAAAATTCCCGAAGAAATTCCAGAGATTGAAAAAAAGGCTTCACATGGGTTGGCTAGTCCACAAGAATTCTCACTCCCTTCCCCCCACCAACTATGGACTAAAGAAGTGTATGAAAGTTTTGATATTGAGAAAATCCCCAAGGAAAAGGCAAGTAGTTACTTATTTGCATCTTTAAAGGCTGCGACAGTTGTTTTGCGTTGCTTATTCCTGTTTCTGGATTATTTTTCACTTCTAAATTTTAAATGAAAAGTCTTTCTTTTTGCATGATTATTCCAGGCTCCTGACAACGAACCTATCAAGCCAATTACTGAAAATGAACAAGGTAAATCATCTTTCTCATCTTGTATCATATCGTAAAAAGCGTTGATTGTCACACATAAAGACGCTTTGAATTCCAACCAAATAATCAATAAGAAATTTAAGAAAGTCTATTAATGAAATGATTGTAATTATTATCAATAGCAATGTAGGTACGAGGCTATTTATATCCACTTATGTTGCTATTCTTAATTTTATGAATCAATCTCGTACTCAAAGCCTTTTGTACGAACTCTTTATGAATATAATTATTGTTTTCATTGAACATATTTTGTTTTAAAATTCTTGAATTTATTTTGTCTTTAAGTCTCTTAATTTACCATGATAATTTGAAAACTCCACAGTTGAGTCAGTGGTGTAATTTGGTTGTGACAAGCAGCCTCGTTTATCGCAAAGTTCGCTTTTTCTCCTATCTCTTGAGAACTTTATTCTCATCAAAGGTTTCCCGCTCTGTGTTCTTATTTCTGGTTGCTCCCAAGCCACACGCGGTTGTCTATCGTTATCTAAATTTTTAAAATTCTTGATACTGTTCGTTACAAATGTTGACATGTTATTGCTTTCAACACAACTGAAAACGGGAATTTTGCTGTCCTTATCGAAATTCAGTATATTTGTAAGATGATCAAATGTCGGTTGAAAACTGGTGTATTTTGTGGCATTTTTCGTGAAATTAATCTTGGCCAAATCCTCTTTGGCCTTCTTTACTTTTTGTTTTAGCTCAAATGAATCACATTTGTTCGCTCTACTACGCAACTTCTCAATGATTTTATGTCGCGAACTTTTCATCTTTTCGTCCGGCGTATGACAAATGGTTGGTGGCAAGCGACATTTTGTTATATTATAAGATTTACTAACATAACAAGATATTCTGTCCGAGAGATTTGCACGAAGATATTTTGCCCTTGGTTCGTTGGCCACGTAAAACATGTGCATCTTTTTTAAAAGGTTTGCATCAAGCATATCTTTAATTTTGGTTTGATTACTAGGAACAAAAGAGACCTTGGTTCGACTGTCCTCATTCTTCAAGTCACTTTTCTGTTGTTTTTTTTCTCTTGCTTTGCTGGAAGTAGAAACATGGAAAACCTTAGCTTTACTTCTGTAAATTTTTGCTTGTGTATGTGTCCCTGTCTTTATTGGTATGATTGGTATGAGTCTGATTGCTTCAACTTTATTTTCCTTTACGTTCTGATCAGGTTTATTGCTCTTCGATATTTTATCAGGTAGATGTGCGAGTCTGGATCGCGTATTTCTATCTCTTGGTTGTGTTGTTTTGCAGCCTTTCCCAGAAGTATGAATGGTTAAGGTGGTCCTTTTCTGTAAACTGTTTTCTACCATTTTTACAAAACCCTGTTGAATCCCAACAATGCATGCGGCCCGGCACATTCGTACCCATGCAATTGCATGCAAGGCCTCAAATCCCCAGAATCTCACAAGTGCACATGCAAGCAACGTACCCGTTCTGCCCCGTCCTGCGTGACAATGGACAGCAATGGGATTTTGTGCCTTTCTCACCAACTTCAGAAAAGTGTTCAGTTGCGCTTCTGATGGAACACCACCATCTTTAAAGAATATATCATGATGCTTAATTGCACAACAAACAAACTCTTCGGAGTCATATGGTTGTCCATAACTTGTGCGATACTCGTAGTCTCGTCCGTTTAATCGCACTACAGTCTCGACCTTTTTTTGTTTTAATGCTTCAAGTATGGAAGAGCGGACTTTGGGTCCACGTCCAAGATAACGAGGCTCTTTGGGATCTTCTAGAGCAATGAGACGTCCTGGTACAATCCAGTTTATAATGTCCTCACTTCCGTCGCACAGGTTAATGCTGACATCATAGTCTCGTTTTCGAAACCATTGATTTACCATTACTCCTTGATGAACAGCGTACCAACAATCCAACAAAGTTAAAGCATGAGCTGTCGAGCCTTCCATGTCCGTGTATGGAGAAACGTTGCCGGTAAACGCATCCAAAACGTTTCTTGTTTCAACTGGTGTATAATTATGTTCGATAATAAGGTAGCAACCCATAAGGAAGATGGCGTTAGTACGTTTTTGTTGGAAGCTCAAAGTGTGAAAGTTGTTCGTGTAATATAGATGTCTCCCAGCTGTATGTTTTAAACTCGTCACTACCATAGTACAATGACGCTTTATGTTCATCAATGACATCGGGCCGAAGTATTTTCTGATCTTTGTGCATTTATATAAGTTATCCATGCTGTGGTAATGGTAAATGAAACCATCTCGTTCGTTCATATGAATACCACTCAAAGGATTGTCTGCGCGAATTTGAAAAAACACGCGATTTGGTACCAATTCTATCATTCCTTTCATAACAAAGTCGATTTCTCCAAATAATTTAATTCTTTTTGTTGTTTTTTTACATTCTGATTTTTCTGATCTTTGCTACATGTGCTACCCAATCATTTGAAATTATTGCAACCGTTTCCATGGCAACAATTGTTACGTCAATGCCAATGAATTATAAGATTACAAGTAACTGGAATGATAACTCAGGGGATGGGGTTGGTTTGAAGTCATGTTTTTTATGTAGTGCCAGTCCTTTGTAACCTTAATTCTTTTAAAAATGTTTCTTTATTAAACTTTTTACTCAAGTAATTAAATGTCTGAAGTATTACCAACAAAAACAAATTTGCAGTTTCCTGTTAAATACAAAAACTATCAAAGTTTCCGAAAATTTGAATGATCAAATAAAAAGAAAAATAGGGAGCTTAAGCTAGCGATGTTTTGAAATCTGTAACGTTAAAGCAGAAGTAAATTTAACAATTTTGATGACGTAACCTTTGAGGCGAAGTCAAAAACGGCAAATTGGCTGTTTTAGCGTACTTGTTTTTAACAGAAACGTCATTTTTTTGTTTTTCTCCCTAAAAATGTGTGTGTTGACATATTCAAATAAGAACAGTACATTCAATTAAAGGCAAAAGAAAGCTTAGCTTATTCCCAAACGTTATTCATGACGTTCCTGCTGACAAAAACGTTGCTAGCTTCAGTTCATTAAATCAAAAAGATCTAAACCAATAAAAACTTTATAAAACATGTTTAAGGTTTTTTTAAATAATAAATGTTAGAAAAAGACACAGTGTCGGAAGAAGTTAATTAAAACATTGCTTGATTTATTTTATGAGAAGAACTCTTGTAAACAAAATGATGAAGTTCTAAAGCAAAAAAACATCGTTTTCGGTCCATGCTTCCCGATGCCTTCTTAAGCGTAAGGCACTAGAACGCCGCATGTTAACGCTTCGGTTGGAGATTTCGGCCCCTCCACGCTATCCTACTTGGGGATGTCAAAAACATCACTTCGGATAAGCTGGACGCTAAAAAGATCAAGGAAGAAATCAAAATAGCTGTTATGATGGAGATGAGTATCCTGAATTGATGCCTATTCCTTTCGGCTACGCTGCGAGAAATTCAAGAGTTATGAATTGCGAGAATGAATTCGAGGTGTTGCAGATGCTTGGAAAAAGGAGGGTTTGCTTCAGTTGTCGAGGTAACTTTTTATTACATACAACATCGTTTAAATAGACGGTAATTTGGTCATGTGAAGGAAATTTTGTACGTGATTTAGAAATGCTTTATATACGCTTAGGTACGTAATAAATTGGATGGCTGTCTCTACGCGATCTAAGGTAAAAAGAAATTTACCATCCAAAATGAATCAAAATTTTATAACATAAAATTGCTTGGCTTATTAAATGTTATCTTTGTAGAAACTATTATAACAAAATAGATGATCCCTTTTTTGCATGAAGCACATGGATGCTTTCGTTCATAATGAGAAAGTCATATTGTATAAGAGGCTCTCGTTCATCACGAGAGAGTTATGAGAAAGTCACAATGTAAAAGGTAACAAGTAAAAAAACATATAAACATGTTTAGAGTCGGTTTAAGTTATCAGTCAAAAAGGCAGAAGTTGTTTGAACCTTTGCAGTATCCTTTGATGTTCTAGTTTCTTTTATGAAAAACGTCTATATGTTCGTACATTTACTTTAGAAAATGTCTAGTAAAGAAAAAGAGAAATTTTAAAAACAAAAATCCCGGTTTCGATCCTTGCCTCCCGATACCCCGAGATAGTTGAGCACTACATCGTCTCGTGTTTATTGAGGGAACCATATAATCTTGTCTGCCATGAAGCCCATGGTTTGCTCGTGATACACGAGAAACAGTAAATGAGAGAGTTAAATAAGAATGATATAAACCAATAAAAATTGTATAAAACATGTTTAAGGTTGTCTTAAATAATAAATGTTAGAAAAAGTGTCAGAAGAAGTTTATTTTATGAACATTTGTTTTTTGTAAACAAAAAGATAAAATTCAAAAGCAAAAAACCCCGTTTTCGGGCCATGCCTTCTTAAGCGCAAGGTACTACAACGCCGCATGTTAACGTTTCGGTAGGAGATTTCGGCCCCTCCACGCTATCCTACTTGGGAGATGCAATAGCAAGCTTCCGCCCATCAGACCCCGAGATCACCTGCGATAGGCTTTGCTCGGGGTACGCAGGGAGAGTGCGGTCGCCACCGAAGTGTGGGCTTCTAAGCCACTGCATACTATATCGCACTAAGCTTCCACTGCTAGTTGACATCTACTATATGAAGTTTTAGCTTAATATGTATATAGACAAATTCAAAGGCTTACGAAAGTTGTGGTATTACTAAAGTCACTCTGCGAATTAGTTCTCAATTAATTTGTGACGGAGCAAGCTAAAAAATTGGTGCTTGTATACGCGCTTAGCAATTTTCAATCATATATTTTTGGCACACTCTTTTTCTACTTAAGCTTGTTTTGACAAATGCATACCAACTCAAATGCGTAACACTTTGTTACGCCACTCGTAATATCTGTGACAATGATAGAGACTTTATTTTTCTCCATTACTTGTATCTGCATATTTTGTGCATAAATGCTCTAATATTTATGACAGATGTTATAATTTGTAGATTGAGGTAGAAGAAATACTTGAAAGTTGAAAATGAAACTTCGAATAGTGAAACAAAATCAAGTATGATTGATGGAAAAAGAACAAAGACGCATCTGTAAAAATTTTACATTTTACAAAAAAAATTTACAATTTGAAAAATTAATACAAAACGTGTTGTTGAGAAAGGTAAAGAGACAAAGGTGTGGACTATCCTGTTGAATTTCTCGGGCAAACATTCATGAGAGTCTTGAGGCAACGGTGCAAATGACACAATGTGACTCTATGTTACTACGTATATTTATAGGTCAGTGAGCTCGGTCTATGATGCGTAGATGACGTGTAAACCAAAAACAAATATGGCTAGTGGCAAACAAGAAGGAACGTCAGTTCAATTGTATTCAGTGTCGTCTGAACCCAATAATATTGACTCTTTAAATTCAAATAGACCACTAGAAGATGAGTTTATGTTTCGATCGTCCTCTCCCGACTCCAATGTTGATTATTCAGGAAATATGGCTCCGCCAAGTGGCGTCAAAGTTGACGATTCAAATGCGTACAACTTAGGTCAAATTTTTAACAAAAAGAGGTTTGCCTGGCTTTTGGAAGTGGATGACACTGGTGACGATCTTGATATGGAAAAACCTTTGCTGTATGTTTCATCAATTGACATTTAATTTTAGCGGATAGTTTTTTCCCTTTATCCCCCCTTGCCACAGTGGTCCTCAATTTATATCTAAGTGATCCAACACACTGGCAAACATGTACACCTTAAAATAAAATATCCATTTTTCTTTTCAGCGAAGAACTTGACATTGATGTTGATGATATTTATTACAAAGTTCGATGTGTTCTTTTCCCTCTACCTTCCCTTGGCTTCAAGAAAGATGTTTTGAGGGAAAATCCTGATTTTTGGGGACCTTTGTTTGTTGTACTATTATATGCATTGTTGGCTTTGTATGGTCAGTTTAGGGTAAGATGTGAAATTTTTTTACGTGTTTCAGTATGTCAATAAAACCCGTCTCATGCCGTTGCCTTTCAGTGTAAACAAAATAGTGTGTTGTTTTTGTTAAACTTTATTTCAATTTACACAACCTTTTTATTGCTCAATTTGCCTATTCATAAAATTACTTTGTATGATTAATATGTCAAGAAGATTACATTAAAAACTGTGATTGTTTGGCTTTTCTCCTCTGACGAGATAAGTTTTGATGATTTGTTATTGTAAGTTCTTTTTTAATTTAATTTTATAGGTTGTATCTTGGATAATTACAATTTGGGTGTTTGGGTCGTTGCTTATTTTTCTCTTGGCCAGGGTACTTGGAGGCGAGGTAGACTTGTGTTGATCAAAGAAAAAATTTGAGCATTGTTAATGATGGCTTATTTGTGTCACTTGATCTTATAATACAGGTTACTTTTTCACAATGTCTTGGAGTTCTTGGTTATTCTGTTTTACCATTAATAGTGACATCATTAGCATTGATTGTTCTCCATGGTATTCCCATACTCAATACTGCAATCAAGGTATATATATTAAAATTATATTTATTTCTTTTTACTGCATGTCACACACTTTTCTTTTCTATATCAACTTTCCCCTTGTTTCAGCCTATAAGAAACTTTTTTCTATTTCAGTTTCTTGGCGTCATTTGGGCATCTTATAGTGCTGGTTCATTGTTGGTACAAGAAGAACTGAAAAATAAAAAACCTCTTTTGTTATATCCAATATTTCTTCTGTATATTTATTTTTTTTCTTTATATACTGGAGTATGAATGTGCTGCTGCACACCAAGATGATTCTTTGCATATTTTGTTGAGACAAGTTATGCTAATGAAGATGGAAGAGATGATACAAATTTCAAGCTCCTTCCATTATGAACAAGACCATATTTGATAAAATATATATGTACACAATAATATAATGTAGAATTGTAATTGTATATCACATATAAATCGTACGGTATTTTCTGAGCGATGTTTATAATGTAAATTATGTAATGTAAAAAGAATTTTAAATAGTTATTAAATCCTACTTACCTGCGAATGGGCAAACACAGATTGATTTTTGAATATTTTTTATTTACAGTACGTAAAAGACGATTGAAAGGTAAGACTTCATCATTTTATTACTTTATTGCCAAATATGTATTTTATGTATAAATTTATTTTATTGTTTTGCTAGCGATTATCTTTTCCTTGACCTTTTTAGCAACTAATTGTTTACTAGGCGTACGATTACACAAAATTTTTGCAACTTGCAAATAGCTGTGTTTCTACATTACAAAAGATCTTTATATTTGCCTTTTATGTAAATGTACAAAAGAAACAATTCCCCCAGCTTCGAACCATCTGTGACTGATATCAGGGAAAATAAAAGTTTTTCTTTGTTGAACGTTTTTTTGTCATTTTCTGATTTTTTAGATTTTAGAGTCATGTCTATAAATTCAGGCCAGTTTTTCAATGACTTTGGCTCATCTTTTCATACAGTCCCACATTCTCCATTTATTCTAAAAGCAGTTGTTTCATCTCCTGTCGCTATTGTGCCAGAGTTAGAAGCCAACCAAACCAAAGCAGTTCAAAGTACAAAGTGCATTGGTAGTAGGAAATATTTTTAGTATAACTTTTACACCTGTTTGTCTCATAAAAACTTATTATTTGTCCATTTTGTTTTTTCAGTACGACATTCAAAATTAGTTAAGATTTCCGAAACTTCTTCACCAGCCACACCTTGCAGAGTACCATCGTTATCTCCAAAAAATACAAAAAATACCCCTCAACTGTCTATTGGTAAGTATTAATTGTGTAATAAAAAATATTGAAAACCCTTGCTTATAACTGTATATTTTTGCCCTGTTGCTTCCTTTTTAATGTTTGTTTGCAATTATGTGCATATTGAATTTTGTAGAGTTGTGGGGTAAATGTTCTGCTTTTTTTTAGAGCAACAAGTTCCTAGCCTTACTCCAAAACTTGGAAAAAATACTTCACAAAATGTCACACCCTTCAATCTTTTTGCTGATGATGGTGATATATTTGTCTGAAGTCTGTCCATGCTAATGGTGTGTGGACAAACCGTTCATTTTTGAAATGTGTTATTCTTCTATATTTGCCAGTTGTATGTTGTGTTCATTGTAAATGCAAAAATATATATTTTACTGCACAGTGGTTGCTTGATTATTTATTATGTTTTATTATGCAATATTAAGCATTTATAAATATAATTAAATTTTTTTTAATTTCAAAATTTTTATTGACACCTTGCAAGAAACGTTGCAAAGCCTGAAAGAAATGTGTGCATGCACCACGAAAATGTCAGTTAAGGCTTTTTGGCGACTCTTCCAATCTGCGTTTTTGTCCTTTGTAGCCGGAAGTTAAAAGGGCTTTGTTGTTGAAAATATCAACATAATACGTGTCTTCACACCTCGCTAGCTTTCTGGAAATTTTTTAGCTGACGAAGCGGAAAATTAATGCATTTTGTTTCATGTCTAAATTTAACCTGTTGCCTGTGATGTGGCTTTAGTTTGCTTGAACGGATATCTTCTGGTTGCAATTACTTTAAGAAAAGTGATAATTTCACTTGTTGAGGAAGCGATAGTCATTGTATATGTATGAACGTTTGCAAAGGAACGCATGGCTGTCGTAGCCTCGTAGGGCGTAATTATCTCATCAGGAAGTTTACATGCAGCGTCCACTTGTTTATATTCATTTGTAACAAAATCTTTCCATACCCAAGATAACTGATTTGGTTTATTGGATATGTGGTGCTATCACAATAAATGAATATACGTATTTTGTGGAGATATGGCGGCAGACATCAACCAAACTTTACACGACGAAGGACCCTGTTCTCAACATTCTGCTTCTATGTGCGGGAGCGATACAGATTGGAAAAGACGTACATTAGAACTGGAAGAGCAGTTGTTTTATTTGAGGGAAAGAGTGAATTCGCAAACGGTAAAAATTCGAGAGGCCGTCTCCCACAAGGTACATTGGATTTCGGATATAAATGTGAAGTCTCAATAGTCTATATGTGTTTAATACTTTTCACAGTTATTACAATATTTCGTGCGACTCCGACATTCGTGTTTAAAAGCATATAATATAATAGCATGTTTTTGTTTCCTGGAGTTAATGACTTCGTTTGTAAGCAACAGAATTTCCGATTTGTCAACATAAACAATGAAATGAAGAAATAGACGCATGTACACCGTTGGTATAAAATCATTACAAAAACAATTATGTTCAGTAAACGGCTAATGATTTGAAAACCGAATTTTTTTGAAAATCATGCCAAATGTAGCTTGCTTCAACACGCTTTACTACTATGAATAAGTTTGTGCCAAGCACATTAAGTTATTGGAACTTATGTGGACAATTCTTTTTATTTTATTTTACGGCGAATTGAAATACAATAGGAAATGTTGTCAGGCGCTCAATATTTGTATAACGCTTCATTGAAACGTCAAGGAATATCGAATTTCCAAAATCTTAAAGTTGTCACTAACAGAAAGAGCAATTCTTTTTTAAAATTTTGGGTAGTCAGAAAATTATGAAACAAGTTTAATTGGCATTTTAATTTCCTAAAATACTTTGATCTTGTTATGATTAAATTCCTGAAATATTTTAAATGACATATATATATATAGATATATTGTTTAAAAATAAAAGTTTCTCCGGATTTTATAAATAATAAAAAAAACCATAAATAATATAAAAACAATATAACAAATAAAGAATAAACAATAAACAATATAATGCCTGGATTACCAATCTTTAGACATATATACACATAGGAAGTTTATATTTGATGACTCTCCGTATAAAACAGTGCTCTATGCAAAAGAACAGAGCGTAAATATGTTTAGTGGTGTTGAGAAAAAATCACAAAACTACAGATTCATCCCGACAAGCCTGTTTCGTGATTGCTCACTCTTCAGGGGATTTAATTGAATAAAATACTTAAATGCTGAAAATATATATACAAGATGACGGAAGTTAGTGTATTAATCAATGTTTATAGTTACAAGTTATATGACAAGTTATATAACAGTGTTGTTTTTATAGATACAGGCTGCTGAAAACAAAGCATTGCAAGCTGAAATGAGGACAGAAAAGTTGCTTAAAACGGTAAAACTGGTTGTGAATTTTATTTTCAATAATTGTACACATTCGTTTTTCATTCCTGCTTTTCTCTTTTATTCCTTGGTCATGCTGTTTCTAGTCTATTTATTTTAAGTTTGAATGGTTAGATTGGTTGTATTTTAATTTTCTTTTAAACTTTCTAGGTCAAAGAACTTGAAGAAAGGATGCATTCGGCCGAAGATAAAGTTGTCAGATGTTATGAACGGGTATGAAGGAAGGCTAATAAAATAAACTTTAAATCACTGTTTTCATTTATTTTATGATTTTTCAGAATCAGCACTTGGAAGACATCATTGAGCAAAAGGAATCAGTGATCAGACAGCTGAGAAACACTGTGTCCCGAGTAAGTCTGGTTACTTTTTCATGCTGGTATTCCCATAAATACAGAAAATAAGGTTGTAGTTTTTTGTGTGCTCCTAAACATTTCTTCTCAGTTATTTTTTTGTCGAAAGTGGTTCCTTTCTTTGATGTTTGATGTAGCAAAGCAAAAGTGGTGAAAACAATGCACGATTATTTGAGGAAAAGATAGCAAAAGTGAAAGAATGGGTGGAAGAGGTAAATATTTATGCTGTTATTTCTTTAATATCACAGTTTTATATGTGGCTGCACATTTATATGATGTGTTAATGAGTGACTGCCATTCTGATCCAACATCTAGTGCAAACATACCATTGCTGATCTACAGTTACAAATACAAGAAAAGGAAGAGATTATACGAAAACTATCAAATGGCAAGTGCTTGCTAAGAAATTGACAATAAAATGATTTTTACAACTCACTTCTAAGTCAAAACACAAATAGCAAGTGTACCCATTGTTTGTTTTCTAAAAAAGAACTTGCCTTCATTTACAGTGCGTGAAAAAAAACTAAACAGTTCAAGTTCAGTAGAAGATAAAGATGGTGTTTCTAATATAGCAAGAACTATGTCCAAGTCAGAGATGGCATTGCCTCAAGATCATGGCAAAGTCAATGATATTGTTCCCGCCGTTCCAACACGTAGAGCATCCCTTGGTATACTCCATCGCACTAAGAGTACCCCAATCAAATCTAGTGGCAGGCCTTCACTCAAGACATTGAAGGAATCAAATGTGAACTCTGTTGATAAGACGGAAGCATCACAAATAAGTAAATATGTTCTCACAAGATCAAACAGTGTTAGTTATAAATCAGAGACAAAGGATGAGTTTCCTGATAGGACATATATGGTTTTGGAATCAAACAATGATAGCATATATGCTGTATCAAAAAAACACAAATTATATGTGTCAGCTGAGAACAAAAATAATGAGCAACATATGACTGGGAAAGAAAAGTCAAAACAGCTTACTCAATCAAGTGAAGAGGAAATTGAACATGTCAGTGACGTTGAACTATCTCCTGCCATTGATAAAGAGAAGATTGAGCTTGTTGATGAGTTGGTAAAATCTTTGGAAAGTCAAAATAGTAATGATTTAGAACAACATGTTGTAACAGTTAAATTTAGCACTGACAACGGTATGCTTACTGCTAACGGAGTGACTGCAGCAATGAAACCTGGAACAGAGTCAGATAGTACCAAAAAGGATATTAGCACTTCAAAACAAAGTGTAAAGCTGGCAATCAAACCTGGTACTGATGCAAAAGGTTATACAAAGTTAATACCTGTTGATAAAAGAATGAATGAAGATGTTGATATCTCATCAAAAACAAAGGAAACATTTAAAAGCTATGTACCTAATGAATTTCTTGAGAACAGAGTTAATTCAGAAAAGATTGTTGTTGAGAGTGCAAACACATCGTCATATGTGAAAGCGTCTTGGGTAAATAGAGTTTGTTGAAGTGAAAATTTTACAGCCTGAAACTTTAAACTGAACTTTTGTAAAACAATATTATATCATTCTTATGTTAATTTTTTGTTCATTTAAATGTTTTGTTTCTTAGATGCAACCCCATAAAGTGCTGAATCCTGTTTTTAATGGAGTTATTACTTCTGAAGAGTGTAAGAAATTAGATTTGAAAGAGTTGTGAAAGTTGATATGAAATGAATAAACAGCTGTATTAAGATTTTAACTACTTTTTTGTTTCAATTTCAAGTTTGTGGAAAGTTGTCTATACTGGTTACCATGGTGTAGAAACAATTCACATGTTATGATAACTATCATATTTTATATCTCTTCTTATCATTTAGGGAAAAAAAGTTCAGATGTAAAAATTATCAATGGTACTTGTAATGGATTTCCGTCTAACATTAATCAAGTAGTGTATTAATCCTAGAGCTTGTGCATTATTTCTTTTTTTTTAATTATTTCAATATGGTGCTTGATTTTATTTTTAAAACAGGTTTTGAGTTGCCCTGTTTATGCCCAACTTGAAGGGGTAAGATTGCTCTATCATTTGTTGATCTCTTTTTCTTAAAACAGTATATTATAACAATCTTAACTACAAAAATGAATTCCTGTAAAGTAACTGCCAAATATAGGCAACAGCTCCTTACATTATATAATGCAATTTTTTATATACAATATCTTAATATTTTCTCAAACTAATGGCTACTTTTTCATTCTTTTTCTTGTACAGCGAGCATCGGAGATCTTAGATCGTCCTTGTACTGGGGACTCAACTGATTCGTCTGACAATGATAACGACTCCTCCATCGATTGTGATTCATCATCCGTATCAAGAGTAAAGAGTATCTCTGTGAGTGATCGTATTTTACGTAGAGGAAGCACAAGAAAGAAAGTCTTGAAAACGTGTGCTCAATATACAACGCATAACTTGAAAAGTGTAAGTTCAGCCTAGGTTTTTTCTGCTTATCATATCATTAAGACTTTGTGTTTATTTGTGCTCGATATTTTCTTCTTGGTACGATCCAGACATCCGGTTGGAAATTTTCCAGAAAGGTGGTAATTTTTTTAAAGGCATATGAAAACATCTGTCTAACTGAATTTGTGACATACTGGGGATTGCTTCTACATATATGTTATATTATGAATGTTGACTTCATGTCAAAAAAGCTGTGTGGCAAAGTCTACTTACGTATTCTTTGTTACAGGAATCTCCTCAGAAAGCTGGTTATCTCACCAAACTTGGTGGTAGGGTTAAAAATTGGAAGCGAAGATGGTTCGTTCTCAGTGAAGACAAACTCACTTATTATAAGACTGAGGTATACTATTTTTTTATGTGACATTTCAAATTCACAAAAGGCTTTTTTAATTTTGTCGTGTTTTTTTAGAATGACACAAATAAAAAAGCCCTTGGACAAATCCCACTTGGTGGTTTCTGCGAGATAACACGAACAGAAGGAAGTCAGTCTTTTCAGGTATTATATCTGTGTGACTTGTGATTTTACATGTTTATGAAGGATGTGAATAAAATTTAATTGCTGACTGTTATTCGAGAATATTTAATTTCTATGATGCTAGGTATCCTTAGGTCAGCGGTCACTATGATGCTAGGTATCCTTAGGTCAGCGGTCACTATGATGCTAGGTATCCTTAGGTCAGTGGTCACTATGATGCTAGGTATCCTTAGGTCAGCGGTCACTATGATGCTAGGTATCCTTAGGTCAGCGGTCACGCTGTACCACGCTGCTGTACCATCGTTGTTTTTTTAATACCATTTTGTGTTATTCCTTTGTGAGTTAACTTATTGATATGAATTAATTTGAATTTGAATCTAGTCAGGAAGATATTTCAAAACTTTAACGCCTTTGCTAAGAACACTGCGAACTTTACTTAAAATCTCCCCTTTGAAAAAATTTTTCTGTAATGACCTACTGGTGTGTGTTTAGATTGATACTGCAAAGCGTAAATATTATATGACTGGCGAATCTATTGAAGAAATAGACGATTGGTTAAAAGGTGATTCTTAATAATCATGACGTAGTAAATAAGATATTTTGTATTCAATCCCAGTTGTTGTTGATTAACACTTTCTTATTTAGTAATTCAAAATGTTCTTAAAAAGTATATGACAAGCCCGCTTCTTGTTCAAATCAATGAAAAAACTTTCATGAAAGGATGGATGACGAAGGTTGAAAGTCTACATTTTCGTCTGTACCTTGAGAAAGAAATAAAGAAATGTATTTGAACTTTGTCTTTTTATATATTTTGTCCCTTAGATTAAACATGGGAAATCCAAACGTGTTTATTGCATATTGCGTGGAAAGATTTTATGTTTTTATAAAAACGAGAATGATCAGGTGATGAAATGATTTGTATAATGATTTGTATGATTTGTATAAACGCTCCGAGTGCAAAGATCTTATCATTTTGTTGTTCTCAGTCTCCTCCACTTTGGCTCAACATGAAAGAAATGCACGTTGAGAAGTCAGAGAATGGCCACTCAGAAGAGTTGGAGCGTGACGAGAACGATGAGCAACGATCTTTGCGGTTTATGTTGAGATTGTGTAATGAAAACCAACCAACATCAAATTCTGTTTATCTTTCCTTTGATAACAAACAGAACCTTGTAAGTTGATGATTTTGTATTATAAACAGAACAAACTTGTGCACAATATCCTGTCACAAACTCGTACCAACAGCAAAACTTTTCATGTCAGTTTAGAGCTTTCTCACACGATCACTAGGCATGGCTTGCTAGCCATAGCTTGTCTCTTTTATTACTACTTGTCATAGCTCATCTCCATGATTGCCAATCCTCACTCATCTCCATTCTAACCAGTCATAACTCGTCTCCATTTTAACTAGTCATAGCTCATCTCCATTCTAACCAGTCATAGCTCATCTCCATTCTAACCAGTCATAGCTCATCTCTATTCTAACCAGTCATAGCTCGTCTCCATTCTAACCAGTCATAGCTCATCTCCATTCTAGGCAGTCATAACTCATCTCCATTTTAACCAGTCATAACTCATCTCCATTTTAACCAGTCATAACTCATCTCCATTTTAACCAGTCATAACTCATCTCCATTTCAACCAGTCATAACTCATCTCCATTTTAACCAGTCATAGCTCATCTCCATTCTAACCAGTCATAGCTCATCTCCATTCTAACCAGTCATAACTCATCTCTATTCTAACCAGTCATAGCTCGTCTCCATTCTAACCAGTCATAGCTCATCTCCATTCTAACCAGTCATAACTCATCTCCATTTTAACCAGTCATAGCTCATCTCCATTCTAACCAGTCATAACTCATCTCCATATTAACTAGTCATAGCTCATCTGCATTCTAACCAGTCATAGCTCATCTCCATTCTAGGCAGTCATTACTCATCTCCATTCTAACCAGTCATAACTCATCTCCATTCTAGGCAGTCATAACTTATCTCCATTCTAACCAGTCATAGCTCATCTCCATTCTAGGCAGTCATAACGCATCTCCATTCTAACCAGTCATAGCTCATCTCCATTCTAAGCAGTCATAGCTCGTCTCCATTTTAACCAGTCATTGCTCATCTCCATTTTAACCAGTCATAGCTCACCTCCATTTTAACCAGTCATAGCTCATCTCCATTCTAACCAGTCATAGTTCATCTCCATTCTAACCAGTCATAGCTCATCTCCATTCTAACCAGTCATTGCTCATCTCCATTCTAACCAGTCATAGCTCATCTCCATTCTAACCAGTCATAGCTCATCTCCATTCTAACCAGTCATAGCTCATCTCTATTCTAGCTTTTCATGGTTAACTTCCTACTAATTTCCATAAATATTTTATGAAAAAGAATGCGTGGTTGTATCATTTGACGTTGGCGTCTGGAAATAGTTTAGTTGGGACTGAATTTGAAAAGATCATTGTAACCTTAAAGGAAGAAAATGACTTTGGTAAGCAGGTTTTGGTATGTTTGATAAAGTCTTTTGAAAACGTTTGCTTGCTTTTTCTGTCTTTACATATAAATGATGTTCATAATAAGATTTGAAAGAAGTGACTGTCGATCTGTTACATGCAAATGTAATCAATTCCACTTTTTGTTAAATGAAGTATCACTGAATGTTACAGTCGCCTAATTCAAAGTGTGACACTTTATTTACAACATAGAAAATCCATTGTGGAACAGTTCCATTATAACGCATTCAAAGGATCCACTGGAATCTTCTTTGACCACGTTACCTTCAGCGGAACTAGAGAATAAAGCATTACAGCTCTTCAAAGTGAGGAAGCACTTTTTAAAAACTGTCGATCTTTTAAATCTCAAATCAGAGATTTCTGATTTTGTTATTTTCCTTCATGTCGATTTTTCTAGTCAATTCAGTTGTTTTGTGACACGGAATGCGTGCGAGGTCCTGCACTTGATTATCACGTAGCCAATGCCCAGAATGCATTGCAAATGTGTTTGACACATACAGAGTTGAAGGAGGAGATGTATTGTCAGTTAATTAAGCAGACTGCAAAGCATGTTCATCTACTGAGTGAGTCAGCCAGCGAACTGGAGGTATTGACTTCATTATAACTATGTAACATCAACGACCTGCATCTTTTCTAAAATTCTTATAAATTTTTGCTTTTGAAAATTGCCAACTGTGTCCATTTTTAGTACTTTCTGTTTAGATATTGGTAGAGGTAGATCGCCCGGGCTCTAACGATTCACTTTAGTTTCTGTTTAGCCTACGCTCTTCGAGTGCTATTTTATGATACTTTATTATTGTCGTCTTGGAGATAAAACTATTTTTCGCCATAGAAAAGGCGAAGTCTTTGCTTTTCATGCAATTATTTGTAGCAAATTCTAGGTGGAAAAATTGATCAATTCAGTTATCCACATTTACATTTCTTCACACTAAATTTTCGATCGTTTCTGTTCACCAATGTCTTTCTTTTTAGCGTTTTCTTGAGTTACGTTCTGAATGGTTAACGACGAAGCGGTCGCCTTCCGTGTCATCTACAGGTACAATAGATCTTCGTCCAATCAAAGAATATGTGTACGAACAATGTTGGCAACTGTTGGTGTTATGTTGTACCTTGTTTCTGCCACGTGGTCATGTCATGTGGTTTCTCGAGGCTTACTTAAAGAAATGTGCTGCAAACGAGTAAGTACCAAAGATCCTGCTTCGACTGAAAATATGCCTTTGTAGTCAAATTTTAAGTTTTTATATGTCATGTCATGTTATAGTGAATGTTATTTTGTATATTTGATCCCGTTTCAAAGCAAGCGATCTTTTTGAATTTGCTGGAAAACTCACAAAATTCAGTGAAAATTGACATGGAGGAGAAAAAGTTCTTTCTAACGTTTTTGTGGTTTGCAATTTTTTCGTTGCGTTCTGTTTCAGGACAATTATTGGAGAATATGCCAAATTTTGTCAGCGATGTTTAAAGAGAACTATATTAAATGGTGTAAGGGAAGATGGTCCATCACGAATGGAGGTAATATTTGTATAATTATCAATTTATTTGATAAACGTATTCTGCGTCGTAAACAGTGAGGATTGACTAAATTCAAGCTATTATGATTCTATTTCTTTTTACTTAAATTAAATTCTATTTTTTATTAAATTCTGAGATGATATAAATAAATGAACGTAAATACAATGGAAGCTTTCCTAATGGACAGCTTTCGTAAGCAGTCACTGCTTTTGGGTTCTATAAAATATTGTCTCTCATAACCTTTCATAAGCGGACACTTCCCGTAAGCAGGGACGAAGTCCTGGTTTGGAGAATGTCTTTTTACGTGAGGTTCGACTGTAAATAGCTGTATTTAACCCAAACTTCACATCTCTAAATCTTAGAACAATCTTCCTGTTAATTCATAGGTGCTATCTGTTCTCGGCGATCCTTTTCAAAAGAAACACTCTATGAAAATTTCTGTTCATTTTGTTAACAATACTTCGGAAGATTTTGGTTTCGATGCGGCCACGACTGTTCAAGAACTTATTGACGCCATAAACTCGGTTTGTATCACCATCCATAGATTAGTTCATTCGAGATGTTAGAACGATTTGTAAGATTTCTTGTTGTTTTTATATAGGAGATAGGTATACGATCAATTGAACAGAGTGGCTATGCTTTGTACACGGATAATCCTGTCAACACTGTTGAACATTGTTTACAAACTAGTGTTAAGGTGTTGTTCATTAATCTATAAAACCGTTAAATTACGTCATCGAGAATAATCGTGACATTTCCTGTAGGTATGTGACGTCATCTCCAAATGGGAGAAAGCTGTGCAGAGTAAGCAGGGAAGACTTAAACCAAACCGAACGATACGGTTCACCTACAAGAATAGGTAGGCCAGATGATAATCTTATTAATTATCGAAGTGGATGTTTCCATGGAAGATTGTATGTTAGATGTTTGTAGACGTAGGTCGTCCAGGTTTTTAGAGTCCTGAGGACTGCTGGACTTAATGTTAACCGACATTTCGTTAACCTTAGCTGTAGTCATCTTCAGAGTCAAGTGAGGAGTAAAAGTCAGATTTGCCGTATTTGTTGTCTGGTTCGTGCGTCATCGTATTGTCAGTATGTTTCCTATTCAGGAGGCATGTTTCCATTTCTCACTGTATGCTTCCATTTCTGTCTGCATGTTCCCTGTTCAGTCTGTATGTTTCCATTTCAGACTGTACATTTCCATTTCGGACTGTATATTTCCATTTACGACTGTATTTTTTCTCCCATTTCAGACTGTACTTCAAGAGTTTATCAAAAAATGAGACACAAACAGAACGTTATTTTCTAGTTTATCAAGTAAGACAATCTTATAATTTTTAAATCAAGTTCACTATCCTACTTGATTGTATTCGTATTTTGTATTTTATTAGACATTTAATGATGTTGTCTATGGTCGATTTCCTCTTTCAAAAGAACGCTATACGAAAATGGCTGCATTGATGGCTCAGGTAAATTCCCTTAATTAAATAAATAATGAATTAAAACACTTCATTCCGTGAACAAGTGTCACAAGCAATGATTTTGTGCACGTAGCATTATGTCATAACTACACCATGTCTAAATGTTTGTAAATGTGGATCGTCCAGGTTGGTATAGTCCTGAGAAGGACTGTTTTTGTTATTGTTGACTGACGTTTCGACAACCTTAGCGGTAGTCTCCCGGGTTCAAACCATTTACTTCACACCATGTCTACTTATAAATTATTGCATTGTTTTCTTATTTTAGATGGAATTTGGCGACCGTGTTGCAAAAGAAAATAAAAATGAAGAAAGAATATCTGCAATTCAAGAACGATTTTATCCAAGAAAATTCAGAGAATCAATGACGAATGATCAACGACGGTGAGTAATCACAACTTAATGATTCAATTATTACATGTTTACATTAAGCCTGATTTTGGAAATGTATAGTTTATGCATTAGTTTTATCGTTTTTTTAAATTTAATTTCCTACTAAACGTTTTGATTTGATGAAATGCAATTTGCAGTATTTGAAAAACTTGTTTTACTTCATGAGCCGAACAAACATTTTTTGTCTTCAATACGTTTGATGCCGAGATTTGAAACGCAGTTTTTATATGTAAGAGCTGTTGAGTGCATATTACGTAGATGCAACTTAAAACCTGGAGCCTTAGACTTACACATTATACATTACATTTTTCTTTAGGCAATTGCAAATCATGTTTCTCGATGCATGGCAACCATTGATGGGAAAGACGAAAGAAGAATGTATAACATGGTATTTGCATATAGCTAAAAGTTCTGCAACGTTTGGAGCGAAATTATTTATGGCAAAAGTAAGTATTTGAATCCAATTGTGGCGAGATCTTTGTCCATGCTGGTTCGTGAAAGCATGAAAACAAAATAAAATATGCTCAATTTTAGCAACGCCGCCTTGTTACAAAAAAACGGGAATCTGGTTGTGAGCATTTGGAAGAAATCTGGCTTGCTGTCGATGAGAATTGCATTAGCATTCTGGATGTTGTAAAAATGGTAAGATACTTGGATTTCTGTAGCCGATTACAGATTATTATTTCAGATTGAGGATGACAATAGCAAATTTGCTTTGTCAACGACATTAAGGTGTAGATGTTATAAATATATACACAAGAGCAAACCAATGAAGTGCAATTGAGTCAGTTTACTGCCCATCATTCCAGAATATCCGCATCAATATAGAAATAACTTTACGGGAACCCTTGAACGGTACATGATAATTTTTTAGAATCCAGTGTTCAAGTACAAATACAGATCAGTGGTAACATTTGGTGGATGGAAGGAAGATTTCATGTTGGTCGTGAATAAAACAACTCAAAAATTACCGGTAAAAGCGAACTTGGTACCGAACGATTGTTGTTTACAATGCCTCGAGGAAAGGTTTGTGAAATTTATCACTATTTCTCTGAAAAGTGTTGTAGGTAGAAAAAATCAAAAGTCAAAATTACTTAATGTCGAAAGTCTCCTTGTAAAAATATCGCTTTCTATAGTTTACTCGGTTTGTATTACTGTACTTCGTCAAACTGAGTGTTGGCTTGTTGCATCAAGAGTATATTATGTCTTCCACACACTCAGGTTTTAGAAATCACTCTACTTGTCGCCAGTTATATAAACGCTATCGTCCGTCAACAAGGATTAACCTTTGATGTTCAATGTACAACTGCAAGCAGCAGTGGTGCAGCTGATGACGATGTTAAAGTATGGGATATGGAAAGTACTGATTGGCCAGTCATCCCAGGAACTGGACTTTTATAAATGCAAATTACTTTGTGTGGTGTTAACGAGCAGTGTTGAAGGAGCCTGGTGCCAAGGACTGGATCGTTAATCACAAGTTGTGTGGTTAAATGACAGAAGAATTATTGAAAATTTCTATCAAAGAATTGTGATCCCATTTATCCAAGGAATTTTGATGCTGCTGGTCTTTAGGATTTTAGTTTTATAATAAATAGAATTTAGAATTCGACATTGTAACAATTACATGCAAAGTGGCGATGATGGTTGGGACGCTATCTACTTAAGGTGTCAAAGACCTTTGGTAGACTGATGAAAATGACGCGCAAGAATTATGACTCAACTAAATGATAATAATATGATGAATTATTTATGAAATTCAATGTTGTCTAGAATATTTAACTCATTAAAATCCCTAGAATACTCTTTTCAATCTTGATGATGGAGTTGACGATAAAAATATTTTAATAATGTCGTTCAAGACATAAAACATCGCGTATTGCTGACCATCTTATACATTCACTCTGTGAAATTTGAAAGAGTTTGTTTTTCAATAAGTTTGTAAAAGAGACCATCTTTGTCTTGTGTGAGCTGAAAATAAGTGCCAGACTGAAGAATTTTCCCACGATCTAGTACGACAATATTGTGAGCATTTTTTATTGTGGACAACCGATGGGCAATTGTTATAACAGTTCTATCTTTCATTAAACGATCCATTGCTTCTTGAACAAGATGTTCGCTCTCTGCATCTAGGGCACTGGAACGAGAAAGAACCCTGTTATTTTTATGGTAATCAACTCAGTTGGATTTCGTTATATGAAGTAATTAACTATTTGTTTAATTTTCTTTAACGTCCAAGGCTATTTAAAAATCATACTCAATCTTATTACCAAAGTTAAACAGAGGTGCCTCTCTAAGGGGAAGGCGTGCCTCTCTAAGGGGAAGGTGTGCCTCTCTAATGGGAAGGTGTGCCTCTCCCTGTTTTAAATAGTAAGTGCTGGTGATCGATCCAAAGTCAACAAAACAACTGCTTGTCTATCGAGTTTTAAAACATGGATATCCATTCTCCATAGACACACAGGTCCTACCTTGTAGCCTCGTCCAACACTAATATTTTTGGATTCTAAAAGCGTAAATAGATTTACAAATATTTATCAACCAACGCCATTAAAATCATAAATTAAACAGGCCGTACCTTCAACAATGCTCGAGCAATTGCAATCCGTTGGCGTTGTCCACCTAAACAAAAATGAACAATAAAGTACGTACATTCCTATCTTAATGTACTAAACCTTTTCATCGTCATAGAACATATAATATCCCTACATATCCTGCCATAATATGGGATTGTTAACCTGATAGAGCCAGTCCTTTCTCACCAACGACTGTTTCAAATCCTTGAGGAAAGCTTTGAATGAACTGAAGTGCATTTGCCTGTTTTGCCGCATTCATAACATCCTCGAATTTCAAATCACCATGCTCAGATCTCCAGGCAAAGGCAATATTATCCCGAATACTGCCTGAAAATAACACGGGCTCCTAGAAGGAAAAAATTCTTGTTACTTTAGTTTTGAAAATAAGTTTTCCACTTCTTTCCAGGTTTTCAACTTATGCTGAAGTAGACATGACAATTTTTTCATAAGCGGTAGTTTTTTAGGAAGAATTTCTGTTGCGGGTATGCTGTTTATTCGTATCTTGTAATCTTCTGGTCCTAAGTATAAAGTCACGCCTTAAAGTCTCTTCAAATTATACAGGTGCTTCTCGTAATGATTTAATTTTCATATGTTTGCGTTGGCTTATGTTGTGAAAATACAAGCTGAAAGAACCTGGCTAACGATTCCTATATGTTCACGCAACCAGTCCGGTTTTAGGCTACGAATGTCGTGTTCACCAATTAAAATCGAGCCAGAGTCTACGTCATAGAACCGTAGAAGCAGGGAAGTGATTGTACTTTTTCCAGATCCGCTGGGTCCAACGACGGCAGTCACACGACGAGCGGGAACAAACAAATTAAGAGAGGAAAATATGGGTACATCTGGACGTGTTGAGTACTTAAAATGAACATTTCGAAATTCAATTCCTTGGCGAAGATCGCCATCTGATAGACTTAGACCAGCTAAAGAAACAAAAATTGTCCATTATACAATTTAAGAATAGCAACGTCGTTGTCAAATTATGTTTTTCGCATTAAAGCTATCGTTTTCTTGGTTTAAATTGTGTTTGATTGTAGATGTCTTCAGTTGACTAGTATTATGATTTCTATAGGCAGCTAATCAACTATCAATGATTCTTCAAAATATTTTATCAATTTACCTGAACGAGCTATTCTTGGTTCTCTATCCAACAGCTGCCACAGTCGCGAGCTGGCACCAACACCTTTCATCAGCTCTGAGTAAAATGAGCTTAAGCCTAAACAACGAAAGTGAAGATGATGTTATAAATAACCTATTCAATAACATCAAAATTCACTGCAATCTTTAACACCTGAAACAGAGACGCCAACCCAGGCAGCGTAAACCATAAACGAGGTCAAACCACCAACAGTTATTTGTGACAAGGAAACCATATTCCCTCCGAAGTAAAGAACAAGTAACACAATTAGATTACCCGATAAACCTGTCTGAATTAAGATGAATTATTTCGTCATTTTCATTGGAAAAGACAGCGACAAATGAGTCTGTAAATCTTTCATTTGCCAAAGTCAAAAAGCAATCTCTATCTCCATGGTTCTCAAAAAGATTATCCGAAATGCAAAGGCCGCGGTATTGAATGAAAACTAAACGCAACCAAGATAAAAGCTAAATAGTAAACGAAGCCAATGTACAAGAGAAATCACTTACGAAACCCCAGAATATCCCAGAAGCTATGGCTTCTTTTTTAGTCAATTTGAAAACTTCCCCAATCTTGCTTTGGTACCTATGTTGAACAAATTAAATCAATAGATTCTGCGCCATGATATTTTGTTAACGCTATTTACCTTGTTATTTGTGTTTCCTCTTGACCAAATGCTTGAACAGTACGAATATTACTTAAAGATTCCTCTGCGATCTAAAAATAAGTGAATGCTCCATTCAACTGAATAATAGATAACTAATAAAACCATTAATCAAAAACACTTCTTTCTTACATTTGTTGAAATAGCAAGCAAATCTCGAACTTTTCTTGTTATTCCACGTAAATATCGACCATAAACCACAGAGATAACCGCAACAGGTGGAACAATTCCCATGACAACTGATGCAAGTTTTGGTGAGGTGTAATACTAAAGTAATTTTATTATAAGGGTTATATTAATTAGTTTTATACAGAATTTTCCTCCCTCCATCAAAAAATCTTGTCTGGTGTTTTTATCGAAGGTTGATTCTCTAGTCATTTCATATTTCAGTCAAGACTTCATCATAAGTGATCTGGTGTTGAAACTTCACTTCTAATTCCCTTCAGACGTTGATTGAAAGTCAAACCTTACAGTCCAGCAATGATGTTGAAACTTGATTCTACAAGTTCAAGTCTCTGTCTTATCTTCATCATTAAATTAATTTCATCACTTTACAGAATACTGATGAATAAAAGTTAATTACCATCATTGACATGCCAGCTGTCCCCTGAACTAAAGCTCGCAAACCATCTGACACTTTGTATGTTATGGCATGCCCTACTAAAGATGTATCACCAGAAAGACGATTCACAAGTTCACCAGTTCCTCTCTTATCAAAAAATGCAATTTCTTGATTGGTGATTGACTGAAAAAGTTTGTATCGTAGGTTGTAAATTATTCTCTCACCTAAAAAAGTAATTGGACATTGGTAGTGAAGTATTATCAAAGGAAATATAGAGTAGGTATCAATATAAAATGTACCTGATGTGTAAATAAGATAAACACGAAATGCATTGGCAACAGCTCCAACCAGAAATACACCACATAATATTTTTGAAAAACTGGTCAATGTTTCTTTCATTATTGTATCATTTTCATTTTCAGTATAAATTATGTCAATTATTTTACCCATAGCAAATGGTACAGTCATTGTGACACCAGATGAAACAAATAACAGCACCACAGCACCTACAAGAAAACCAAGTTGTATTAAATGATATCTGAAAAGTAGCTTCTACAATCCATTAGATACAACGTGCCCAATTGGGTGTGACCCATTGTGACCCTCAAGGTAGAGCATGTACTTGGCTCTAAGTAACCTGAATGGTTACCTGCTATTCTTAGGGCTTCTGGTCTTGCTAAACCAAACAATCGCCTCAAATCTGATAACTTATTTTTTGAATTTGATGCATCCGAAGTTAATCTTCTGTCGAAATACAATCCTTTCGTTACAAAGTTTTTGGAGCCTATTGATATTTTCGACTTTGATCTCTTTTGGAAATGGATAAGAAATCTTCTCGACTTGCCAGCAAAATCATGAAGATGTTCAGCAACATTATACCATTTACTATGTTTCTTCGAGCTGTTCTTCAGCCATAAATTCAAGAGAGCCCTGATTGCCATTTTCTAAGGAAACGTGCTAACTACAGGCCGTATTATTAGTAGAATAAGAAAATCAATCGCACCATGTGTCTATTTTCTCACAGAAAGTTCCAATGTTGGAGTTTTAGCGAGACATAAAGAAAAGAAAAGATGACATAAGATTTACTATGACCTAACTTTGAAGTTTGAACCGTTGTTCAAGGAAAGTTTTAGGAAATTTCACGGAATGTTCACTTAGTTCACACGTGGCTGAGATGCTAAGAGTGACAGCCATAGACGGTTAAAGGCCTTTTTCTCTAAGAATTTGTCTTTTTCAACGGTCTTATAAGCTTTATTTCCTAAATACATAAAATTTTGTTTCATAAACTGTTGATGGATGAAGAATATTTGTTTCGTTTGTGGCGTTTCGACTTC